TTTATTCGTTGTTTTATGACCGAGATGGCTTATCATCACGAATAATCACAAGCAAAATAACTTAAAGCAATGAATCTTTGTCTAAAGTTGTCATGTACAATACGGAAATTAATGAAAATTTATGAGAAGATAAAACGTGTTAACTTCGAGAGACAATTAATGGTTAAAGTGTTCTTCATAGTTCTGAAAATCTTGCACTCATGATTCTACGCCCACGACGTGACGAAACTTCAACTCGTAAATGGAGGCAGCAGAATCGTCTTTGAAATTGCGAAATTGTCAAGAAATTTAAAGCTTGTAAGTTATGCAAGTAAGTGAGTTAAGAAGAAATTTACGATTACTCTACAAACATTTAAAATAACGAAATACTCGTGCTGTCGTTGCATCATGACCTTGTATGGAGAGTTTCTGCTTGAGGTTTCACTGCTATTGAACTTGGATCACGTTTTCAATTTTCAAACTACTCAACCACAACAACGCAAGATGTAAAGCAAGCTGAGTAAGTTATTTTGTCGATCGATTGGTGATAAACCATGAGAATGGAAAAAGAAAAATAAAATTAACGATCTCATGTGATACAAAAGGGAAAAGAGAGGAAAAAAACTTGATTTCAATCAGTCTTGATGTTAACATTTGCAGTATCTTTCAAGGTTGTTGCTGCAGAAAGAAGAAACGTGGTGTGGTTAGACAAAGTTTTACTCACTTTTATGATAGCTGCACCAGCAATTGCTCCAATGCATTGCGAACAGATATAAAATGCTCCTTTGAGAATACTGACATCACCAGTGACCATAAGACCGCAAGTAACTGCTGGATTAATGTGACAACCACTGACATGACCAAAAGCCTGAAATTAAACGTCAAAACAAAAACACGACTTTAAATGAAATGTGCAATGTTTTCATAGCTAATTATCGTTAAAATTAATTTTAATTCGTACTCTGAAGTTAATTTATTTAATCTAAATAAACACCGTTCGCAATCAAGCAAGGAAAACGAAAGCGAAATGAAACTACATACACGCAGAAGTTAGTCGGTTAATTATTTTCATTCTCCGTTTCTTTTCTGAACTGCATAACTTAATCTGATCGTTCAATGTTAATCAGTTTGGAATGCCTTAAGTTCCCATTCTTAATAAAGATTCGAATATTTGATAGTAAAAAGCTTTGAGTGATCTTTTTTAGAATGCGTAACAGCAGCATTTTAAAACTGAAAACGAATTTAAAATCATCGATAACAATTAAGATCATTTTTTAATATTTTAACGAGCGGTTTCTTTCTTTTAAGTACTCATGCATGATATGAATTTAATTATAATTGACAATTGACTTCAACAACTTTAAATAGATGGGAGCGTGGATTAAAATGAACACTTTTCTCCACCTCCGACTGTTCACTATGATCTTAATTGCGTTTTGGAACGGTTATGCATTGGCCTATAACAGGTTTCCATACTTCATAATGAATCACAAGCTCTTGAACTTATAACAAGTGCATTTTGTTCCCATTGAGATACATTTCAATCGAACGATTTTTCTTAAAATACTTAAAATACTGAGAAACAATTTTATAAGCTTTAGTTGCTGTTCAAAGTCAACAATCAAGCGTCGGTTTACGCATAATTAATGTTGATGCAGTTCGACTGCACAGTTCTAGAAGTTAATTTTCTCGTCGTTATATACTCGACATGTCTTGAGTCGGAATAAAATGAAATCATCAACATCCGATTGAAACTTGCGTTAATTTACACTCACAAACTCATTAAAATGAGATTTTCTATAAGTCAATAAATTGGGTGAAGGTGGAACAATAAATTGATTTCTGTCATTACATCCTTTGAAAATTTACGTCAGAGATTAGGATTGTTAAAATTATTAATCTGTTATTTAACAACTTCACTTATTATTTTGAATTGAAGATTTCAAACTTAAAAGATTCTAGGAAAATTGGATTCGATACCAAATCCTGACTTTAAATTTATTTACTTTCATCACTGCCAATTCTCGATGATTATTTGTTGAATATATGTAATGGCCTTCATTTAAGAGAATTGCTTGTTAAAAATAATAAAAACAAAGAGAGAGAAATGAATGTGTTGAACGAAATGTCGATGCCGCAAAAGAAATAAGTTTTCTTTATTAACTCATTACAATACTCATTTGATCACTTCAAATATCAAAGTCATGTTGTTGTTTTTGTTTTTCGTAGCCATATGAAACATTTCGGTTTAAGTGTTCTTTATGGTTGACTGGAGAATTGAATGAAACAATTTTGATGATTTTTAATTTGGAGCATTCATCTTTAAATGTTTTATGCCATGAAATTAGGGCAAACTTCAAGTTGTAAGAATAGGACATTAATCACTCACAAGACACACGTTTTACAACTGAATGGGATCGTTTTTCTCTTCGAGGTAGACTACGTCAAACTTGAATAAAGTTGTTGCTTAAAAATGAAAGATCCTTGCATGACAATGAACAATAATCGCGAGATTTTAATTTGCGGTTTTTTTAAATTCGAGAGACAACTCATTTATGACTTCGTATCTCATGTTATAAACAAGAGTTCAACTATTTTTTGTGATGTCTTTTGTCGTCCCTCTATTAATATTCGCCGGTAAAAGATAAATTTCGGAATGATTTTAAAAAGCAACTAATCAATGAGCACACGCAAGCTAAACTTATGAATGAAGGTTTATTCATTGTTAAAACGATTATAGCATTAATGGATGATAATTCTTGGTAGATAATAATCATACAAAAGAGCGACATATTCATTTCTACATGTTATTCAATTAGAATTTATTCGCAGCGTGAACGATTCAGTAAATAAAATTCAAATGATATTCATTTGAAAAGTTAAATGAACTCAAAGGTATCATTTGCAAAAACTTTACGATTGATCATTAAACATGACGAATTGAATAAACAAACTCCTTTGGAAATTGATTCATGTCTAGGCTTGTAGAATTTCTACGTTTCGTGTTAATATAATTTATAACGTAGTTAAAAAAATATACAAACGACAACCAATAAAATAATTAAACTGATAATCAAAATCGCATGAAAAAGATCGCATGAAGGGTAAAACTTTACGAGATAAGAAAATTTAATTTCGCAAACATTTTTGTTAGGCTTTTATGAGGCGCAGAGATGAACAATAGAAAGGGAATAAAAATCGAAAGTAAATACAATTCCTACACATGGAAAAAAGTAATAAAATTATGTCATGGATATTCAAGATTTGATTCACCCCAAAGATTAATCTACTAGAAATCCATGCGAAACATTTCAATTTATTTTCTTAAATATCTCACACTTGTCATCTTGTTTGCAAAAGCAATCTTCCTAAGTAATAGCTCCATTCATCACTTTGACGAGAAAAGAAACCTCAAAAAGTTTTTTTAATCTCTCAACGATCCTCAAGTGTTTCTCATCAAACCGCGAAAGACCCTCGAAAGGAAAATATTTCTCTAGATAAATTTCATTTAAACTAGCCAGTTTAATTCGTTCAAGTTAGGTGTTTAAAAAGTGAATCTTCAGCGAGACAAATGATTTCTCGTGTTATGAAACAAAACAAGACTAAAGTGCCATTCATTTAATTGCGACTGCCGTTTAAGATCAGATTTTATGGTTTAATTTCTGCACGCAACACTTCAATTAACTTTAGAGACATTTAACAGGCATGTTCATTTGATTTCGTGGGAACTGATCAGTAGCAAGATTTTTTATCGTTTTATCGCAATCACAATTCGTAAGTTTTTTTAGTTTGAAACTCGCTGGATATTTACTTACCATTACCACGACGACGACGGTAATTACTTTCGAAAAGATCGTAAATATATAAATCGCCGGGGCGGATCGATCAATTAATTACAGTTTGACATAAGCGACAATTAAGTCTATTTCAATGATTTGATTTGACATTTTGGCTCATGAAAACGCTTCAACAAAAATTCCACAAAACTTACAAATTTTGGCATCTAAAATATTGTACCAATCAATCAGTTGTAGGTAAAACAAAAACAATAAATTATGAGGACATAGTTTGCAGTCTTTACTTTTCAATTGTGCGAGAAATCATGTTAACCGTCTATTTAACATTGCTGTATTTAAGATATGCGTAAAAATATTTTAAGATCGTAATTTAGCAAAAAAAAAACTTCAAGGAAACTTTTCGTACCTGCAGAACTCAAAATGAAACAGCATAAAACCATTAGAAATGAATTTCAAATTGAAATTTCTTGCTTTGCTACTGAGTGTTTATTGAATTGAATTCAATTCAATTCACTTTCGAGGTTTTTGTACTAATATTAAAATTTTCAACGCCAATAAAATTGAACAAATAATGAAACGCTTCGAAATTAAATTGCAAGAAAAAAAATTAAAACAAGAATCGACAAAACGCATAATTTTCTAGAATGACAGTTAAATATGTATAGGATCGGTTCATGGAGTCTTATTAAAATTCTTTTATAAAGATTAGAGATATGAAAGATCGTTTTCATATTTACGACCACTTGAAAATCATCTTGAGTTACTCTTTGAATAACAAATCTAAGAAATGACGGGCTGATGCTCTTGATCTACAAAAATGGGTCACACATCATCATACCAATTCTCCCGTGGCGTAAAATACTCATAAACAGCAATTCAACGTTAATAAATCATTAAAGACATTATTTTTTTATATTTTGCGATTTTTCTTTTCGTCTTTTTACGCACGTTTTCATTCAAATTATTTTTTTACTCAGCTTATGTTAGTCTGTTAAAAGCAAAAGTATGAAAAAATGAATCTTTGACATTGAAATGGAAAGCCTAGATTGCGATGATGTTACAGACTTGCAAATCTCGCCAATATTTTCAACGAGAATGAGTCATCGTAATAAAAAGGTCGACAAATTTACAAGTTGTTTCGTTGTCACCATTCATCGTGATCAAATCTCCCCATAAACAATCAGTTTCATTACCATCTGCGTGATTTTTGTTTTGGCAAGTGAAAAAATAACAAGGAGAGTCATCTCATCGACTTGGTATCAGCCATCATCTATTAAGTAACAACGCTCCATTAAACATCTAAGAAGATGAGAGATTCGTAATAAAACAGTGGTTATTATCGTAAATGCAATTTTGATTGAGGCTTCGAGGTAAGATCGTGATGATTAAAGTGTGGATGGTCAAATTATTTCTTTCACTCTTGACTTTTTATTTTTAAAAACTTCAAATTTTTAATCAGGTCAAAAAAAAACTACAGTGAATTGGCACTTTATGGCAAATGATTAAAGCTAACGATTCTATAAGCCATAGTAAGGTAAAAGTGATTGTAAATCTTTTATAATAATTAATCAAAATATTCTGTAATAAATCATTCAAAATTGGGAAGACTTTCAATGAAATTTCTTTCGAAAATATTTATTAGTTAAGTACACTCAAAGCATCGAAACATTGAACTGTAACATTCAACATTTGAAGTTTATCTTGGTAGGTATGATAAAAAGCTTTTGAAGTTTTTGTTTTCGGCAATTTTAAATGTAAACTGTGCCTATGATTTAACGCCTTCAATCGGCGGAGTGGTTTGTTCACACACTCTTTGATTATTTAAATCGCTTAAGTGCAAAAAAATAAATAAAAAAACATTGCCTACAAACCGTCATCTAAGCACCTTTACGTTAACTGTTATTTTAGTTTGCTGATCAATTTGTTATGAAATCTTAAACGTACCGCAAAAAAGTAATTGGTCAAAGCTCGATCAAGTCGTCGCAAAACTCAAGAGCAAACACTGAATGAGAGGCTGAGTTTATTGAACACTTGAAATTAATGAACTTGAATGATTGAATAAATTCGACATAAAAATTTGATGAGTACATTCACCGGAGATTTGTAACTTCATGCATAAGCATAATAAGACGAGACATTTATGATGATAGTAGCTGAAACATTTTGATTCATTGCAGTGATTTTTTTTTCATATTTTTTTTGATTGATTTCGTTACGTTAAAAGTTTGCGAAAACATCACGCGTTTTTATGAGAGCATAAATTTCATTCATTCATTAAATATCAGTCAGTGGGATGGTCTCATCATTTCAAGGAGCTTCTGATATTCAACATTTTATAACAGCTGGAAGAAATAGCTTTGTCTAAACCATTGTTAACATATTATCAGCTTGATTTTTATGAATTCAATATCGCAAATGATTTATTGATGAAATTGAACTTACTGAAGTTACCTTGCAAAGCTTCACGAACTTTTCAATGGATGTTCAGCTTCAAGCGATGAAGTGTCGATGATGATTCAATGATCTTTTGCTTGCTCTTGATATTGTCGTAAATAAAAGCAATGGCAAAAGTTATAAGAAATAAAACAAAACCTAAAGATGTAAAATTTTCTACAGAGTCGAAGCTGTCAGTCTTTGATTGACAGTCTGTTAAGTTAATAAGGTGTTGTTACACCAACATAAAACTGTTTCTTTACAAAATCAAGTTCTCTCCTGAAGCCAAACCTGGCGCCAAAAGGTCTCGCTCAAAGCATAGAAGAAATAGCAAGTTAGACTCCGACTATAACCTGAATAAGACACGAAGTCTCAACCTTGAATTTATATCACATTTTTCTGTTCGTTTCTTTTTTCTTTTTCATTTTAATATCAAACCAACACACGTAGTTTGTATGCGAACGTATCTGATGTGAAATGAAATAATTTTTTGCGAAGAACTTCAAAGAGGGAACAATTCATCACTGCTTTGTCATCATATCAAGTTGATGTACCAAAATGGAGTTAAAGACAATTATTTAATTAAAGATATTATGAAGTGAAGAATTGATGTTCATTAATTATTTTTCATTAGTGATTTGAAAGATGGCATGAGTGTAAGCTCCATATAATATTTAATTAGGCAAACCTTTCGCTTTTTTCCCATCGACTCATGTCTCACCATTTTTAGGTTCGGCTTTGCAAACCAATTTTCATGTTTAGTAAAAAAAACTTTTGCGAATATTTATAGTCATCGACCTGTCTAGGATTAAAGCAGCCGATATGTGTATACAATTTGCATAAAGTTAAATAAATTACATGTACCTAGTTGGTGGGCGTGCGATTCGGGGATGAATTTTGTCGCGTTTTTTTGTGTCACTCGATTGTGCGACCAGCACTTAACTTGCAATTTTTTCACTACATTGTTGCCTTCAATGCTTATCTTTTAAGTAATGTGAAATTGAAAATTACATTTGACATTAAATACATTGAATTTCGTATCATTCGCATATGAATTTTTAAATTGTAGGGTTTTACATGTCAATGACATATAATCAGCATAACGTTTCAGCTATTTCTGAGACTAAGATTTTAATTTCAATTTTCTTTACAATGGAGACCAATTGTCAAGCTCAGAAAGTTTAAGTCACTCTCAAATGAACTTTATTTAACATCACATTCTCTAGTTTCACAGCAGGAGACTTCAAAGCAAGCACTCTTTGAAACTACTTCAAAAAAAAATTAATCGCATGTTGTCGGCAATCTGGAAAGTTGCGAACCTTGTGCAGACTGTCATATGATAAAAGAAATTTAAAATTGATGCCACCATGGTAGCAGCGAACGAATCTCACTCGAATAAAATTTTATTCGTGTTAATCATCTCGTACATCAATTTCCACCATGTTGAATCAAAAAATGTTTGATGACTTTGAACACGCATGAAATTTAATTGCCAATATGATAAAAATTAATTATTTGAAACTTGATATTTACATTTTACAATATAAAATTTACATTATTCTATAAAAATACCGGCAAAAGATCATTGTAACTTGAAACAGTCGTCAACTAATTAATTAGCCTTAAAATCTGTGATTGACATAACATTGCGTGCTTGATTTGGAATTTCAGAATTGATTTCTTTGAATCACATCAATTGTGATGATTGTAAGGCAATTTGTTTCCATGACATTCAAGTGGATGACGCGATTAAATATTTATATTTTTTATTATGACGATTACCGAGAGTTGTCTAATTCTAAATGTCCTAAGAACTCATTGCGATGTTCCACGAAATGATTTACAAAAACAACACAAGCAAAATGTTATCAAATGACGTGAATTTCTTTCATTTATTGAATGCACGAAAAGATAATTAAATTCTTGAACATTTAGCTTGTTATTGCTTGTGGTCTGTTAATGTTTATATGAACATTAAAAATAAAAAAAACTTTGAAATGTACTACACTTGCTAAATTGCAATTCTCAGTCGTTAAAAAAACACGCAAAATATTTAATTAACACAATTCATCTAGTGAATTGAGGTAAATGACAGTTAATTGCGTATAAATTACCCAAACTTAAATAATTTGATGATCAAAAGCTCTTTCATCATCGAAGATCGTTTTTCAACGTTTAAAAGTTAATTTAATTTTCCTTACTTATTGTTCATCATCAATCATTGATGCGCACGATTTACTTATTAATTTTATTGGAAAAAATTTCATTTGTCATTAAGTGCCAAACCACTACATGTCATGACTTAAAATTTCACAAACTCTTTGAAAGGCTATCGTTCAAAGTTAGATCACGGAAAAAGAAGTAAAGGAAAATAGCAAAACTTCCAATTTCGTTGTCGAAATGATTCGGCGTCTTTCCATCTAAATAGAAAAGTTTCTTTATACATCAGCCAATAAATAACATTGATATATTGATTCTGACTTAAAAATATAGCAGCTCTGAATGGAAAATTTATAACAACTGCAAACCAACATAAGTTTCTCACACGCTTGGACGTTCTGAATCGATCAAAAACAACTTCAAAGTACATAAATCAATTTTTAAAATGGAAATATGCGAGAATTTGCTTTGGTGTTACATTTCGGATGTGAACTCTAAATGAATTCATATCAGGTCATGAGAGATTAGTGTTGGAATGGAAAACTAATTGACTGTCGAGGTTGAAGCATAGGAACTAGTTTTCTTTATGGGAAGGAAAAATATGTTTGAGTGAGAAGAAATTAAACAACAATTTCCGTTGTTGAGACAGGTCGTGAAAATATATTACGGCACAATTTTGTTTTGGATTTTAAACAATTTACGATTACTCGAAACTGCATTAAGCGAACGTGAACATTTATTTTCAACGCGACTTAAATTTCTAAACAAACTGCTTTGCGATGACATTTCCGTGGTTTAATTAATGTGACGCTAAAGTATTTTCAAGGCTTTTCACGAGAACAATTTTAATATCATGAACAATGTTGAGCGGCTAAAGCAAGACAACCAGCAACGTTTTGGAGGGTCATTCAATAGGCTTTTCTCTGTTTTTGTCACATTTAATCGCATTCAGATGAAGTTAACAGTTGAGAGATCCCACATTATGTCATAAATATTTTATGTCATTTAAATTTGATTCCAAGTTCAAGGAAAAAAACTTTCGGGCAAGGCTCATACATATTAATGAAATTTACACAATACAAAAATCATTTGAAGATAGATCGTTGAATTTAAAGAGCTTTTTGTAAATAAATAAATACAGATGAATAAATAATATTTGCAGTAGAAAATAATCAAAAGCTTTCCTTAAAGCTTCTGTTTCGGATATCATTTAAAGATTTTTTATTCCCACAGATAAAAATCTCGTATTTGATCATAAATATGAAAAATTGTTTTTGATCGCGTGACTGATAGGTTTGGTTAAGTTAAATTGAACGGAAATAATAATTAAATTTCTTATACACTGAAATAAAAATTTGTTAGAAGTGAAGTAATGTATCGAGTTGATTCTCTTGCTTGTTAATATTTAACACTCTGATAAAAATCTTTTGCACTTTTCATAATAAAATTTCAATTTTCAATTAATGTATCACAAGAAAAAACTCACCTGAGCTAATGTTGCAACGACTAATCCAAAGCATAAAGCTATTTGAGGGATGTTTGGTTCGGCATCAGTAACCCATCCAGTTGTACTTGCTATACCAATAGAAACCAGCATCAATGTTCCAAGGAATTCAGCAATAAGCATTTTCCATATGTTGCGGTTATCTGTGATGTCCTGAACACCAACGATCTCTTTGATTCCTGGAAAGATTCGATTTAAATTTAAATTTAATAGTTTGACAGTTCAATTTCTTCTGCAAATTCTAATGTTGCAGACATAATTAATCATAAATTAATGCCAAAAAGATTTTTATGGAAGTGGCCACACAAATCCGTAAATGAAATTTTTAAGGGTTCGGCTTTACATAGAATTTAAGCCACCTTCATAAGTTTAAACCACTCCGTAACCATCCACACTTTGATGAATTAAAGACACATTATGCAATAAACAACACGCCGTTTATTCACATTCGTCGTTGTTATTTGTTTTGTCTGTTAGCAAGCAAATTGATTTTTTTTCGTAAGTTGCAAATCGTAAATTGCGTTTGCGTCCGACAATCGATATTTACACTACATTGATAGATAATTAGCACCTCACTTTAAAAGGAGAATAATATCGATAATTGAGACTGATCAAGTTCTATTTTCATTGACCTTTCATGACTTTATTTTATGTAAGATATGAATAAAATTTTGTCTTACTTTCATTTAAATTCGATTGATTTTCTGGTTGTTCGGAAATCATTTTCAAAATTTTCTTCGCAACTAAAAAACTCTTCTAACCGCTTTGACTTCTATTCGATAACTAAATTCTATATTCTTAGAATGATAGCAAGCTTGTCTTTTTACTGTAACTGATTTAAAATATTATATAGATGTGCAGCAATTTTTTATTGTCACATTAAACATTTTAATGTAAATGTAAATTTGCATAACGTTGTGCAGCAAATTATCTTTATTGGACGGTTTTAAGCTATTTCAATAGATTTGTGATGGTCGTGATATTGATTTATAAATCAATCCCTTCTCTATGTCCCAAATAAAAAGATTTCCAAATTGATTTCGACAATAATCGAAATGTTTTTGTTTTTGTTTCACGAGACTAACATCTTGTGATACCTAAAACAAGCTCGTTTTATATCAGGCTTTGTTTATTTTATTTCCTATGTTCTATATATTTCCAGCCATACTGGCTTTGTTCGCTACCTAGTTTCATTATCACACGTAGCCAATATTTATAAATATAAACTCATCGCTGAAGAACTTTGAACAAATTAAAACATAAGTTTGCTATTTTTCACAAAACTTTCAGCTTTATAGGTTTGCCTACGGAAGTTTAAAAAAAGATTTCGCATGATTTAAAGCACCATAAAAGTCCAATAAAAGTTTTCTCCTTTGCGTGTCACCATTCCAAGTTATGTTAAAGTAAAATAAAATTGGAACAAAATCAAAATAGCGCTTCAAGGAGCTTCCGATGGCACACAAAAAGATTTCTTTTACAACGTTTTCCTCGTCAAGAATTTAATAAAATTAATAAAACATTCAGTTCACATTTACCTTTAAACTGTTTTGATTTCACTGTCACGGCAACAGTCATGATGATTTTTTTTTTGAAATAAAGAAGAAAAAAGAGAAACGAATCGAGCAAGTCACGAGAGTGATGCCTATCTACGTTGACTTATCAAAGACGACTGAATCTCAGCATAATAATTATCGTTGAAAGAAATATTTTAAAAGTCGCTGATCCACACAAGTGTGCTAATTAATGTTCTTTTTCCTCGAAAACTACTTATATCGTCGCATACAGTTGCAACACGAAAAGCTTGTCTGGTTTTTAAAATTCTTATCAAAGAGACAAACGCGTTTATGCGTCATGATGACATATTTAAAAACTTAAAGTTGCTGCCAACAAAGCTTCATGGTCGATGATAACAAAGATTAAATGGGGTTTATGGGATATTCCACTTGATATGCTTATTAATTGTTATTTTATGGTTATGAATTCTTCAGAACGAGGAAGAGTTTTAAAATTTCACGTCCTGAATTATTGATTGATTTTTCTCGCCGCCCTCGCAAATTTTGTGGTAATTTTTATATTTGACTAAGCAATTGCTTAAAAACAATTTTGAGGTTGTTGTAAGTATTAGGAAATAATATTTATAGGCGATGAATGATGAATAAGAATCAGCGGATATAAGTTCAATTGAATTAATGCCTAAAAGATTGCAACAATATCCAACTAATGTTTTGGAAGGACAAATTTTTAACAGTTAATTTCCTAAAGTTGCATCTTTAGCAATGACTTGTAACACTGGGTTGTTAATATTAAGCAGTTTCTTCCGACAATAAGTGGCACTGCAAAAATAATCATTGGAAATACAATCGAATTGATAAAACTTTCAATTTTAATATGCAAGTAATTGATGATCAATCGAAAAGTGAAATAAGTCTCGCCACTTTATTCAGAATTCGACACTCATAATTCAATAGTTTGTAATTCTACGGATGAAACTTCCTTAACACGTTTCAATTTAGCGACGTAGTTGATTAATTTGCAACAAGCATTTGAACTTCGCAGATATCTCAATGAAAATAATTAACAAATTCCTTTTCGAGTAAGTTTTTAGATATTTATGTAGTCATTGTCAATAGCACACATGATGTAAACGGTGGTCAAACGTCAACAAATGAACTCTAATTCATTTTAATCATCAGATTAACTCTTTTGCCAGTAAATGTGTTAGGCAAGAAAGATGTAAAAAAGCATCCTATGACTAACTTTGACTGACTGAAACCTTGAATCAGATTTCAGATTGTATTAGAAAAGTATAAATGTGTAAATAGTTTGCACATCTGATAAATGACAATTAATTTGATTCAATCTCCATACGATATCATCTCATGAGAAATGGGAACGGCATTAAAATAAAATAGGAGAAGCTACTACATACTCAGTTTCCGACTAATGTGTTGATGAACTTGACATTGAAAAAGCAAAAACGTTAATTTTATTCAACAACTTTTCTTTGCTTTTTTCTTTTTTGCTTTCGATCGGCTGATGTTGATGCTGAACACAATGCAAGCGAGTTTAAAGCTTTATGTCAATTAAACGGCATTGCGCTTTGTTGTTTGTTGGCTCAGCATTCAGTTTCTTTTTCTTCATAAAATTTCGCTTTAGGTCATAGCATTGCATGGACAAATGGCCAAAAATAGGAAATGAGGATGGAACTTGACGTTCGTTTAGCTAATTAACTAATGAAGGCAAGGAAATTGGATTTATTGTCATCCAACGTTCCATTTATGATCTTTTATGGTGACCAAGGTGGGAACTGCTTACAATCTGTCATTACTGGATGACCAGAAGATTCAGAAAGCATCACCAGATAGCTTCACCAGCTCATTTCAAGATTAATCTTAACGACAATGAAAATCGTATCTAAAACATTCCCCGTTTCACTTCGTGACGTTAATTTATCATCGTGCGCGTCGTGCCTGCATGAAAGAAGTAAGAGATTGGATAAGGCCATCGAATAATGTCGCCACAGTGAAACAGAAACTAAACTTGCACTGAATTTTTTGTCTTGATATTGGAGATTAAACAACATTTATCACCCGACCTTGAATAAATTTATTACTTATTTATCTTGTACGAAGTATCACTAGCTGTGAAGTGAAAATAAGCCGCAAACTTTTTTTTCGCCTCCGCACTTGTTCGAGTGTTTAACCACTTAGAAACAAACTTCTTTTACATTTATTATGAAATATGAAATTAAATTTGCGGTTTACTTTCTTACAAAAGAATTATTTATCTACCTAATTGTAAATTGATAAATATTTTCATTTGTTATTTTCTTACATCTGCTAAATATTTATAAACAAAAAGTTTACGAACTGATAACGCGGACTTATGTCAATTTGAGATTTACAAAGTTGTTATTTTTTAAGTATTTAAGCTTTAAGATCATGAAGGAAAGCTTTACTCAACTCGTGATTTGAAAAGATTGAACGCTTTATCAATTTACGAGTTTATCATGCCGCTATACTTTAGCCCAATTAATTGTTGGCCATAAACAAAACTCAAGATAAGATATATTTAGGTTTATCAAACTCTCATGCTAGATTTTCGTCGGTAGAAAAAAGCAAAAATCGGAAGGCAGATTGAAATAGTTCAAGAAGATAACAAAAAATAGTTTTCTTTGATGTTTATCTTTCAATAAATCCATTCACAAAAAATTATGATTAAATCCAGTAGTTTGGCTTATCAATATCGAGGTTTCCTTGCTTAAAAACATAGAAATGTGATTTCTTCATAATTACAAAGTTTCATCCACTGACGTAAAATAAAAATTTTTCTTCCTTCTTCAGTCAAGTTTAATTAAAAATTTAAAAGAAAAAAATGATAAGAGAGAAAAAACTGATGAAATGAGTTTGTTTGAAATGATGATTCATTCATATTTATAAATACTTTTGAACCAATCAAATTACTCATTTTATCAATTTTTCTCTCTTATCATTTTTTTCTTCTAAATTTTGACTTAAAATTGGCTCACGAAATTTTTTATTTCAGTCATCAGATGAAACTTTTTAATTACGAAAAAATTGAATTTTTATGTTTTATAGCAAGGAAAGGTCGAAATTGATAAGCCAGTAGTTTGATCACATTAATTATAATTTTTTATGAACAACTATCATGCGTGTGCCAAACGTGAAAGTTGAATTATTTAACTGCATAAATCGTGTTTAATTTGGAACAAAATTTGATGCTTTATTTGAGTTACCGCTCAATAATTATCTTATGGCTTTTGGCTTATGTTGCTAATCTCACAATCGATCATCAACTAAAGGTGAGATGCCAAACTTCATTAATGGCTTTTGTGTACGCAACTAGTGGAAGTATCTAATTTTCAAATCAAAATGAACTAATCCGTAGATGAGAAGCATTAATACGACTTGAATGCACAATTCACAAAGTTTTACGCTTTTTCTTCTTTTTGTGGTCTGTTGAGAAGATTTTTTTTGCATAAATCATCAATTTTACAGAAGAAACAAGCGATAAAAATCTTTTTTCAGTAGCATGGGAAAATCACCATATTCACTTTCATCACAACTATTGAACTTTTTTCTCTCTCTGCACATAACTTAAATAATGATGATGAAACATCTTTTTTCTTACCTTTAGATTCATCCGTCATTTTGCTCTACTTTTTGATGATATTTTCTTTTCTTGAAAACAATAAAACTTGACTTTTACCACACTTTGATTCGAAACGAATCAATCTGGAAATAAAAAGTTTGGAAAGAATTTTTTAATTATAATTTCACGATTATAATTTCACTTTTAAGTATTTGCTAACAAGTGTGGTTTCTAGAAATAATAAATATTTTAATTATACAATTTGCTCTTAATTTTCGCGCTTATCAAAATTGATGCTGTCGTGTAATGAACAACAAATAATGAAGACACTAAACTTGTTCACAATGGACTATTTCATTGTTTTGATGAAAATATTTAGATAAATCACAATCACGAGTTTACTCAGATCCAATTTGAACAAGTTTTTAGAATATGTTTTATAAACTGATGACACTTGTCAACGAAATATTCAATAAATTCCTCTTGAAAATTTTAATTCCATTCTCATGGAAAATTTTATTACGAGATTTGTTTGAAAATATTTTATAGAAAAGCGTCACTGAATTAACGTGATTCTTTACTTAAAAGTGTAATTTAACTTTTCCAACCTGCATCAACGACGGTTGAGTAGTGAATGAAATGAGCGGCAGTAACGAGCAAAGAAAAATATCGCGAACGTAAAAACCTCTCTAGGTGTAGGAAAAAAAATAAAACTCAAAACTTTTTTACCTTTTTATTCACATTGCCTATTGCTTTCATTGAATGTACGAAAAAAAAGCTGCCATTGAACTTGTAAGCTTTTAATCTTTTACAACTGAGACTTAATAATTTATTTAAAGGAAATTTAATAATAAAATAGTTTTTAATTCCCCAATTTGTCTTTTTTTACATGATTCATTCTCATCGATTATTGAAAGGCTATCAATGATTCTCACCGCAGAACCATTTGTGGAATGTCTCCAAGGATTTTCACACTATAAATGATTCATATCATATAAAGACCTAGCCTCACAGATCTCGTGCTTTCTCTGTTTCATTTTAGAATGCTGGATGTTTACTTTTTCTCAAGTCGCTTTATTGAGATAACACTGAACATTAGACAAACACTCTTTTGCTCATGATCCACTTTCAAGATCTTTTGTTGTAGATAAACACATTTTATCTGTAAATATTCTGTTGTGTAACTAACTTATGACTGTTAAAATAATTAGATATTAAAAGAATTTGTGAAATTAATTGAAACTTATTACAAGCATAATAAAAGTAAATTGTAGGTGAATATCTTGAATTAAAAATATTGAAATTTGCAAGTGACAAATTCTTCTAACATGTTTTAAATTTAATTTATAAATTTAGAATATTTTTCGTTTAGATAATTCGGAAAAATGTTTTTTATAATTTTGGAATTAAAATCATCCGATAGTTCTAAATTTAGGCTAAGCTTTCTCGTGTCTTATCTTTTACGCTGACTCAAGCTAAATTTGCTTTTATCTCAATGACCTTATCTTAGCTTGTCTTCTTCTTTGATGAAAATTAAGAACTTTCTAGTTTAAGGATTACACTTATCAGCAAATTTACTAATTTCTTATTTTTAGCAAGTTATTTCATATAATCTTTTGTTATCATAATTGTTTAATAAAAGGTGAACATTTTCCTTTAACTTTTGATGTCTAAGAAAGCATTAAAGGATTAACTTTGTTAACTCATTTAATCTAATGAAATTACTTATCGCAACGAAAGACAATAAAAAGAATTATGAGATAAATGAGCACTGCTAGAAAATATGTTTCGTTACTTCTATTGCGTTATAGCAAAAAGTTTTATTTATAGAAATAATTATTGCATCGTGTTCAGGTTCTTCATAGCATAAGTTCATAAAATATATGAAACTCAACGTCAAACTAATACATATTCTACTAAATTAGATACTTCGTGATAATTTTATCATTAAGAAAGTTCTTTCCTTATGATTTAATTTACAAATGAAACGACTTAAATAATTTATTCTTATCAATTTTGCATATTTTTTTTTCGAAGACCACATTCAAAACCAACATCTGATTTCATTTTATTAATTTACAATTTAAAAGTGCATTGAACTGCAAACAATTCCCACTCCAAGTGTATTTTTTAATTATAATTTGATTGAAAGCTCATTTTATTGCTTATTTTATTTTCAACTGTTATGCTTTAAGCATTTGAAATTTAATTAAACGATCAGTTGTTGAATCAAATAAGTTCTCGAATTGAAACTTATAAAATTATAATAAATAAGAAATGTCAAATAAAAGTGCAGAAAATCAATTGAATACTTTTAAATATGAAACAAAGGTTAATAAAAGAAATGTTCTTTGTTTAAGTAAAAGTTTCTAAATTGCAGAAACTTTTACTTCGCAGCAATATCATTAATTTTCTCATTGCAACCACACATCAATTCATGCATCAATCAGCATATGTTTTTATAAGTTAACAAGTTGAAATAATCAATAACAAAAAACTATCGAAGTTATTATTTAAAAGCTAAATTTCTATTTTCTCATATTTTCTTTTAAGAATTGCCCTGAAACAGCAACAAATTCCAGTGGTGCACCCATCGGAATCAAAACAGCAATTCTCACTGGTGAAGTTTAGAATAAAATCTCAAAGTAAATCAATTTCATGACTTTGATTCAATTACAGTTGGAAAGTATGGACCGTCACTTTTAGAAGATGCAAATTTCATCGACGAAATGGCACATTTTGATCGTGAAAGAATTCCAGAACGTGTTGCACATGCAAAAGGTGCTGGTGCATTTGGATATTTTGAAGTAACGCATGACATCACTCAATACACTTCAGCAAAAGTTTTCGAAACTATTGGAAAAATCACTCCAATTGCGATACGTTTTTCAACTGTAGTTGGTGAGCGTGGAAGTGCTGACACTGTACGCGATCCACGCGGTTTTGCAATGAAATTTTATACTGAAGAAGGTGTTTGGGATTTAGTTGGAAACAACACTCCAATATTTTTTGTTCGCGATCCCACGCTTTTTGTAAGCTTTATTCATAGTCAAAAAAGAAATCCAGTTACAAATCTGAGAGATTACAACATGTTTTGGGACTTTATTTCCCTGCGACCTGAAACAACCCATCAAGTGATGTTTTTGTTTAGCGATCGAGGCATTCCTGATGGTTATCGATTTATGCATGGCTATGGCAGTCATACGTTTAAGTTTCAAAATTTAAATGGTGAAGCTTTTTACTGCAAGTTTCACATGCGAACAGCACAAGGTATTAGAAACCTTGATGTTCAAAAAGCTGCAGAATTATCGGCAATTGACCCTGACTATAGTACTCGCGATTTGTATAATGCTATAGCCAGAGGCGAATTTCCGACGTGGAATATGTTTGTTCAAGTCATGACATTGGATCAAGCTGCTTCATATAAATTCAATCCATTTGACGTCACAAAAACTTGGAGTCAAAGAGAATTTCCACTTATTCCTGTCGGCAAGTTCACACTTTATCGAAATCCCAGAAATTATTTTGCAGAAGTGGAACAAATTGCATTTGCGCCGAGTCATCTCATTCCCGGAATTCTTCCATCACCCGACAAAATGTTACAAGGTCGATTGTTCTCGTATCAAGTAATTGACTTTCAAAACAGTTTTTGAATGATTTAACATTGTTAAATGATTTTTTATCTAACTGATAGGACTCCCATCGTCATCGTATTGGAGCCAATTATCAACAACTTCCCGTCAATTGCCCTTATCGCACGTCGCCACGAAATTATCAACGAGGTGATTGAATATAATAAAACTGAATTTAATATTTCACTTATCAGATTATCAATCATTAAATCAAAAGACGGTCCCATGTGTCTCAATGACAATCAAAGTGGAGCTCCAAATTATTATCCAAATTCATTTAATGGACCGGAACCAAGTCAACGTGCAAAAGATTTGCAACCTCCTTATAAAGTTGTTGATGACGACGTTTATCGCTACGATAGTGGAGATGAAGACAATTTCTCTCAACCTTCCGTGTTTTGGAATTTTGTGTTAGATGACCCAGCCCGTGAACGATTGATCAAAAACATCGCAAATCATCTGGGAAATGCCGCTGAATTTATTCAAGAACGAGCAATCGGAAATTTTGCAAAAGTTGATTCAGATTTTGGGAACAATTTAAAAATTATGTTGAACACAATTAAAGGGAATCAATGCAATTAAACATTTTTCTGTTGTGACTAAAAATAATTTCTTATAATCATGCAATAAAAATATTATTCAAGCATCTCATAGCAATCATATTATAGAAATACAAATGATATAAATCTGCTATAAATTTCGTCTATGATTGTGACGTCATTCTTCTCATGTTTCTTCTTACTACTAAGATATTCGACGTAGCTAAATTATCATGAAGAATGAAGGCAATGCGTTTAGATAATCATAGTTTTATGAATTCTTATCACACATTTAGCTTCTGATTTTATGATTGATTGGCACTTCTAAGTTTTTTCTATCTCAAATGTTTTGAATTGCTATGAAGTGATAAGAACTACTTGATTGTCATAAAAATCTAAATTCCTAAGTACGAATCATTAATCAATCATGACTATTTAGCCAAAATTTGTTCGCTTATCAGAAACAATTGAGTTTTTATAAGTAGTTAGGAAGATATTAAAAAGATGTGAAGTGTTTTGTATAGAATATTCCATCACTCAATTGCTTCCATCAATTTTCTTTTCTTAATGTAAGTAGTTAAACAAATTCTAATAACTTCTGATAACTTAATGGATGTTTCAAGTAGTTGTAATAACTATAACAATATTGTTTGTTTAAAGAAATTTAAAAACAGTTTCTTATCTAGAAGTGATCAATCAGGTAAAGTAAAACTACAAGTTGCGCACGTCTATGGTTTTATGACCCTGACATGTAACTATTTAATACATCAAAGTCTTCCAGAGTTCAGCAATCCAAATTTCGATTATATGAACTAAAAGGAAGTGTAAGTTTGATTTGATCCAGAAGTTCTGAAGAATATTTAGATTAAGTCTAGTGGACGTCATGAATATCAAGATGAATATGAAGTGAAAAGGAAATTGACGATAATAATAAAAAATAATTGAATGACTTAAGAATTTCTCTTAAATGCCAACGCATTTCCACCGCCTTTTATTAAATCGTAAAAATGATAACAGCATAGAAAGAAGCGATTGAGTAATAAAACTTCTGTTTTTAATATATGAGCAAATACATAAAACAAGAGTTGTGTTCATTTTTATAAATAATTTTTTCATTATGAGCAGTGGCTCGCAGGGGCTTCATAAAATTACAGAGACAACGTACTTAGTTAGTTTCTACTTAAAATCCTCGTTTACGATCATCGTTAATATTCATTTCATGAATCTTGTTGACAAATTCATTCATTCTGTACACAACTTAAACATCTTTCAAATAACTAATGTTGGAGGTGCTTATTTGTTATAAATTGAATAATTGCAATCGCTATTTGTGTTCAATGCTTCAAGTTGACAATATAATGAAGTAAACAGTAGATAAAAACATATCTAATTGATTAGTTAGATAGATATTTATTGTTTTCCTTAAGCTATAAAATTAAAATATTTTTGACCTTATTGCAGAGAGAGAATAAATCACGTAATGAAGTTTTGATTACTTGAACATCTAAACAAGATTATTTTTAAACAATATTTCCCTTCTGACAATTTTCAGGGGGCTTTTAAATGTTCATGCATGAAAATATTTCATTGCAATTCTCTTTACTAGGTAGCTGAATAAAGTTATGAAAAGTCACGATATAAAATATTTCAAGGCGTTGGACGAAAAACTTCGTTCATTTTTTGCAGATCCTTAATAAAGTTATTTCCGTAAACTTTTTTAGGAGCGCCAACGCACCCATGATAAGTGATAAAATTCTTTCTATTGACTACTTTATTTATGACATTAGATTATCTTTGCTAATGAAGCCACAAGGACTTATAACGTTCAGACATTCTCAATCTTAAGTGTTTTTGTGTTTCTTTCAAAAAGAAAGATATGAAGATAATCTGAAAAATGAAAGTTAGAGAATGACGTTGATGTCATCAGACTTTAAATCTATTTAGGAAACAAAGTTTTCAATCAGAGAGAATGAGTGAAGTCATCGTCAGTAGCTCACTTATTCAAACACAACAAAACAGTAAAGAAGAAAAAACTGTTCTACGATTTTCCGTAGGCTAACTAACAAGCTTTTAGTCATTGATGAGCGTTCATCGTCGACGGTTCTCTTAATTTTTTTTCCTTAAATCACTTGTCGTTTATTGTGAGACATTTAAAAACAAAGTTATCCGAAGTAAAACAGTTGAAAAGAAAAATAGCAAAAAGCAAATAAAAAATAATTACTGTGTTAATTAAACCATTAAGCTTTGGCAACAATTGAAAAAGTCAACAAAATTGTCAGTGAAAAAGGTGAGAACAAGGAATGATTAGCACTTATTTATTGAATGATCTGTTGGTTGTAGGAGCAGCTGTTTCATATCAAGACCATAACAAAGTTGCCTTCAACGTTTATGTTAGATTATCTAATTATGCTCTCCCATTTCACAATGCCATATCAAAAGTGGTCTGAATATTAATGTGAGTGCTTAGTGTGGTGCGGCTTCGTATACTTTTGACTTTTCACTGCTCGAAATTACTTTTTCCTTCACATTTTATTATTTACGTAGAAAATTGAAAAAATTTCGGATATTTAAGAAAAGTTTTTCATGATATTTGATTATATTTAAGAGGAGGAAAAGATAATTATTTATTCAGTGACTGAATGTTTGTAGTATCGACGACTATTGTTATTCTTAAAAATCGTTGAATTATCAACAAAGTATATTCGTTGTTTTTTCTAAAAAAGAAATCTTGGCAGCTCTCAAATTTTATGAAACCATCAAACGAAGTTCAACCTCGTGAATAAATATTTGAAACTCTTCACGTGCTCAAATCAAAATAAGTATCTACATGAATTAAATTTCTTCTAGTTTATAATAATAACATGCATGTGAAGAATGTAAAACTTTCATGTTCGAAACCTAAACAAATTTCTGTTATTCGGTATTGTGAAATATTTCCTGCAAATTCCATTAAGCCTTAACTAAATTAATGGCGCGAAAATATGAATTTAAATGACTAGTCAACATGAGAGAAAAGGAAAAAGTTTATTTTATTCACGCATTTGGACATTTTTAGTTTTGACAAAATTTTCATAAAATGTACGCAAAATATTCAGCAAAATTAAGTTAAGAGGTTTTGATAGTTACAATCTAATCTAATCTTATCTTTCACTTTCGAGAAGAATTGTTTAATTTTATTGAGAGATTTGGAGCCGAAACTGATGTTTGGAATTTTCTTCCTAATAATTTTTGAAATTCTCAGTGAGAATTCTTTGTTTTATCATTTTAAAAGATGACCAGAATAAAAATTCAATAATCTCGACATGACTTGATCATCTTAATTAAAATATTATTAAGAAAATTTGTTATTCATTGATTCATATAACGAAGAAATAAAGAATGTTTCACGTGCTAGATTGTGTTGCATCACAAGTAATTTTAGAATTTATTATGTTAGTTCTAATCACATTTTAATTCAACTCAAACTTTTCGCCACTTATTTATCTAATCAAAAAGATTTGAAGACTAAATCTAAATGCTTGAAGACTATAATAGTGTCGCAAAATAATCAATCATGGAGAATGATGCAACCACAAAGGTTTTGAATTCTTCTCTATCTGATCGCCACAAGGAATTCGTGATTTTCATAAATTCACTGAAATGATTAGCCTAGATTAATATAAATGAATTGTATATAAAAAGAAGTAAATTCAGTCCATTCAACATCATTCTATCAACCCAAGCATCAAGACAGTCTTGGCACACTCGCACGGAAATTGAATAAAGCTACATCCTATGGCAATTTAAATTCCTCGGTTTTAATCTATTTTAAACAATTATGATGATCCAATATGAAAAATTGGACATTTCATATTTTCTAATCAAAATAATGACAATAAAAAATTCTGATTATGGTTAAATAACGAATTTTGACACATAAAGTTTAAACATGAATTTATAACTTGCAATGTTTTTTCATTCATAAATTTGACCATAAATTAATTTAAAATTTTATCATACTCTTGGAACCGCTGGATATAAAGTAAGCCACAAGTCTTTATTTAATTAGAAATTATCATCAAGTATACTTATTGTGCAATGTCATAAATTAAACAAAAGTCTGAATTGCGTTTACGACATCATGAGATCAGTTGGCAGTGGCAAATAATTTGTTATCAATTTTTTTCTTCACCCAAGGCTGAGTGATAATGCGAATAAGTTTCTTCCAATTCACAAAAGACACAAATTAATCCATCACATCGAGTTATTCAGTGATTTCGGTTATTTATTACATGTAGGTATAAATATGTGTGCTATCAGTCATTAGACTTGGAAACAAAATTATTAATAGAAGTTGATGATCGAAATTCTGGATGGACAAATTAGATCACTCAAAATATTTATTATGTGAATAACTTAATTCAGTTATTTATTCAAGTTCAATTGTTCTTTATGCTGGCAATAGCTTTCAATTTATTTTACGATAATATAAAGCATAACCCTCTTCAATTATCTAAGTCGTCAAGTTTCATTTGTCTGCGTACGAAATGTTTACAACCGAATGATAAAATGTCGTCGAGAGAATAAATGTGATCTACTTAAAAACCTTCGGTAATGTTCTTGTCGAGACAAACCCATTAAAGGAGATTTAATAGACATGTGACATAGAGGAAGAAAGCTCGATAGGATAATTATGCTGTCTATTGTTGAAGCATAAATAGCATAAAACAATTGAACCATATTGCGAAAAAATAGTTAAAGAGATTCCTTAAGAAATAAAACCTAAATGATTCATTAAAGATTTCATACAATAATACCATTAAAAGTAGAAATATTGCAAAGAGAATTATAAACATTCATCGTAAATTTATTCTTGTTATGGAAGGTAAACTTGTATGGTGTGACGATTGGAATTTATCTCTATAAAGTCATATCGTCATTGCGCTTCATATCGCCAATTGGGAAAATTTTAGAATGTTTTTTAACTATTCATGCTAAGGTAATCAATGAGTTAATTGAACCCAAAAGTATTACTTCAAATTCAGAAAAGGAATGAAACCAAAGCGAGACAAGATTTCAGGTCACTTTGCTTTTTAAAAAGAGTTGAAACATTCTTTCGGTAGCTTAGCAAATTAGTATTAAACTGTGTTAAACAATAATTAATTGAATATTGGTTTAAAAATGTTTACAATGAATAGGAAATTTATAATGAATGTAGAATTATTAAGAAACTCGTGGCTGTGTTAAAACAGTTTAAATATTCTTCACTTATCAAACATTTTTTCATTAATTAAACACTTTTTAATTTAATAAAACCGAATGTCAACTTACTTTATTTCTTTTAATTACAAATAGATAAAAAATTGCGTTGAAAATATTTTTCTGAATTAAAATTCATTAATAGTGGCACGTTTGTTGTTTTTATGGTGCTTCAATGGAATTTATTAGTTTCTGCTATCTAAATGTTTTTATTCTATTCGTCATCTACATTTTTACAGTGTTGCAACTTGCAACGGCATGAGTCTGTTATCAAATTTATTCTCTTATGCATATTTTCCAACTTTAGGCAAATCATTGAAAATAAGTTCATAAAATTTTCTTTTGTGCTTTTCAATTCGTTCCAGTTTTCCTTTTATAAGTAAAGTCACGATGGCAAAATACACGATAGGAATAAATGAGTTGAAAGACAAATCGCACAACTTATGGAAGTCTGTCCTCGCTGAATTTATTGGCATTTTCATCCTTTGCTTCTTCTCGTGTGCAGCTTGTACACAATCGAATGGAGATCTCACGTTGATTTCACTTGCCTTTGGTTTAAGTGTTTTCATGGCAGCATGTGTAAGTAAATTCTCTCAAAAGTTATTTCAATTCGAGTAATAATTATTGTAAATTTAGACAATTGGTCACATCTCTGGATGCCACATTAACCCTGCGGTAACTGCTGGGCTCTTAGCAGCTGGAAAAATTTCTGTCGTCCGTGGAATCTTTTACGTCATTTCACAATGTGCTGGAGCTGTCGCTGGTGTTGCTTCTCTGAAAGCATTAATTAGTGATGTTCCTGGCGATGGCCCTGCAGGATTGGGTCACACAAATTTAAAGAATATTTCCGAATTTCAAGGTTTTGGATTTGAATTTTTCCTTGGATTTATTCTGGTTTTGGTTGTTTTTGGTGTAACTGATGAAAACAAACCAGATTCACGTTTTCTTGCACCATTGGCTATTGGATTAACTGTTTCACTTGGACATCTTGGAACGGTCACATACACTGGTTCAAGTATGAATCCAGCTCGCACTTTTGGCACGGCTTTTGTCACAGGCATTTGGGAAAATCATTGGGTGAGACAAAAGTAAAACTTAAAATTGAACTTTTTATCAATTTTGCTTATTTCTTAGGTTTACTGGGCGGGTCCAATTCTTGGTGGTGTTGCAGCAGCGCTTCTGTACGTTCTCTGTTTCGCAGCACCAGAAATTGAAAGCCATGACTTAGAAAAGTATCGTCAAGTACAACAAACTGATGAGAAAGAGGTACCCGCTTTATTCACACTCACTTAGACACTTAATTGTAGTTTGAGATTTTAGTAATCATTTTTAACAATATTTTAGGGACTGAAAAAATATCCTGACCTTAAATACATCGATGAAGAATGATTTTTCTTTCCTTTCAAATCATCTTTTCCTCCTTCCATCCTTAATTGTTTTATTTTGTTGCCCACAATAATTTCCTTACATTAACTTAAGACATGAATTCCACACCACATTAATTAAATCTTTTCTCTCTACTTTGGTTTGTTAAATATTCCATTTATAAATAGGTACGTTGAGTTGTAGTTATTATTTCATAATAATTGTTAACTTCATTGTGCAACTGCAACTAATCTTTATTCATTAATATTTCGTCCCTTTTAATATACAAAATTCTTTTCTTTTCGTAAGCTTTTGCTTGTTATGCTCAAAATATTAAAAAATTTCAAGTTGTTTTCACAAACATGTTTCCCGATAAAAAGTCACACAATAGATGAAAATTTTACATTAATCTTTTCACTTACAGATGCGAAATTTCAACCCTTGAATGCTTTAACTATCCACAACCATTGAACTTATGATTTTCGAATTTCAACACCGCAATTTGCTTCTAGTTGATAAGAGCACCAGTCGAATTCAACTGCGTCACTTTCGCTGCACACTTTCAGATAAATAAAAACTTCATTCACATTTTAATTTAATCAACATAAATAAATGCAAATTGCACTGTGAAAATACATGCTAGATAATTAAATATTTATTATCATTGGAGAAATCAAAAATGTCTAAAGATTTATGTTACATCAAAGATTAAGAATCAAATAAAATTAATCATGAAAAGAAAATTGTTTTATTAATAAAATTGTTATTAATCAAAGTTGAAAGAGATAAAATGGAAGTATTTTCGACTTATTAATTATTTATTAACAAAATGGAGACAAATATTAATGAAATGCAATAAAGTTAAAATTGGCAGATAAAGTTTAGTGTATTTAGGCTTTTATTACATACATTAGTTATTGTATACACTTTTACACAAAATTATTATTAAAAAAGAAAAGAGCAAATCATATTAGCTTCTTGAATATGTTTAAAAACCTAAAATTAATTTATGTGCAATGTTTAAGGATATTTTATGCTCGCATCATCCAATTTCCATCTTTCATGATAATTTTTCCTTGTTTTTTCAATTGCTCGATTTTTGCTTGAGACATTTTGAGAACTTTCTGTTTCATTGGTAATTTCTTGTCGGGAATAACGTCAGGTTCTTTTTTAACTTTAACTTTGCTTGAGCTGCTCCGTCCAACATTTGCCTTTGGAGTTTCATTTGCTTTCGCTGAAGATTTCTTAACGTTTACCGATAATTTTTGTAATTTCGGTGGTGGATCGTAAGATGTAACTTCTTCATATTCTACAAAAGCCGCTTCTTCAATCTGCGCTGCTTCGAATTGTTCATCGTCAAGGAACTCGTAATCGTGAACTGAAATTTCTTTCGCATTCAATGTCACCATTGAAGATTTTCGTTTCGTTGATGATTGTGTTGATTCTTGTCTTGGTTTCTCTTCCAACATTTCTTCAACGTCATCGTCAAGCGAACAAAGTTCTCCTGAATGTTGATCTATTAAATGATTGTTCAGGTCATCTGAACTCATGAACGAAGAATTGCAATAATCGCAGTAATACATGTCAGATTTTGAATGAAGTTTGATGTGTTCACTTGTTTCTTCATGAGATTCAAATGTAACTTTGCACAATGGACAAGTAAGTGACAAAGCATGTTCATTGCAATGATCGAAAAACTCAACGCGATCATCATAAACTTTCTCACATACTGGACAATAGTAACAAAAAGCTTCGTCCTTAAGAGCGTGAGATGTTCTCATATGTCGGTAGAGATGATGTGACAACATAAATCGTTTGGTACATTTTGAACATGGAAACGGACGCGTCCCAGCATGTTCACTTGACAAATGTCGTTGAAGTCTCGCTGCACTTGGAAATCTCAAAACGCAGTACTGACATGGATGAGGTTGAGCTTCATAATCATGACTTACCGAATGTCGATCCAATCCTTGTTTAAATGCAAAACTTTTATTGCAAAGTTCACACTTAAATGGCCGATTTTTGGTGTGAGTCAAGACATGTTTGTTGTAATCTAAGACATTAAGATAAACACGTTCACATGCTTCGCAATGATAACGAGGAATATTCGGATCTGTGTGAATTTTCTCATGTCGATAAAGCAAAGTTGATCTTGAAAAACTTTTACTGCAAACAATGCATTCGTAATCTTTTTGTTTTGTGTGTGTGAGAACGTGTTTGGCTAGATCATATTTGGTGAAGAAGCTTTTATCACAATCACTGCAAGGATGATTTCGTTCTCTTTCGTGATTTTGTTTGTGAATTACGAGCTGTTGATGTAAAGTGAAGCTTCGTTCGCAAACATCACAAGTGTACACAACGCCATCATCTGACTTATCTTGAGGTTCCTCTTTGGATTTCACGTCTTCATAATCGTCAAGATATTCTTCAGTATAAGAAACAATTTGGATTTGTCCATCGGGAGTTGTCTCAATTGAATCGACCAAAGATCCTTCAAACTTCGGTTTTGACAACTGCGCATTGAGAATCAAAGGTTTGATGTTTTGGACTTTTTCGGTCTTTACATTTGCTGGTTTCTTAAAACGTTTTACTCCAGTTGACTCAGGCAAACCTTTGTTAAGAATCTTTACATGATTTTTTTCTTTTTTTATTGCTAATTTTGGTTTTTCGTTTTCTATTATGATATGCTCTTCTTCAACTAAGTTTTCAGTAAGAGAAAACTGTGCGGGAGGTGCAATAATTTCATAGTTGTCACCTTCAATTATCATGTCCATCTGCTCAATGTCTGGATCTGTTTGAGTTTCTTGAGATTTTGTTGTTATCTCATTGTCATTTCCAACACAAATTGATTTCATTTCGGGCTTCACTTCGTCTTCAACTTTTTTAAAAGGAATCATTTCCTGCGGAATTTCTATTCTTGGAGGAACATTCCCAGTAATAGGATACATCTTGAGAAGCGTATCAGAACGCTTGCAAATTTGTTTAAACTTATAAGCGTTACCGAGAATTGTTTTGCAAATATTGCAAATTTTACGAGGCATTCCATCGCTTTGAAATACCTAAAATCATAATAAATTAAATATTTGTAACATGATTTAAATATATTTAACTCACTTCTACGCTTCCTATTGAGAGAATTTCCATGGGAAGATTAGAAGACTCGAAAATGTCTGAAAAATTTATTGTTTCATCTTGACTCAAGCATATTCGACAAATCCTTCTATTTTCTAACTCTATTGATCGATCCATATTGAGATTTCAATATAATTAACTATTCTTTTACTTTTTTTTATTGTAATCTTTACTTAGAGATTGCAAAAAGTAATTTTTATTTTATTGTAAACAACAAAACAGAATTTCGTTAAAAGTTGTAGGGTTGAGGACTTTGTTAGGATCTTTCAAATTCACCGGTTCATAATGTGTACGTTACGGTTCATACCATAGATCCGGTTCAAAAGTCAGTCTGACATTATGAAACAACATTAAAGTTTATTTTCGGTGTAAAAAATGTCATCACAAAACCAACCTGAAGTCAAAGTTAAGGGAATAGACAGAAAATTAAAACAGTCAGAGATTGATTTTATGAAAATAATTGAAGAACAGAATTTGCAGCGTGTATTGAAACTGAAAAAAACTCGCAAGAATAATTTGTTAGTCGGTAAATATTCATAAAAATAAAACTTTCGATTATCCACATTGACTTTGTTATTGTTCAGGTGCATTGCTTGGATTTGGAGTATTGGGTATCTACGGATATTCAATGTTTGCTGTCCAACAAGAAAAATTCCTTGACGACTTTGAAGAACCATTAAAGGAAGAAATTAAACAATAAAGTAACATATTTAAATTTTTAATTCATCCAGTCATGGCAGCGAGTGTTGTAAAAAGCATTATAAAAAGTTCACATCGTCTCCCACCACTACCAACAATTCGTGATCTTATTCGTTTATTCAAATTACGTGCACTGAAGCAGTTTTCACAAAATTTCCTTATGGATCAGCGTTTAACTACCAAAATTGTAAAATCCGCTGGTAGAATTACAGATGGATTGGTTTTGGAAGTTGGACCCGGACCAGGAAGCATAACAAGATCAATTTTAGAGCAATATCCAAAGCATTTAGTTGTCGTTGAAAAGGATAGAAGATTTATTCCCAGTCTTGAGCTTTTAGCTGACGCAACAAAAGATTTGGTTCGAATGGATATAGTGAGAGATGGTAAGAAGAAACATCAAAAAAAAAGAAGATTTAAAACAAATTTAAAATATTTTCAGATATTTTATTATATCAGTGCGAACATGCCTTTCCTGAACATCCAAAGGTAGAATGGGAAGAAGATAAAAGACCAAATATTCATTTAATTGGAAACTTACCATTCGCTATATCAACAAGATTGCTTATCAATTGGCTTAAAGACATCAGTTTGAAACGAGGTGCTTGGACTTATGGTAGAAGCACAATGATTTTAACTTTTCAATTGGAAGTGGCTGAAAGAATTATTGCTCCCATTAGCAGTGATCAAAGATGTCGTCTTTCAGTGATGTCGCAAATTTGGACAAAGCCATTATTGAAATTCACAATTCCTGGCGGAGCGTTTATTCCTCCACCGAAAGTTGACGTCGGTGTTGTTACTTTAATACCACTTAAAACACCCTTAACGACTCTTCCATTTGATCTTGTTGAGAAAGTTTTGCGTTACATCTTTTCGATGCGTCAGAAATATGTACGTCGAGGTATTGCCAATTTATATCCTCCAAAAGTTCAGGAAGAGTTAACTCAATTAACCTTTCAAATGGCCGATGTTGATCCACTTTATCGATCATTTCAATTGTCGAATGAGGAATGCTTAAGACTTGCTGAAAGTTATAAGAAAATTATAGATGAAAATTCTGAATATGCTGATTACAATTATCGTGCTCCAAAGAGTGAGCGGCTTGAGATGATGTAGTTTTTATTTGTCATTAGAATTCAGAATTAATAAATTAGTCATACGATAAGTCATCAAATCTTTTATTTTGAAAAATATTATTTGAACATTTTGCTTTGTTATTTAGATTTCCATCACACAATTCAATAAGCAGGAGATGGCATTTGTTCGTCATTTAAAGCAGCTAACAGATTAGTCACTACCAGCTTTGCCATCAAGTCGCGTGTTCCAACTGTCGCTGAACCTAAATGAGGCGTTATTGTGCAATTCGGTATTGTTAACAAAGGATGATCTGATGGCAATGGTTCCGGTGTCATCACATCGATACCAGCAGCAAAAATTTTCTTATTTTTCAAGGCATCATAAAGTGCTTCTTGATCAACAACATCACCTCGTGCAACATTAATTAAGACACTTGTTGGTTTCATTCTCCCAAACACTTCAGCATTGAACATTTTTCGTGTTTCAGTAGTTGATGGACAAATGATGAATACAAAATCACTTTTTTCTATCAATTCATCAAATGTTACAAATTTTGCATTAAATTTATCTGCTTCGGGTTTTTTGTTATGGCCACAATACAAAAGTTCACCAACATCAAATCCAGTTAATCGCTTGGCAACTGTTTGTCCAATAGCACCGAAACCAACAATTCCTACAGTTGATCCCTTAATGTCGAATCCTAAATTCCATTGCAGCTTTAATTGCCATTCGCCAGCTTCAAGTTTCTGCCTTCCTTCTAAGAATCGTCTGCTTGTAGAAATGAGAAGTCCCATCGCAATGTCAGCTGCGGTATCAGTCAAAACATTTTGAGTGTTTCCAAGTGGAATTTTTCGACGTTTCAATTCATTGACATCAATATGATCAATTCCAATTGAAAACGTTGAAACTGCCTTTAACTGAGGTCCAATCGTGTCAAGAATTTCTTTATCAAGCTTTGAGTAAACCCAGAAAATTCCATCCATGCCTTTGCATTTTGACAAAGTTTCTTCTCGTTCAATTGTGTCGCAGATTGTTACATCGCAATATTCATGCAGCACATTTAAAGCTGCTTCTGGGCAATCCCAACATTGAACTAACACTTTCGGTCGCCATCCTTTAAAATCAAACTTTCTGATTGGTATTAATAACGAACGTAAAGCCATGACTGAATTTTCTATTTTTTTCTTGCTTTAATTAGCGTTTAAAGAGCTTAACTTTAATCAGAATTGATAACAATTATGAAAATAATGTAATCAGGGAGCATTCGCTCAACTGAGTACACTGAAATGATTTAAATTATGCTGATCAGTGACAAAATTTAGAATTTGATTTTTGTAATTTTTGATGAAATTGGACCGGCTCAAAGTGATAAAATTAATCTTTTATCATTTGTACAATTTGTGCTTGTCAAGTTTGTAACAAAATAACAAATAATAATAAACAATAATTAATTTATATTTAATTAAAGAGTTAATTATTTATTAATTAACAATTATTGTTATGAACAAAATTTCTCCCTTGACATTTGGTTCAATAAATGATCATTGTGCACTAAAATTAATGAAGTTTCATAGCAAGGATGCTTATCAATGTTATATTTTATATATCTGCAGTTGCTTTTAAATTCATTTAAGGCAAGTGAAATTTCCTTCTCATCGAACTTTGGCTCTTCAAAGCTTTCATCAGTTTTTGGAAGTTCTGATAGCTGGCGATAATCATTTTCACATGCTTCACAAGTGCATGCAAAACCATAGCGTTGCAATTGCATTTGTCGTTCTGTTTTCGCCATTCTACAAGAGCTGTATCCATAACTGATAAATATTTGTTCTCCTTTTTTAATTGGTTTCTTAACAATAAGAACAATTTTGTTGTCTAAAGTAGTTCTTGTAACGTTCGCATCACAGTTATGATTAATCAAAGAAATGAATGGACACAATCCACTCCCTATAGGAGTTGCGTACCAATACGAATCATTAATTAAATTATGTTCACCCATCTCTAGAACATTCGTGTTATGAATTCTCAAAAGTTTGACAAAAAAACTTATCAAAAATTCAAGATCATTGTCAGTTTTCCAAAGTGACTTGAATGGAGGAAAATGGAAAATTGATTTCATTTTTTCTGTCAAATTTATTTCTGAACTTTTCGACAATGCCATTGAATTGATGATTAGAAGGATATTTTTATAATTCTGCTTCTTTCTTTCATCAGACAAGTCAAAATCGAAGACAGTAAAATGTTCAGAATTTTTTAAAAGCTTTTGAAGTTTGTCGAAATCTCCTGCAATGTTGATTGCTGACAGCAACATTTTTGTACACACTTTAAGAACTTCAGGTTGAGGTTTCTGACAACATTCAAATTGATGGATTGTGTCTTCGTAATCAGTCTTACAGTTGGTCGAACAATACATTGCTGAATTAATAAAATCATTTTAAGCAACTTTTATCAAACTTAATCAGACATTCTTACTTGTCGTGCAATTCTCGCAAGGAATCAAACTCAGTTGATTTGAAGTTAAGCAATTAGAGCATCGCTGATGACAAAACTCATCATTAATGAATTTGAAAAATGGTTCTTCGATTGCTACGACATCACCAGGATCAAGTTGGGAATCCGTGACAACAAACCTTCCGAATACTTCGTCTTCACAAACTTTCAAACAATCAGCTATGAAAGGAATTTTCTTGTTTACCGGATGTGAGATTTTAAAAATATCTTCATGCTGACTCATTAGACTTTCTTTTTGTATTAACTTTTTACAAATATTCTCACGTGAAATTAATTTGTTCATTTTGTTAGACGGATAGTTGTTAGTACGAGCAAGTCGGATGTTATCCAAACATTTTTCATACAACTTCAGTTCAAAGTAGACGGCAGATCTATTGCCGTAAGCTAATCCAAGTTGTAATGTTTTTTCGGAGTTACACAGGCTTTTGTTATACAACACGAGCGCTTCTTTGAATTGATGCTTCTTAAATTGTAAATTCCCTTCATTGCGAAACTTTTCTGACATCTCATAGCTATGTTGATGTTCATTTTTCCTTTTGATGTTCTCAAACATTATAACAAAAGATTTCTAATTCTCAATACGTAATTGCATACACAAAAGCTAATTTTAACTCATTTATTTTTGTGTCGAGTGATAATTTTAATTAGGAAGTCGAGTTGGAAGAACAACTTCTGCTCGCATCGAAATGTGAACGATTACTGAAGTTCCCAACTTTCTTCTACTCAAATACTGTCTAGTAATCCTTTTTTTATTGCCTGATGACTTTTCTTATAATGAAAATTTTCGCCACAGTAGTTGAACGCAAATTGTTTTAATGTTGAACGACTATGAGCAGCGTGAGTGAAATACGATCGTTTTGAAATCGTTCAAATTAAATTTTGTTTACACAAATTTTCTTTCTTTCTTTTCAAGATATAATGAAATATGAGAGAGAGAAGACTTTGTTGGATTTTCACAAAATTTCCTTTTCTTCCAACTCTCGAAGTCACTCAATCTGACTGTGATGTGACGAATGAAATCTCTTTAAAAATAAAATTAACATCCCACAATGTGTCAAGGTCTAGACACAACTGAATTGGCTGCCAGTTGTTGATAGATGTTGAGACGAAACTTAGGAAACCCTGATGATCATTTTTATTACTTACTGCTCTCGTCTCAACTCTCACTCATAGAACTGTGCAGAAAATTTTCACAAGATTTTAATGAAGTGTCTAAAATTAAACAAATTTTATATCATTCTACAGAGTGCAGCACTCCAAGCATGTTTCTTTATTTTGCACTCTTACAATGATTCTTTCATTAAGAAATAAAATGAATTTGGAAAATGATTTCAATTAAGATTAGTAATAGCGTGTTCCATTTCTGTCATACATTTCTTCGTATTTATGATCAATGCAACCGGCAGTGCGACGTTTCAAATTCCAACTTTTCTTAGTCTCATCAGTGCTAGTGTAAGTAATAATGGGCCGAGTGCTCCAATACAGATACTGAGATGGAGTTGGCAACAATGGGCCACAATATGGATAATCAGGTCCACAAATATTGTGAGTTTCAATTTGCTTTCTCATCAAAGGACATCGACAACCAGCCATTGCTTAATAATTTTGATTTTAATTTGCCAAAAATGTTAAAATATTTAAGTCCTAAAATGTATATCGACTTCTTAGTCAAAGAAAAAATTTTAAACTAATGTAAAAAAATTTTGTTTTGAATCAAAGCTCACTGAAACTTTTTTATGAAAATTTAAAATGATTGCTTTAATTTGAGATGTATATTAAGTTAAGGAACCGGAGAAAACATTGGTTGATCTCCCAAACCCATTAAAACATTCAATGCGGCAATCGATGACATTTCCTTAGCTGCTCTTAATGTTGAAGTTCTCATGTTTGAAGTTATTACTGAACAATCATAAGTTTAACATTAAAAAAGGTTTCGAATGTAGAATAAAGTTTCAAATTACCACAATTAGGCAAAGACATCAGTGAACGATCATTTATTGACTTCATTTCCGGTGCCATCACGTCGATACCAGCAGCAAAGATTTTCTTCTTTTTCAAGGCATCATAAAGTGCTTCTTGATCAACAACATCACCTCGGGCAACATTAATTAAGACACTTGTTGGCTTCATTCTCTCAAACACGTCAGCATTGAACATTTCTCGTTTTAATGAAGCTGTAATAAATACGAAATCACTTTTTTCTATCAATTCATCAAAAGTCACAAGTTTGGCGGTGATTTCAATTGATTTTGATTGAAGACTTTCGGAATGACTCGAATACAAAATTTGTTGTGGTGAAAATCCAGAAATGTCTTTAGCGATGGCTTGTCCAACTCCATCAAAACCAACAATTCCAATAAGTGCGCCTCTAATTTCAACACCCAGAAAAGTTTGTGGTTCGTCGTCCCATCCATTTTTCTCTAAATTCAAGCGAGTTTCAAAAAATCTTCTTCCTGCTGCTAAGGCTAATCCAATTGCCAACTCCGAAGATGGCTCCCAAGACAGAATTGGTGTGTAGCCTAATTTAATATTTCGTCTTTTTATCTCTAAAACATCAACGTTATCCAGTTCATTAGTATTCACTGATATTGATTTTAATTGCGTCCCTGCAGTGTTCAGAACTTCTGCGTCTAACTTCTCAAATGAAGCCCATAAAAGTCCATCCACACCTTTTACCTTTTTTAATATTTCACTTCTATCATTTGACTTTGCAAATATCAACTCACATTTTGGTCGTAAATAATGTAAAGCTTCAGCAGGTAATTTTGTGTGGGTGACAAGAACCTTTGGCTTCCATGTTTCATTCATAAATCTTATTTCTGTAGGATATTCAATTGCTAAGACTGATCTGTGAAGTAAAAAAGTAAATCAATATTTATTGAAAATAAAAAGATTTGTTTTCAATGACCTTAAACTTAGGAAAAGAAAAGATAAAAAAGCGAATTTTCCCATCACGGTGAGTCAAGTTTGAATATCAATGCAGCACTGACGAAGTTTCAAGAATTTGTGCGAATATTTTCGTACATTTCTTAGTTGTATGGTAACGGTAAAGCTTCTTAATGACCCAACATTTAACTCACATAAAAAACATATAAACTAAAATAGATTTATTCAGTTTCCAATTAAATCATATCATCGTCGTCAATGATTGGGATTTCTAAATTAAATCAACAGAGACACTGAAACTTAGTTCGCTTTTGTTTACCTTATCACATTTCTCGAATTAAGTCAACAACAAATAGGTCAATGTTTAATATTTAGTCAACCTGATTCGATCCAGAAAAAAGGAAAGGAATGGACTGGAAAAAATCAATCAGGTCAACAAGGTTCATGCTTTGTGGACGCTCCCACTTCGTTATTTCAATTCCTACACAATATGCCATTATTAATAAATAATTCTCTTACTCAACGATAGAATAAGATGTCACGTGATAGCAGAAAATATGAATAAATATAATAATGAACGAAAAAAGAAACAAAGTTAACACTAAAGGAGAAGGATGGTCGAACAGTAAAATATTATCATATTTATCCTGACCATACCTATTTGAAAGTAGACAACGAAGTAGATAACAATGACAAATTTGCTTAACAAAATTTAGCTTTTGGAATTTTCCCATCTGATTTCATGAATAAACGTAACAGTTAAGTGGTAAAATGTAAATTACAATCATTTAGTAAAACTTTTCGGTAAAGCATTTTTACAATGGAAAAGATGAGTAATTCAGATAAACAGCTTTCGCTATTGTGTAAAGTGTTAGGCGTGTAACAACAACTTTAACCTTGTTGACAATAAAACCACTGTTAATTGTTGATTGTTTTTGAACCTTCATATGATTTATACACTTAGGAATTGTATGGAATTGAGAAACGATTCGTTTTTAAACAAAAGTTTTTTTATTATTGTTAAATAAAGATGAAAGTAAAAGTTGCAGCCAAATTAATGGATGAAGCTTTAAAAGCTTTTTAAAAAATATTTCTTTTAAAAACTTTTCAATAAAACATCTGATTAAATGTTATGGGAAACTGACCAGCGCGATGCATCGTTAAGTCCCAATAGGAATAAGTAAACAACACAAACATTTAAACATCTACTTTAATGTATGAAAGCTTTAAGCTTTTGATGATTTGACAGCAATTCAAGCAAGAGAAAATATTTATCATCTCATATGTGTTTGTATGATTTCAAGCCAAACCGCGCCAAGTCAAGCGTACAAGTTGCTGTGAATGTGTTTGTTGCGTTGGTTGTTGATATATGAAAAAAAAAAGAGAAAACAGAAAAAAACTAAAAACCAAACTCTCTGTTTACGAGTTGAAGAAAATTTTTTCTCATTGCTGCTTTGTCCATTGATTCAGTCGCAAGTGTTCTAGCATCGCGCTTTTCATATCAAATTTAAAAACGGTTTCTGTGATTTCCACGAAAATTATTTTTTGACGAGTATTTCGATATAAAATAAATTCGAGAAAATTAATAATAAATACGAAGTAGAATTTAAATATATAAAAAATTAAATATCTCAAAAAAATATTAAAAAAGTTATAAAATGGCAAGAAAAAGTCTTTTGCTTTTAGCTGCTGTGGCTATCGCAGCCATTACATTCCAGCAAGGTGAGTTTGTGATCACAAATGTTAAAAAGTGTGTTTGATTTTTAAATACTGTGCAAAGTTAGCTATAAAAAAATTCAATGATGTGATAGCACGGCTAAGAGGAGATTCAACATTAATTATGAAATTTATGCTTCTTAGATATGTAAACAATGAAAAAGAAGAAAGAAGGGCGCGATCACGAGAAATTGAAAGTTTCGAAAAAGAAAAAAATGTAAAAAAATCAACAATTACGTGAACGAACATTCGCTTTGTGATCTTTTTATGCCTTATAAAAAACTGGTTTTCTGTTCCATCTAGAGAGAAATATTCGCGGCTGTTTTTTTGCCACACTGTTCATGAATTCTTTTTATTTTACCTTCGTTTTGACTTCGTCTTCTCAACACGATAGTTTCTAGATGGTTGAGTTTAGACAAGTCATAGGACAAAACTTAGTCTTAAAGATAAAACTTTTATGTTGGATTACTTCATCAGGTGGAATGATGAACAGAGTTGAATTATGACATTATAAACTTGTCGTCGGGTCTCTTTCATCACTTGGTATCGGAAATATTTAAAAACAAATATGTGTAGAAATTCCATAGTTAACTCTTTAGTAAATATCTAATTAGATAGTTAAGTGATGACAAATAAGTAAGCGATGATGTGCATGAGATTAATTACAAAAATTGTTCAAAACGCTGAAAGTTTTTTGTTTATTAAATATTGTGTGTCATACTCGTACTTGTTTAACTGGAGAGTTTCTCAACAATCAATTTTATTTTATAATGCTCTGTGTAAAATACAATAGTATTTGATAGTTCACCATCTGCTGGGTTTCGAAAATAAATTAATGCGTCATAACTTTTGTTAATTATTTTTTTACTCTTTGCTACCTAAAGCTTTCAATGAACTAACAAACGTTTCGAAATGTTAGAATTTTATACCTTCTAACATATTTTTCATAAACACAAAAATAGATTTCATCAAATGATTGGAAGTTTTTAATATTTTATTGACATTCAGAATCCACGACAAATAAATGTCTTTGAAAAAAAAAGAAGCTGGAAAATAAGGAAGTGATAGGCAAGAATCTTAAACATTTAAAATAAAAATCTGTACGAAATTTAAACATTCAAAAGCTTGGCAGCTTTAAAATAACAATTTGTCATCTATTTGTAAAAAAATCATCTTTGAATGGTGAGCCAAAGCGGAAAAGCAGACTTAACCACTGAATCATTAATGCGTGGGTGTTATTGACTTATAATTAAGATAAATATTGAAGTAAAATTTTCGAATGAACATGTCTTGGAAATTACATTAACTAATAGTTACTTAACGTTCAAGAGGTTGTTAATCTTTGATGGACAATTAGAGATTCTTAGTCATTCGAAACCAACTATTTAATTTTTATTTGGAGAAACGTTTGTGAATATATTTACATTTTTAGTTAGTGCGTAGATCTCAAGCTTAACTTAATCGCTCAGAAATGTCTTCTTAAATGCTTGGATAGTTTTTTAGTTATTTATATTTAGTGATTACATAAGACGTATCTGTCGGATAATTTTAGTTTATGAGAATGTTCGAAAAGTGGTTGTGAATGTTTCTATTTATTTTAGTTGGGAATGTATGTTAACATTTTTACTATCTGTTCTTCATCAAATAAAGTTTCTATAAATTGCTATCCGTTTAAAAATCATAGAAATCAAAATTTATTTTATTTGTTATTTTTCTCTGAAGAAAGATCAAAAACATTTGAAAGTTTGAAAGAAAACTAAAATTTTTCATTTTCCAAGAGTTATTCGGAAAGTCGGATATTGAGAAAGCATGAAAAAACATCTGTGGAGATTAAGACACTAACTAATGTATTTATATCCACGACCTTGAGGAATAAAAAAGCAACAACATAACGTTGACGCAGTTTTGAATTTTCCTCTTTAGATATTTTTACGAAGCCATAAATTCTACGAAAATTTAATCTTAAAATAAATGTTGCAAACTTAAAAAAATGTATTTTAGATACTTGAATGAGTTGAAGGTTGAGAAACTTCATTCTTTATGATGCTTAATAAATAAACTTGACAAGTGAATGCTACACGAAGATTTTGTTTTTAAATTCTCTCATCAAAGTTTTCATTCTGCATTTGTTTTGTCATTTAAAATTGATTTTTTAAGAATATTTATGATGAAAAAATCTTAAAAAGATTTCTCATTTCACAGATTCACTCTGAAATTAGTTTCTCAAAAGAATCTTTTGAGGAGATCCATTAGAGGATGAAAAAAGTAATTTGAAATTTATTCCCTTCATTTAAAAGTTTTCCATTCCTCAAAATCAAATTTAATCTTCGTGTAATGCAGTCAAAGGATAAAAGGTCGGATACGTTTGAAAACGTAATAAAAATGTTTTCCCATCGGCCACCGTAAATGCTTTCAATTTAAAAAGAAACAGGAGTCACAGAGGAATTTTAAATATTAATAATCACGACTTTTATATCCTTCATGAAATCTCGATCCAACCTTCAAATATTTAACCCAACTTTATGTAAGTGAAAAATCTTTTATTTTCAGTTCATTTCACATTCGAATAAAATTTATATGCAAAAGGTTCAAGAGTGTGAAGAAAGATATTTTGTTTTGGAAAACAAATATTTATGAATAAAATATTTAAGCGTGAGTATTTCTGAGCGATTTTTTCTTTAGTGATTTTATGCTTTCTGCCATTTCTTTATGTTGCTTGTGAAGAAAATGATTTTTCACTCGTCCTGTAACTTAAACGACTCTTAAGACTCTTTCAAACATGAACTGAATGTGAATCACTTCCGGTATTGATTTCAAAATTGCATTAATTAAATCACACTCCCAACATCGTCAATATTCCTGTTTGTTACATAACAGGTTTGATTCCGTGAGATGTAAAGAAAACTGAAGGAAAACCACAATTATTTACCATTCATCATACGATTTCATTTCGTTTTATTGATCACACCTGAACGTTTAATTTACATATTAAAATTTTTGCAAAGAAGCGCTCTTCTAATAAAGAGAAATCACGAAACTTTGCATGTGGTTCTATCATTAACTTCCTGGATTTGAAGTGATTTTATTACATTCAGACGCGATCCCGAAAAGAGAGTTACGGGTCAGTCATAGTCTACTCCCGTTCATGTTTTTTGTTAATTATTCATCTTCTTAGAAATGTCGTGCCACTTTAAATGAACTTCATTGTGTTTTTGAATAAAACGAAAACTCAAATCTAAAGTCGGCATAACAAAAAAGTGGCTTATTCACTATCTAAACAGAAGCTCTAATAAGTTCTGAGGTTGGTGATAAATATTTACGTAATGTTTGTCACTTACTTCTGTTTACTTTTGACCGGAAAATATCGATTGGAGTTTCCGCTTTTTCTACTTTTGGAAAGCTTTCATTCAAAAATCACTCAAAGATCACGAAGATCACAAAGTTATCTTTTCGCTTCAAATATTGTCGGCGGTTTTGATGTTGTTTATAATTATAAAATTAGCTAAAGTGTATTCATGATTCCCAGTAACAAATGAAGTATTAATAAGATTACTAATTATTGGGAAAATTTCATTCTAAAAAAATTTATTGGACACTCATTTGAGTTGATATCGTTTCATGAAAAAATGTCCAAATAGATTTTTATTGCCTACGATATTAAATTATGAGTTATGCATGTATGCTGCAATGAGATTTAGATGTAGATTGATATCCATTTCGTTTTCATTCTATGGATATTTAATTGGTATGTCATCTAACTAATCTCGTTTCTATGTATAAAATAGAAACGATTCTCTTAAAATTCATTCAGTTTGCTTGCTCTATGAACTCACTCACACAACATCAACTCAATTATCATTCTTTTAAAATTAAATCTTAATCAAGAACAGCTTCGTTCTTTTATTTTATTAGACTTCATGACTCATATGTGTGTTGTTGAAGTTCCCTCTAAACCGCTATGAATAGTTTTTTTTATTGATCAATCTTAATTCCCAAAGAACGTTCTTGTTGTTACTGGGTTGCTAAAGGAAATATTTTGACTAAATGAATCCTTAAATAAGATTTTCTTTTACAAATATGTAAAAGCATTCACTTCAGGGGGCTTTGAAGCGACACTCCTAGAAAAACCAACAAAAGAATATTATGTGGTGAACATCAAGGGATTTTCCAAAAAAAAAAAAGATATCTGAAGGTTTTTCGCCCGCTTTTCCGAACATGTGAGGTAAAAAATTTGGTTTTGTATCAAGTTACAAGCTTACATGCAACTTCATACTTATTAGACTCGCAACATGAAAGGAAAGTAGCGAAACAAGCAAAAAACAACTCAAAACTCGAAACTTAAAGGCACGACACACGCAACCAGCATTAGAATGATAAAAACCAAGAATTTAATTTAAAATGTGGGTTAACATCCCTAAAAAAGAAATCACATTTCGAGACTATTTACCTTGAAACTCGGGACAATATTCACGACAGACACTGTCACATTATAATGGACTTTAATTATTTAAATTACTTCACTGCTACTCCAAACATTTGATAGCAGAAACTGATGGATTACTAACACACAAGTATTTGAGTGTTACTATGTTTTGGGCTCACTTGGAGCACTCGTATTATAATAATTCATAAAAACATTTTGGTTGTTACTCACATGAAATAGTCTTACTCTCTAAATTAAGTAATTAAGGCGAGTGAAATTTAATTAACCCGCAGTTAAGGCTATTAAAAGGTGGAGAACATTACTGAAGTTGAAGAGAGCTCATGTTTTTATGTCTGAATTTTATTTTATTATTGTTTCTTAGATGATTCGATACTTATTAGCTGCCAGACATTCTTGACTTAAATTCTTCATTTACCCACTCAATTAAATTAAAATTACAAACTTATTCATCTGCACGCTTTTAAATGTTAAATAAATCATTTCCAAGTTTAAACACGTCGTAGTGTATAATTTGAAAAGTGAAATTTGTGTCATCCAATGATAATAGCTTCGTTTCCATTTTAAATAAACAAAGCAAAAGTAAAATATGCAAAAAGATAATAAAAATAATTTTCAGTTTTAAAAGCATTCAAGTTATCGACAATGCATTTTTCCACGAGACAATGAAATTTGCAAATCGAAGTCATTATTTGTAAATCATCAACAAACTTCAAATGAATAAATGAAATTTGAATACTAAGAAAGAAGTCTTAGATTGCAATAAATAAGTTATGTCGAATAGTTCGAAATTTAAGCCAATTAATTTCTTGCAATATTATCAACTTTAATCATGTTCTCGGAAATGTCTGAGAATTCTTCTTTCTCTTCAAATTACTTCAAAGACTTTGAACATTATTCAATGAAAGAAATTATTTCATAGCTCACATCAATCTGCTTTTATTAGATTCAAGTGGGTGCGCTGTGCACTTCTGAATTTCTCTAATGGAATGCTTACAGAAGCGAAATTCCATTGAAATGTTTTCCTTTAATGATTTTTTAATGATCTTTGCTTATTATTTTTTGTTTGGATTTTAATTCTCATGTGGTTGTTGTACCCGTTAACTCTTTGCAAAATATTACTTAACATGTTCCAAGTGTTGGGTGATTGTGATAATAAATTTCAATTTGCATACCATTGTTAAACAATTGAATTAATGATACAAAGAAAAATAAAAACGATTAAATATCACATTAAACTCAATAAACGTGACATAAATTTGGTCAAATAATTGACTGTCGATATAGCGACGACTAAAATAGATATTCTCGTTTTTATTATTAGTTGATCTTTTCTAGTTTTGATTAGCGGAGTTTGGAATGCGTGACAGTTTTGAAAAATCAACAACAGCATAGAAAAAAAGATTTCTAAGCATTGCTTAATAGCTACTTATGAATAAAGGTGTGACAGTGACACACTCCGCCATATTTTGTCATCGCATTCGTCCAAGTCGTTTAGCTTTTGCGTAACTTACTTAGTTGTCAAGGCACACGAAGTGCCGCATGTTCTGAATAGCAATTTTTATTGTTTTTATTTCTTTCGTTAACTTTTAGAAGAGAAAAAAATTTATAAACATTTCATTTAAAATGATTTAATAATGAATAGCTGACAGTTTTAATGGACACAGATAACTTTGCTGCGACTTCTAGATTCATTTTATCGGAATTGCGATTCTAAATTGTAGCTACATACTCGTACGAATGATTCCACCTTACCAATGACCTTGATCGAATGTTAATTTCAATGTGAAGCACTACAAAATCTTGTTAGTCATCACAACTGACGTAATAATTGCTTTACATCAGCACAACTAACTCGACGATGTTTAAAATTATTTTGAGCGTGAAGACTGTTTATTTATTTATTGAATTATTATGCAACACATCAGAGATAACTTTTGCAAATGTTTTGAATTCTACAGAATGTTTTGTTTTTATTTTGCTTTGAGTATTCATTAATTAAAGTGTAACGTGAAGTTGATTGTAATGTGCACGAGAGTTGAGAACTCATTTCATGTCTAAAAATATTTCAAGTGATTTCATTGCTGCTTATTAAACTGCGAATGAATTTTGTTTTGACGACTGAAAAATTTTTCAATATTATTTAAGAATTAATGACTGATTCCATCCAGCTTATATAATTTGAAACTTTCACGTAAACTGATGGATGTCCAAAGGCACATCCAATCCCAAAACTGGTAATTCCAACTATTGTCGGTATCTCATAAGTTTGATCGTCGATGATCATTTCGTTGATGTATTGCAGTGGCGATCCACTGTCACCATAACAAGTGTCTTGGGCCTCAATGTCATCTCTGTAACCTTTAGCGCAGAGCTGCGTATCTTCAGACAAGTCGATAGAATCATAAGATTGTTTGCACTCATCCATTGGAATATTTTTAAGTTGGACTTTTGCCAGTTTATTTGTATGTATGAATGATCCATTTTGGCCGTAACCAGCAGCTTCAAAATAATCTGTAGTTGGAATGCCACCAATGATGCAACCAGGAATAATTTGTTGAGTTGGTCTACAAATGATCAATCAAGTAACGAGAAATTTCAATTAAAAGAAAATGTAACACTCACATGACTTGACCATGGATTTGAATCAAAGCAATGTCGTCGTTGTTTGCTGTAAAATCATACGATGGATGTCGAACCATTCTTACTATCCCAAACTGTTGCACATAAGTGTCATCAAGCACTGAATTTAAGTCATTGTCGCCTAATCGAACAACATTCGGAGCTCGACCAAAATGTAATGTACAATGTGCTGCAGTTAAAACGAATGTTTCAGTAATTAATGAACCTCCACAATTCCATTCGACTGAAAAGTCACTCCACTTCAACCATCCAATTGCTGCCATGTGAACAAATTCTCCTGGATTAACCTCAACACCCCCAACAACGAACCCAGTGAAATCAAACGTTTTGATGTTACGCAAATGTTTATATTTATCAATGCATGTGTCGTAATCAAGTGGACCTTTCTGGTTGGCTGAAATGGATTTGTAGAAATCTTCACGAGAACAGCAAACGAGAGTGTCTTGTGGTGTAATTCCATTAAAACTGCAAATCTCAACGGCTCGTTTTTCAACCAAAACATTTACACATTGAGAAATTTTCTTACACTTTCCATGATAAACTGACACGTCCAATCCACAGTAATCATTTTCAAAAAGGTCATAAGAATATCTTCTGATACGATATGAAAATATGTCCAAAACAAAAAAGTTCTGCAACACAAAAATGAACCACAATCGTGCGAATTCCATAATTTACTGAACAAAATATTTGCGACCAAATTTAATCTTCAAATTCAATTTAAATCCTATTTAAGACGATCTAGCAGAACGTCGTTTAAAGTTAATTGAAAAATTCCTTGAAAGCATCTGATTTGGTTGTACCAATATTTGCTGTGTTTAAAAGCTCATAAGGTTTTTAACTGAAATGTGTAGTTTATTTAATGTTTATCGATAACACGCCTAAATATCTAAGCCTTTAATGTATTAATATTAACTTTTTTATTGAGAAAGATTTTATGAATATCTGTCGGTTGTAATTATTTCAGATATTTAGACTCCTTGTGTAAACATTGAAATATTATTGATTTAAAGTTATGAGTTTGCAAAAAATTTGATTTGAATAATCAATAGAAAATCCCTACAACGATTTAAACTAAATTAAACAACAAAGATTTGAACTTAGAAGTTAATTTTGAAAATTTTCACTAATATTTCTTCACTTATTTATAAAATCTTCAACCTACGATGATATCATCACTTAAAATCATGATTCCATAAATAAATTTCATTCTTAACAAATATCTTGTCTCAAACAATCATTTACAACTCTTCAGATACATCGACGTGGTACGAAAAAAAATCTTTTTGTTGAACATGAACGTCCGACCAAAGTCACGAGTCATTAAATCTTTGCATGGTAATGACAAGAGGAAAGCCAACAAAAATGAAAAGGGGAGAAGATCGAAAACTTAGCTGAATGTAAAAGAATTCAATCTTTTTGAAAGCAAATGTTTTAGGCTTGAATTTCATTCTTGAACTGTCAAGGATTCTTAAAGGTGAACAAACAGATTTTACCCAAATTCTTGAAGCAATTGATCAAGAATACTCAGAAAAAGAATATTCAGCGTTCATAATTATGCAGTCAAGTTTCTCAATCACAAATATTGGCGGTCTAGAAAAAGAAAAAATTTAAGTCAAACTTGCTGCAAGTTTTTCTGATATTACATTACACGATATTATTTATACATTCGATGATATTTTCCATGATTAAAAAAGGTTTTTGCTTGACATATTTTTAAAATCAAATATTTTCTTAAATGTAAAAATATTTTTGTTGTGTTTGTAAAATTGTAAGAAATCGTCTTGTGATTTATAATTAGCATCGAAACGAAAAATCAACAATTTCAAGATCAAGCAGCTGTCTTTGTGTTTGAGGTTTTCATAGAATTTATGTCAGCAAATTAACCGCAGAGAAATATTAGTTATGAAACCAATTAACGAGTTACATCTAAAATGTTTCAAGCAGTAACTACTTCAATTTTAAGTGCATTTATATCGTTGTATCGTTTAAACTAAGTTTGATATCATCTTGTTAATAACCGTCTAAGGTCTCTCTGTGTAATGAAATGAAAACTTCCTTAAAGAATCACTTTATAGATATTTATTTATAAATACAACAAGAGTGATGTATGGTTACGAATTTGAAGATAAAAAAAATTCTCGTAAAATAAATTTTCATTCAAGGTTCAAATTTCAAACAGACGAATAGAAATTTTCGCATTTTTTTATGAAGCAAGATTCATTTAGCTGAAGATTTCTTCTCTGTTTTATTGAATAACAAAAATCGATTTTATTTCCGTCCTCCACATGTGAATTGATAATTTAAAAGAAATACTAGCGAATTTCTAATTTTAGAATCAAAAATTTGTTCATCCAGCTGACTTGGTTGTAGTTCTGGTAACCATCACAGCTCACACAATAACTGTCAAATTCATGACAGTGCCATTCCTCAGTAAACTTAACTAAATAATTTCGAAGCCATCTGGTAAAAATTCGCGTAAATCTTTCAGAAAATCACGACACTGAAACTTCAAATAAAGAAAGATCTTCCTTTACTCGTTTCCAATAAGCTCAATATTTACTTCAAACTATCAACATGTTAATTAAAGGTTGTGCTGAATACAAATATTTAGATCTACATAATCGTTCCAATGTTCAAATAAAAACGGTGTGGAGAATTTTCATTCATGTTATCTGATGATAGAAATATTGCGTAATAAATTGAAAATTTCAAACTAATCCAATTTATTAACAAATTTTATTGGATTTTTGGTTTGTTAGAAAAAAATAAGTTAGTGAGATATGTGAAATGTGTATTTAGGGTTGCTTTTCTTTCAATCATTTTCATATGAAGTTTTCCAAGCAGTATCCCTCGTCAAATATTTATCAACATCACACATCATTATGTTATCGATAAACTTATTCGAAAATATTTCAAGGGATTCATAGAAAGCACTCACACTTTTATTGATTGTGCATGCAACTAAATGAAGCGTGTACATTAACGATTAATATTTTATTGATGAATCAATTTGAAGCAAGTTAACGTGAACAACAACGTCAGAAAGGAAAGTTTACAAGAGGAAATTAACAGGAAGTTGTGAAACGTGTACGGCGATGGAACAATTTATCACAATTTAATTTTGATCAATGACCAAAGATTGTTAAAATCAATGAAATAGCATTAAGAATTAGGCATAGACATGTTTACACATTTCCTTTACACGGAAGTTGATGACAACAAAGAACAATGTTATAAGATATCTTTTTAATGGCTTTCTTCTCTTTTGTTTTTCTTTCAGTTGACGCTCTTAAATGCTGGCGTTGTTCTTCGGATTCAACTACATCAGCTTTTTGTGATGATCCTTTCGATCCAAGCATTATCAATGATCAAGTAATTATGACAAATATTTTAGTCTCTTCATTGATATTTTATGATTTATTCATTTGAAGCAACGAAGATGGGCTTATGTCGATTGCAGTTTCCCTCCAACCACACAACAAAATTTTGGAACTTATCAACAGTCATCACGACCAGTTTGCAAAAAGATGAAGCAATTGGGTAAGTCATCGATCTTTTCAATATTAATCTCTTTAAATGAGTCAACCATAAATGCGAACATTTTTTATTTTATGTTTACATCAAACATTTAATTATGAAACCTGATAAAAAATGTTCATTGAACTTCATTGAATAGAAAAACAAGTTTATAGAAATGCAAAACCTAATTTAAAATGTTATGCTGATGATTAATCATGACTTGAAAAGCAGACGGCTTTCAATATTTTTAAATGATTGTTAAGTAATATTTTCACTAATTTGCATTTGACTGCCTCAAAGGAACTGTTAATTGACCTTTTATTCAGAAAAATTCAAAAACACTTTAAAAATAAGCAGAACTGAGTGGAAGTTCTTTCTTTTCTGAGGCAATTTAAAGATATTTTCATTTATATTACATAACATCAAACAAGTCGACTCGATAATCATTCTCAAGCATCAAAACTTGTAATTCTATTGTTTTAATATTCGCTACTCGGAAAATTATTCACATATGTATGTCTCATCGTAATTCTTTTGTTGATACATTGTTGAAACTTATCTGACGAATTTAATAATCATTCGTCTTAAATATAAAATTAGAAAAGATAAAAGAAGGTCAACAATTGTTGATACGCTGCTGCGTTGATCAATTTAAATTTAATCTCAATTGCAATCATAACCATCATCATCACTTGCAGCAATCGACTTTATTGTTAATGAATAATCGATGATTGTAATGAAAACAGAACGATTTCAAATAATTGAAGACTTTTACTCAAGTAAATAAATTCAAGAACTTTGAAGATTGACTTTGGAATTTATTGAAGTGAAAGGAAAAAAAACTCTTTTTATCGAGATTCAAATTACTGCAAGTAGAACATGAATAAATTAAAATTGAGAGCTCTCATCAGCTCAATTATTTGACCTCGGAAAGTTCTTAGATAATAAATAAAATTTTATTATAGAATCATTCTAAAATCATTCATGTATGTATCTGAAGCAAAATGAGTTGCTTGAGTAATTACTTTTAATTAATTATCTTGATTTAACCGCACATTTTGACTCCACACGAACTTAATATTATGTATACTTAAAAATAAATCGGTAGATATTTGAAATCATTACCTTTGTAGATAATTAATGAAAACTGTTTTATTTTATTATTTTCAGTCAATGACAAAGTGGTCGTTTCTAGATCTTGCTCATGGGAAGATGTGAACGCGCCAGCTGATAGTTGCATGCGCACCCAAACGCCTTCATATATTAAAACAGAGTTTTGTGAAACTTGTGGTCATGATGGTAAATTTTAAACAATTCTTTTTATCTTCCGCATTATAATCAAGAATATTTTTACAGGTTGTAATGGAGCTTCAACATTTAGTGTAGCCACAATTCTCGTTCTTATACCAGCCGTCATCGCATATTTTCTAGCATTGTAAAGTCACCATTTAAATAAAAATCAACCAACTTCAGAACTTTATGAATCTTCCTGTATTTATTTTAAAAAGCTTATCCCAAAAACATACAAAAAGAAACCTAAAGCTGCTTTGTATGATTCTGTACATCAGCTTTTAAAAGAATAGCAGAAAAATGTCAAAATTTGATATTTCCAACATTAGTTGAATAATATATAAATACAAAGATTTGAAACTGAAAATATTGAAACACGTAGATTTTAATTAGAATCCATTTTGTCCTATCCACAATTACACAAATACAATCAATAAATAAATAAATTGATGATCACGAAAATGCCTTCTGTACCATTTAAAGAAATCTTATGATGATGTTTTCTTCAAAAAACCTTTTACCACAACTTTACTTATAGTCTTGGAACTCTTTTTTTTATTAAATCGATCACCAACTTTTTATCAGATATTTAGAAAGTCAAAATTTTAAGATATTTGGCAAACTTCTCCAAACTAATTTATTATTGTAGTTTATTGGGCAGGATGCTAATCGGAAGCTTCGTTGTTCAATTTATAAGGAGATACAAAATGCAAAAATATGTATTTAACAAAGCTTTTAGAATCATCATACCGTTTAAAACTTACTGAATAACAAGCATTAAATCTCACAAATAGATAAGCCTTCTAAATATTTTTAAGCACATTAAACCAATTGATGTACGTTTAACCATGATTTTAAGTCTTTCGCTGAAAAAATCTTGAATATCATCTTACGAGAAAAATTTTCATAGATTATTGCGGATTTTGTGTAATTTTGTACATAAGAGTGAAAGCATTGTAAACAAGAATTAATAAAACAATCAGCATTACTTGACGTCATAAAAACTTTAATTTGTTTGATTTGTCTGACTCAAATGAAAATGAATCTTTAATGATTTAAATTCAGAAAAATTTATCGTATGTAATTTGATAGTGAATATTTTGTTCAATTAGGTATCTTCTTTTTTATTATAAAAGAAACTTGAGAATATTCGGATGCTTCAAGTTTAACTTCCTTCGCAATCAAGCTTATTATGACCAAATATCATGTTTCAAATGACAATGACATAAATTCATATTTTTCAATTTTTAGATTGAAGTCTTAATTGTGTGCATCTTGGAATGAATTGACGTTTAAGTATTTTAGTAAAGATTCATATAAAAAAAAATGTATTTTTGTCTTTATTACAGTGCAAGTAGGCAATTTTACTTTAATTTAACTAAATAACAAATTCTGAATCAGAATGCTTTGATTTGATATTCAACTGTTAATTAAGCTTTCATTTCAAATTTAAAATAGGTCTTCAATGTCTCAAGTAATATATGAACATCGTATTAACAACAACTTTGAAGAAATTGTAAAGATATTGCAAGAAAATTTGTTTAAAAATTGTTTGACTGCTTTTATCGCTTAAATTTGAAAAAACCCAAGACGCATTACTTTGTATCTCTTTGGTGTTGAAATATCTATTTACGGATTACGCTGGATCAAACATTATTTTGGATTAAGCAGATTCTTGGTTGCTGAACGTTGGCCTTAGAACCAAAAACATTAACAAATTACATTAGAAACAGCGAAGACGCAATCAAGATAAAACTTAAAATAGATTAATCATTAAAATAGACCTAATGTTTTGTTTTAATAAATGTACATGATATTAAACATTTTTTATGTTTTCAACACATAATGTTTATGTGTAAACTAAAATTTATAATTTTATTCCGCTGGTATTATGTGTACATTTTAGTCAGCTAAATCTATTCGTGTACCTTCAGTCAACAGAAACAGTTTTTGTGTGCGTTCAGTGGGTTTATTTATTTATTTTTTCTTCGTTCAATTCGCCCTGTGTGATTTACATTCAGTCAGTGAACAGCCGTACACAAGAAGACAAACATCGTACGAAAAATTTACAAGAAAAAAGAAAGAAAAAAAAAACAATGGAGTCAATGGTGGACTAGAGGGTGTAGTTTAAGATATGTTAACAATGTTTTTGTACGAATAAAATTGTCTTGGCTTCATTATAAATATTTTTAAGTAAAGGTTATTGCGATTCCTCAAACAAATCAATGTAAAAAAATCAAAAGAGTAAAGTGAAATTTCATAATTTATTAGAGCCGACATAATGGCTGTATTAGTTGCTAATAATTCTAAATCAGTGAATTTAACACGCTCATTGGAAAAAATTTTGGATGAATGCAGTGCCAGCGGCGAACTGAAATTACAAAACAGGAAATTAAAAGATTTTCCAAAATGCTATGGAAAATTTAATCTCTCAGATACGGTCTTTGCAGGTAATAAACTCGGACAAGCACAAGATTCTAACATTATTTCCTTGATTGAATATAAAATAACATGTTTTTCAACCATAAGTTATTAAGATTCTTCAGTTCTTCGTATTTATTGCTTTCATTTCTAGTTTCAACATCAAAACGAAGAAAATAAATTTGATGTAAACAGTTCTTAAAATAGCCAGATGTATCTTGATGCACGAGAATATGAAGAATCAAGTGTTAAGTTGCATATGCAGGGGGAAATTTTCCCTTTGCTTATAAATATAAACACCGAAAATTTTTGCTATTCTATGTTGATTTTGCTCAAACACAATTACTCGCTTTCGTGAATTCCAGATGAATTATTAGATTTCTATGTAAACAGCAACAACAAATATATTGTATTTTAATTCCAAGAAAGCTCACAAATGTTTTTTGTTCATGTTCAAGTTGTCGGATCTATGGATCAATAGAAACCTGATACATCATCTTGAGCTTGTAAATTTTTTGTTGATAATCACTCAAATCGTCACTTTTGTGGATTTGAAAAGACAATTTAATTCACAAGTTTTTATTTATAAAAATGTTCAATTGTGGGTTTTCATTTATAATGAGAGTTGACCTTTTCCTTGAATTAATAGGCTGCGGAAATTTGTTTTCTCTTTCACCAATTTTATTTATACATTTTCCTTGGCCTCTTAAAAGCCTCTTATCTCTCCTAAATAAACCACATTTAGTTTATATTATAAAGAAGAAAAGTGGAAGGAAAAAAATCAATATGTTTCGCATGTTTGCGATGAGACAAATCCCAACATGTGCAAACGCAAATAGTCACAATTTGACTCACTCTTATGCTGATAATAAAAATTATTCACCCCCCGTTTAGAAACAGTTGAAATTTTATTATTTCCTACTTTAAAAGTCCAAGTTTCGATAATATGAAGCAAACGGTTTGTTTTGCAAAGAACTTAACTTTATTCGAGGCAGGGGGATTAAAAACGATATCGAGTGTCAATGATGTTTAACCATCAACAGCAGCAGACTCAGGGTTATTGCACCTGTAACATCTGTCGAATGAGAATATTTGTTTCTAATGTTGCGCAAGCTAAAAACGGAGAAAGGAAGCGCTGAAAGGCGGAGTGAATAATAATTATCTACATTGAATGCTTCAATCTTACGTCATCAGTGCGACTTAAACATAATAAAAAAACACGTTTCTCACTGCATAAGATTCTCTTCTTATTTATGACAAGACAAGTCATTGTGTAGGCGACGCGAATCATGTTGACGCATGCAGAAGAATCGATATTTCTTTTCATTCAATTGTAATAAGCGAGCTTCTTAATACAACATGAATAGCAAAAAAATGAATAGAATTGAATGAATGCTCGAGAATTCTCCTCACATTCTCATTTCCTCATTTTTAAGTCAAACCACGAATGATAACGAAAATGATTCTGTTGCGAAATTTGTTTATTCAGTTACTTAATTCGGCTTGTTAGAACGAAAATTGTTCTAGTCAAAAAATGTCTTCTTGTCAGAATCGTTTGAAACGAAATCAATTTAAAGTTCGCATATTAAAAATCAATGAAGGTTAAATTGATTATAAAATTTCGTCAATATTTCATATTTTTATGTGAAGTGATCGTCGTTTAAAAATGATTAACAAATAAAATGTTTTTATTTCGTAACGTTTCGTAGATTTATCAAGAAATCGCTTCTGTGAATTGCCTGAGGATGTGACATCATTCGCGTTCTTGGAACGACTTTTGCTTTATCATAATGCGATACGTTCGATACCTGAATCCATTCGTAGTCTTCAATCGTTGACATTCTTGGATTTGAGAAGTAATCAACTCACAACATTACCTCGCGAAGTTTGTCTTCTTCCATTACAAATATTTTTGATTTCCAATAATCGTCTCACGACTTTACCGGACGAGTTGGGACGAATGAATGAGCTAACCGAACTTGATGCCGGTTTCAATCAATTAACACATTTGCCAGCACGTTTAAGTGAATTGACAAATCTTAGATCACTTTGCTTGAGAAGCAATCAACTTGTTTACCTTCCACGTGAATTCTCAAATCTAAGACTTATTTCACTTGACATCAGTTGTAATAAAATCGCTTCACTGCCAGTTGAACTTCGTCTTATGACATCACTTGTCGATCTCGAACTATCTGATAATCCTCTCACATCACCGCCAGCTCAAATTTGCATTCGAGGTATCGTGCATGTCTTTAAATATCTCGAAACAATCGTTGGAAAAGAAGGAAAGAGTGAAGCTAGCAATAGCAATTCATTGCGGCGAACATTACCAAAGCAAAACTCAACGCCAGCTATCAATGACGCAATAAAAGTTAAACGACACACAAGTGATTCCGGTTACAGCACAAGCGATTGCGGATTAGACTCCAAGTGGGCAAACGAACAAATGATTCCAAAATGGCAATTACCTTCAACTCCACTTCACATTAGAACTGAGTTGAGTAAAAGTGACACCCCAACTCCAGCTGGCGTTTCTCCTGGCGGATTCTGTAATCATTCAACATCCCTTGACGACGATCAATTGAAGAGAAAATTGGAGAAGCGTCACATGACGAATTCCAATCCCACATTGACAAATGGATTGAACGGAAATTTAGAAAACTCACCGGAAGCAAATACGCCCGATAGTCAAAAGTCTGATGAAAAGATCAAAGGTTTAGGTAATGTCCAAACATATCGTGAGTACAAAGAAGCATTACGTCAACAAAGGAGTCAAGAATCGTTGTCGATTTACAGAGCCAAAGATGTTTCAACGCCAGATGGAAGTTCGGAATTACATTTCAGATCACAAACGTCGTCACCTTATAATGGAAGCAGTCAAAATTCACCGATTTCACCTTATCGGAATATGAATCTGTCGATGACGTCGATTAATGGACACGGAATCGGAAATAGTGAAGAAGGAAAAGGTCGGCCAGTTCAGAAAGTGACGCCATCGAGAAGTTCAAGCAACAACAATAACAGCACATATCAGAATGGAAGTCGTTCGAGTAGTAATGGAAATATTTCTGATAGCTATGAAAAGCCAAACAGTCCACAAAAAACTTCTGGAATATTACAACATAACAATGTACCGAATATTATGAACGGAAACAATATTAAAGGTGTGCTCGTTGATAGTAGCACTCACAAACCGTTGTCTGGTACAACTGTCGGATATGTCAACAACAAACCAGGACAGAAACTCAATAAGTAAGTTTTAATGTTGACTGACCTAAAGAAAAATAATTAAAAATGAAATTTCCTTTCAGATCTGTCTCATGGAATCGTGATGTTCCCACAGAGAAGTTGAGCTTTACAATGCGTCGTGAATTTGACAAACATAAAGAAGAAGTTGAATTAATAAAGCAATTGAAAAGTGTAAGTTTTTATTAATTTATTACTGCAAATTTTATTAATGAAATGAATATTTCAGATACTTCAAACAAAACTCAAGATGTCATTACCAGATGACATTGCGCCTGCATTAACTGATGGTGTTGTTTTATGTCACTTAGCGAATCACATCAAGCCACGTTCTGTTGGCAGCATTCATGTTCCATCCGCTGCTGTCGTAAGTGTCATAAAAATATAATTTTCTTAGATTGTAGTTACAGTCAAAGTGCTATGAACAAACTTCTTTGTAATTTGCTCAGCTCCTAACATTATTTAATTAATAAGTTTCTACAAATTTAAAAATTCAAATCAGTGGTCGGAAGCGGAAGCTTCTAACCCGATACTCACTAAGCTTCCGACCCTTGATTCAAAGTTCGATCTTTGGAATCACAATCTGATATTTAAAAACTTCTGAATGGCCTTTGACTGTATTCATAAAATGTAATTAAAGAAATTGTTATAAATTTTTCATTTTACTTTTCTTCAAACTAATTTATAGCCAAAGCTGACCATGGCCCGATGTCGTCGAAATGTTGATAATTTTCTCGAAGCATGTCGCAAAATTGGCGTCGACGAGGTAAACATTTCATTTTCTTTAATAATCTTCTTCTCTTAAATTAATCATAATCAAGTAAAAATACAAAAGAAATACGAAAAACAAATTCCTCGCGCTATTCTCGCTTATTTTCCTTTAATTCCTCACGCTTTTTATCTCAACTTCTTACAATTATTTAATACATAATTCTATAAAAAACTAAGGCTTTCTAATAACGCGTTCATAAGTGAAGCTTTTGATCAAATGAAGTACAAATTGCACTAACATAAAACTTGTTGTTATTGGTGTTGGTTGCAGGAGATAATTTGCTCCTGTGGAGACATTGTGCCCACAACAGACGATCCATCAAATTGTCGTCCACCCGATGAACAGGCCATGTTTCGAACAATAAATGCTTTATTGATGCACCAGCTCAAGCTGAAGATGCAAGATCGAGGATCTGATGTAACCAACACCAATACGGCAAGCGATGGTTACGATGAAGATTCGAATTTGACGATGTCAATGGGTGGTGATGGAGGAATTCGTCGTGCACCAAATTCACTTGACTTCACTCGCAAGAGAAAATTTACCAGCGTCAAATTTCTCTTACCGGAAAACAATGAAAACTTCTTAAACGAAGTTATTGAAGAATGTGAATATGACAGTGACATTGGGAAGTTTAATTGCAAGGAAGAAGAAGATGAAAATATCCAAGAAGATTCGGAGAATAGCGAGACGTCATCAATGGTTGACCACTTTCTCAATATTGAACACATGAATGATTTAAATTCACCTCACAAGTTTGATGAAAAGAATGTTTTTGAGGTCAATAATTTCAACAATGAGGAAGACTGTCAATACAAGATTGTAATGAAGAGAATTGATTATTTTGAGGGAAATCGAGTTATCGATCGACAACAAGAAGATTTGTTATTGAAACAGTCACAAATCTTTGATGAAGTTGACGGAAAGGCAAAAGATAATTCGACTTTCATGACACCAATAAGTGACAAAAATAAAAATTTGTCAACGATCTTGTGTGCAATTTTTATTCTCACTTTAGCGCTGCTTATCATTTTCCCCTTGCCAAATTAATTTATTTAGAGCTTTAATTTTTAACATTTATCCACATATAACATGGAAATTAGAATCTGAAATGTTTCTGAAGAACATAAAATTAAAACAAAGAAGAATCTCTAAAGAATTTCACAAATTTATTTGCTTTATAACAACGTGAGGCTTAAATGTGTAATTGAATCCAATAATATCAAAGTATGACGGCTTTAGACTTTAAATAGTTGTGTCAATACAATAGATGCTAAATATTTATATTTATTCGCTTGATTTAAGATATTTATCATCCATAATACTTAATCGGTTGGGTTTGGTAATAATTAAGAGAAAATTGTTCGAACTGAATACCAAAGTGTAAGCTTTGGAAGTAGTGACGATATTAAATGAGTTACGGCGGCCTTTAAATTGGGAAGGAAATAAATATTAAAAGTATTAGCCAAATAGGAATTGGATTGGAACATGAAAAGACTAGAAACTAAACAATAAATTGATTTAATAGTTATTTCGCTCAGATATTAATAATATTCAAGAGAAATGAAATCTTTAGCTTCATCTTTTAACTTTTATTCGATTGGTTAGGAGAAGCACAATTTTAAGATCTTTTAAACGCCAACAAGTGATCAATATTTTCGTACTTAAATTTGTTATAATCTCAGGCAAACTATTTGAAGAATCTTTATCGATAATGAACTTATGATTTAATTAAATGTTTCTGAATTAAATGGAAAACTTTTAATTTATATTAATTAACGTACTTAAGTAAATGATGAAAGAATTCATCAAATTTCGAAAGTTTCAAATTAATTTTTATTGTGCAGGCATGAACAGAAAAAAATATAAAACAAAAATTAATTAACATCTTAATTGAGTTCGTTCGAGGTGCTGAAATGTTTGATCAAAGTTTATTAGAGACCAATTAAAGATTGAAATAATTGAAGGTCCTAAAAGTTTTCACTCAACCTTGTGAATTTTACAAAATACTTTTTGAATCAACTTTTTTATCACTAAAACTTCTTTTAATGCAAAATAAACATTTTAAGAATTTTCAACAGCTTAGTCACTTAACGTTGTCTTAATTTAACAAGCATCTGAATTTATTCCTTTTTTACCAAACATCGTAGATAAGCGTAACATTTAATAATTAATAAACGGCCTTAAAATCAAAATCACTGAAGATTACGATGAAACAGGAACTAAATCTTAATAAATATTGACAAGAACAACACACCAAATGTTTATCAATGCACCAGTAAAATAAAAGCAGAGAAACTGCTAATTTTGTAAAAAAAATCATAAAAGTTTGATGTAATAATGCTTTTAATCAAAATATAATCGAGTAGAAAAGATGCTTGAATTTGTTTTTATTCAAACAATGTTTCATGAGAAAAACAAACAAACCAACTGATAAGCTTAATTAAATATTGTTTTTCAGAATCTCTTATGCTGTGCTGCTGATGTTCTTGAAGGGAAAGGAATTGTGCAGGTAGCAATAACTGTTTGTGAATTGATAAAGCATCAAATTGCGACACCGCCAAGCATGATCAAATCACCTCAGCGATACCAAAACCTGAACTATAGCAACATGAACAATAATGGAGCTTGCGTTGATGGAATTATAAGCAAATCATCGAGCAGCTCATCGTCACAACTTTCAGCCACATCACCCTCATCACCAATAGTTTAAATTTCAAAACACAAACATTTGTTGTACAAAAATATTTTACTGATTATGTGATTTTTTTCTCTCTCTTTCATTTAGAATGACACAAAGCAGAAATTATTTAATTACTGAGTAATCGAAGAAAGAAATCTTGTAAATGTTTAGCTAAAAAATATTTTATCTTCCAAGTTTAAATTGTGACAAAATTTTCAAAATTGTCTGTTGTCAGACAAATGATTCATGATTAGAATTCTTTTAGAATGTTGTAAATGTATTTTAAACTCCTACAAATTCAAGTAGTGCATGATATTTTCTTTAAAAACAAGTTTTTCTTAATCTCTTTCAACAACAAACAAAAAGATTCTTGAATAACAAAAAATAATTTTAAGTTGTCAAGTGGATCAAAATGCAACCGAAACCTTTGGAAGTTTCGGACTTATGAGATTCAATTTTTATACCAAATTTATTGCATTACAGAATATTTGACTTGTATCTGGGTCTGAAATCGGTAAACTTCATTTAGTTCGCCGATTTTCAAACCTGATTAAGATGCTGATATGAAAAGTATGAAAGCATAATTAATAATCATTATAATAATGAAACAATACAATAATGACAAAATTTAAACTACGTGAGAATATTAGAATACAGTAAAACATGTTTTAAAATTAGGTTTTCTAACTAACCACAATGAAAAAGGCTCAAGAAAATGGAAAATGTAAAAAATACCGTGAGTGTGCCATTTTTCTTTTCTAAAGTAAATAAATTAATCAAAATTTGACATCAACATGACTTGATCTGAGATTTGGATACCCGCAACGATTTTTAAAGAATCTTTAAAATGTTTTTATAATGAGATCGGATGTTGTCTAATTATCAGAGTTGTGCTTTGACTCATTTTACATTCTATGTAAGTTTGTAAGTAAAACTTGTCGACACAACTCTGCAAATTAATGAAAGCGTAAAATTGATTAACGCTCTTAATTAAACTTATCTCAATCAAGATAAACTTCATTAATGTGCACGATTTTCCATGACTTTTAAAATATAAATAGTTGTGCCAAAGATGCATGAAATTAGAAATTTTGCACTAAAGTAGTTTTAAAAGTTTACTTTTACATAACTTGATCTGTAATGACATGATATCGAATGTAGTTGGAAATAAGATTGAAAATGCATGTAACCAAGAGTTTCTAGTCAAACTATTTTTTGACAAGCAGTTAATCTGTGTAAATCTTAATATAAATATCAACAACGTATGTACTTTTTTTAGAAACAGCAACAAATGAAAATAGTTCTTTAATTTATTTTTTATTGAATTTGTTATCAAATATCTACTTAACAAATGATTACCTAAATATCAACCTTCCATTAAAATTCTGTTTTAAATTTATAAACTTAAATACCGCAAATGCCAGTCATTTAAAACCTTGTCAAATGTAACATCCAAAAATAATGATTTTGTTAAATTTTTTACATTAAGAAACTCATTTTTTTATTGAAAAATTTTATTTACCAACAATTGAGTGAGAGTAAAAGAAATAGGTGAACATCTTTGTAAGTAATTGTCGTAGAACAAGAAAATTTATGTGAAAAACTTCCAGTCTGTGGTTTATTTTATCACTAACAATTAAGTTCCAATTTTTAATAATTTGGTTCACAATTTTATTTTATAATTTCCTTAAGTAAGGCACCAAAAATTATTTATGTAGTACATTTTTCAACAATCAACATACTTGTGACTTATTTTAAGTTATTTTTATTTCATCTGGCAATAAAACAAAAATATTGAATAAATTAGAAAAATTTTAAGTTTTTGCTTGGAAGTTGCAGGACAAAAATATTTAAAATGGTTTACGAAACTCAATGTTGACGAATGTCCAATAACAAATGTTGAAAACAATGAAAGCACAAGGGAAGAATACTCGAGATCGTCTGGAAATCATTTTAATATGTTAGCAAATTCGTTTTGGAATCAATGAAAGCAACTCACCTATCAATCCAATTTGAGATTTCTCGTGGAGTCATTGTTGTAAATGAAGCTTCACGAGACGCTTCGTCATCTGTTTGTGAGGATTCACCTTTCTTATCGTCACGATCAAATTCTTCATAATGATCCTTCTCTGTCACTGTAATACGAGGCATGTAGGCATCCTAAATAGTGGAAAATTCAAAATTATAATCAAATTTCAGTTTCTTTTAAGCACTTTTCTAGTAGAATCATTACATCTACTGTTAAGTGATTTCCATATCTGAATTTAACTTTCTCGTCATCAGAATGTCTTCTTACATTAGCTGTGCAAGATCTTTCGCTGTTTGGTGATTCATGTTCCACTTTAAATAATGAAGATGAAATCTTTCGCGTCAGAGTTTCTTTTAAAATGTTTGATGTGTTAACCTGAAATATTCGATATGACATTCGTTTAATGTTTCATTAATAAGTTTAATCGACTTCTCACTTTTTCCAGTTCAACATATTTTCTTCGTCTCCAAATAATGTTGACAAAAGCAAACTCAGCTAAGCTTGCAAAAATGAATGTTAAACAAGCAAAAAACCAAATTTCCGATGCTTTAATGTAACTAACTTTAGGCAGAGATTTCCCTTGAGAAGTGGCTAATGTTATGAAAGTCAACATTGTTGTGCAACCTAACATGCCACGTGGTGCTGTTTGGTCAGCTTGAAGCCAAAATGTAACCCACGATGTTGCAACAATCATCATCGATGGAACGAAGTAGTCAATCATGTAGAATCCAATTTGTCGACTCAACAGAAAAGTGAAGCTCAAGGTGCTGTAATTACCTGTTAGATCACCATGACTTAATTCATTTAAGTCAGCATTGACGATACTTTCATTAGTGAAAGTTCCAGTTAATAAGTATTCAGTCAATCTTTGATTTGGACCTAATTTAATTGGTGTATTTGATTCCCATCGAAGCATCATTTCTGACGTGTTGTACTTCCAACTTTCAAGGACAGTTTTGCAATGCTGCTTATCAAATGGAAATTTTCTTAAATCCATTGAACAAAAGATTGACGCTTGAATTCTTGTGTAAATTGTCACAATTCCATGAGGTGTGATTGACGTCAAAATATCTTTATCGTATGTCCCAAGTATTCCAGATTCTCTGTTTAGATAATTAATACTCGAATTAAGCAAAATTAATTCACTAAAATAAATTATTTCAAATACTTTTCATTAGCTATAAAAATGTGCGGCATCCAAAGTTGCTTTCTTAAGTCGTCTTCGCCTAAAATTGAATTAGTTCGATTTGATATTTTGCTGAACGACAATCGTGGATCGTAATAACGAAACTGCAGCAATGCGTGCATTTTAAATTGAAGGTCGTGTGCATCGAGATTCTGTAAAAAATATACGTAAAAGCGCACAAAGACGTCAACTGGGACAATCTTTCCGGATTCATCATGCGCTAAAGAAGGAATAATGTTTCAACACATTAATTAATTATGTCGTTAAATGTCTTACGTTTAGCTCGTTGAATACGGTCATAGCGACATGGATGCACAAGACGTTCGAAAAATTGCGTTTGAGTTAAAGAATCCGCATTTGTCAATGGCGGGCATTCTTTCAATGATCTGTGCTTATTTTAATAAAATTATTATATCAAAATTTAATATTATTATGTCTTAACTTACACAGCATCTTTGAGTTTAACTAATGAAATCACTTTATCTACATTTAGTGTTGAATTATTTTCTGAAGCTTCATGAGTTTCATTTTTTATTGAAACAACAAATGCAAATTGCATTAAAATTAAAAAATTCACAATTTTTATCATCCTTTCTCAATTTCAAATTCTTCTAGTATTCACCATGACGATTCGCGATAAAATGAACTCACTTTGCTAAAGAAATGAGCTCAGAAATTCTTTTCAAAATGAAACTATTCGATAATCATTTTGTCCACAAAAAAATTCACGTCAAGTGTAAATTAAATTACTTTATTCGATCAAAATGATGGAAGAAAAGTTCGAGTGTTGCTCAAGTATCAAATATTGATCATTGTTGATTTACACAAAAAGCAAAAAAAATTCTTAATTTTTCATGTCTAATTTAATGGAAAATATTTTCGTTGTAAATGTATCTACATAAATGATTAATTATTTAAGTTAATTTCTGATAATATTTAGATTCTGTTAAAGTTATGTTTATTTGTAGTTAGCTTGTTCTTGTTAAGTATCACGTTTGGAAAATTTCTTTCAGTTCAACAGCTGTTAAGTTTCTTTAAATGTTAACGAATGTCCAATAGAAGATGTTGAAAACAACAAAAGCACAAGGGAAGAATACTCGAGATCGTCTAAAATGATTTTCAGTTTGAGAAATAATTATTTGACAAGTCAAGATTTATTTACTTATCAATCCAAATGGAAATCTGTTGTGGTGTCATTGTCGTCCACGTTATGTTTTTAGGCAATTCTTCTTCTCTCTGTTCCGTAGGTGCATCTATCGTTACAGATACTGTGCTGTTTCCATGTGACATCCCACCATTGGAAAATGGTTTGAAATCATCGACACTTTCAGTCATTATTGTTGGAATAGATCCTAAACCCTATTAAATCAAATTAAATTAAAATTTTAACGTATAATCAAGAAGATTTCTTACTTGAACTGTTAAGCTGTTATCAAACTTGAACTTTCGGTGATTCATCGGTGATTTATCCTTCACTTGATCTTTTATACTTGAACACGAGTGAGATTTTTGCAAAGTATTGGGACTGCTATTGATGCTTGCCATTTCTTTTCTCATTGGCCTTGGTGTCAAAGTTTGTTTCAATATATTTGATGTGTTGACCTAAATTAAAATGTTAATAACATTTTTTTCCAGCTTTTCTTTTTATACCTTTTTCAATTCAACATTCTTTCGACGACGCCAAATTGTATTAACAAATGCAAATTCTACTAACGTCCCAAAAATGAATCCTGTGCAGCCCATAAACCAAATTTCCGATGCTTTAATGTAATTAACTTTAGGTAATGTTTTGCCTTGAGCCGATGCTAGAGTAATGAAAGTCAACATCGTTGTGGTTCCCAACATAATACGAGGCGCCGTCTGATCAGCTTGAAGCCAAAATGTCACCCAAGATATCGCGACAATCATCATCGATGGAAGAAAATAATCAATGAGATAAAATCCCATTTGTCGACTCAAAGTGACAGTGAAACTCAATGAACTATAATTTCCAGCGAATGCTCCGTGACGAAGGTCGCTAAGATCCGCATTGACCATCGATTCGTTCGTGAATGTGTTCATTAAAATATATTCAGTTAAATGTTGATCAGGCCCCATTGTCACTGGTGATTTTGGTTCCCAATGCAACATAACTTCAGATCCATTGTACATCCAACTTTCAAGAACTGTTCTACAGTTTTGCTCATCAAATGGAAATTTTCTTAGATCCATATAACAGAAAAGTGTTGCTTGAATTCTTGTAGAAATTATGACAGTTCCATCAGGTGAAATTGACGTAAGAATATCTTTTTCGTGTGTGCCAAGAATTCCAGAATCTCTGTAATTAATAATTCTTGTAATTTTGTGAAGAATGAATTAATAATTGAATTTACTTTTCATTTGCAAAGAAAATGTGAGGCACCCAAAGCTCTTTTCTGAGATCATCTTCTCCAACAATCGGAATTGTACGCTTTGAAACTTCTTTAAACACTAAACGAGGATCCACAAAGCGAAATTGCAAAAGCGCTTGAATCTTAAACTGTAAATCATGCGCTTCAAGATTTTGAAGGTAATAAATGTAAGCTCGTGTGTAGACATTGACAGGCAGAACTCTGCCCTTATCATCTTTTGCTGTAAAGACAAATTACCAATAAATCCTTCGAAATCTTTTTTATTTTTTATTTTTCACTAATGAAAGCTCACGTTCTGGCCTTTGGATGCGATCGAAGCGACATGGATGAGTCAGTCGTTTAAAAAGTTGAGTTTGAGTTAACGAATCCGCATTTTCAAATGACGGACAACCTTCAGCGGGAGCTCTGAAAGAAAAATAAAAAAGAGAACTTCAAGTAATGAAGATTTTATTCAACTTTCTAGCAAGATTTTAATTCACTTTCCCTTCATTTATTTATTGAGCATTAAATTATTGATTCCGTCTAAACTGATTATAAGTTTTCATTTCTGTCTGACTTCTCTATTGAAAGTTATTTTCACGTGATACTCGATTCGTACTCAACAGCACAATTGCCGATAAACTTTTTCAAATTGACAACAGAAAGTTGTTCTAGATTAAAAGGTGGAAGTGAATATTCAATCAATGTCTTTCCTATTAAGATCTGATGTTTCTCAATTATTTTCTTTTTTATCCTTGAACTTCATCAACACTTTCTTTCTTTTACGTTTTTTAATGAAATTTATTTGTAAAGGTTTAATAAACCTCATCTGCAAGTTTTAAATGACTCATTAATTGTGAGATTATGCGAAGAAATAAAGTGATCAATGAGAGTTGTCGAGTTTTCTTCTCATGTATTTATTTGATTGAGGTAAAACTTACAAACACAGTCGAGCACGTGCTGAACAAATTTCTGAATACAATTTTTACAAATAGATAGTAAAATGCGTTTTTATAATTTAGTCATCAAGGCGTTGTAAATTGGCCAGTAGGAGTAGCATACGCAAATAGATTGAGAAACTTACAAGGAAGCTTGTAAACACCTTCACTTCTCATTATATGGAAGACTAACAATTAACAATACGCAATTGTTGACATAGTACAACAAAAGCTTTCTTTCAACTGATGAGTTTTCTGATATTTGTCATCAAGACTAAGTAGTTGTTCTAAAATGAATTACGAAAGAATAAATTGCTTCAAAAGTTCATTTGAAGATGTATTCAAATTATTGCTACATCAATTTGGAAATTTATATCAAATAAATAGAAAAAAATTAATTAATTTGAAAACAATTTCGAGTAGCTAGAAGGTGTAAGATCAATAATCTACAACTAAACCTGAACCGCAAGATGCATTTTAGTGTGTGATCTTTTGAAATTATTAATTGAATATTCACCGCATTATTACCTAATTGATATTAATTCTAAAATTACTTTTATTCCTTATAAAAAACTTTTCTTAAAGGTATCCGAATTCGCAACTTTATGATGCAAACAATCATTTTTAGCAAACAAATCGCGTCGGTAACGAACGACCTGCACTGTGAATCATTCTTTGGAACAAACATCTTATCAACAAAAATAAACTAATTAAATTGCTTAAATGACGAAGTTGTTGAGTAATTATTATCATGTTTGCTGAAAACATTTTCAACTAATTAATTAATGTATTAAGCGTAAGAGACAAGGTCCTAGAATATCTATTAAGAGACTACAGAAGCTGAATGGGTTTACAAGGAATGTAATTAAATATTTTTATCTTATCATTGATTTTAATTTGAAAATTTATTTGAGACAAATACTTGGTAGTTTCTCCAGTTCCTTCATTTAAATCTTTTATGCAATAATAATAATTTTTATCTTACAAAAATAATTTATTCATACATTTTGAAATTTTATGCTTCAACAGTTGATTAAAAATTTACGCAATTAATATTAATTAATTGTCTATTTTTTAAATTTTGATATAACTTTAGAATTCCAATAAATATGTTAAATTGAACAGAAATTGTTTCACGCTAATTATACCAGCATGAATAATTCTTCACGTAGAAATTTTCCATAATGGAAATTATAAAAAGTTTTGTCTTCATTCTTTACTAACATTTAAGGCATGTGTTTGGATATTGAGTTAAGAAAAAGAAATTATTGCAGTTCCTTGACAAACTTTTAAAATTCAATGCTGTGAAAAGTCGAGAACTTTCTGCAAAAAACTAATCGAATTTATTCCGCTATTCGTTCACGTGGAGCTCGTAAACTTAAAGATTTCTTCAAGCACATTTTAAGAGAAATATTAATTGATAAGCAAATGAAGTTTGCACTGCACTGTATCGAAAATAAATAATTAAGCACTACAAGTCTGGAATATTTTATACATGCTAAACTCAGTAAATATATTTAAAGCTTCGTGATAAAGTTATAAACAAAATTGTGACAAATTCAAATTTTCATTACGTTGAAAAACGAAAAAATTTCATTTTTGAATACATTTTGCCACTGATTGTGACTTGAGCTTGCTGAACAAAAGTGTTTAATTCTAATTAATTTGTTTTTTGGTTGGCAAGTGGCAAGCAGTTATCTTTTTGAATGGATGATTGAAATACGACACACTTTGATGAATTCAAACTTAAGAATGACTTACAGTGCAGCTTGTATCCTCGAAGGTTTTTTTGATGGTTCGACTCTATTGATTTGTGCTGGTACAGTAGCTGGTGGAATCAATAAGGCTTCTGCTTCAGTTGAAGGTTGACTTGATTCAGTCGTTGTTGTTTCGAAGGTTGTATTTGTTTGAAAAGTTGAATTTTCCTCACTTATCAAAATTGTCGAATTTTCACTAATCTTAGATGGTACTGTCGTTGTTAATAAAATGATTTGTGTAATATTTTCAACCACATTGGTTGTTTCTTCTAATGCTTTTACATCTTTTGTTAGAAAAAACATGAATTTTAATAAAACTGCAATTAAAGCTTTCCTCATTTTAGTCTCTCTTGTGTGAAAAACTAATTTTAATTTTTTTGATATTCAAACACTAAAACAAAATAATGTCAGGAACTTTTTTGAATAAAATGTTTCAATCAACCATCGAAATATTTTGTTAGTTATTTATCTTTCCTGCACAATGCTACTGCTTTTAAAAATTCATCTACTAACAAGTTTTATTGTCAAACTCTTTTTTTAAAATTAAATAAAGATAATAAGAAAGTTTGTGACTCTCGTGGAACTTTAATGATCCGATATGATTGAAGTTTGTAAATGAACTGAAAAAATTTTACTTCGAGACTCTCTTGATACGTTTTCACAAAGATCTCAACGAAACTACTGCATGTTCTTTCTCACATTTTATGTGTTTTAATGTCTCGCACACGTACTCATTTAGTAGCGTTTACTCTTGTACTCTACTGTGCGGCTTTTAAAAATTTGTGATAACAATGTGTAGCAAGTGAGACACTATTTGGTTGCTATTGACCAAGCAAAGGATTTCATTTACCTTATCTTACGATATTTTTAGAAAGAAATTTCGGAAGAGAACAAAACTTTATCTCCAGTAATTTTATTGATTTAAGAAAATTATTCTGCAATTAGTAACAGAACGATGAAGCACATTATTGGAGATCTTAATTCTGATCTGTTACCTGATTATGCAGAAGCAAGAAATATTATCAATGAAAATTTTCTTTTGTTTGCACTCAAAAATGCGACAAACATATTTCGGATCTTGTTCTTATCGTAATAAGAAATCAATTTAATATTGTGACAGCTTAACAAGAAATTCGACATCAATACAACAAGCGACGTCAACTGCCGGTGATGAATGATCGAAGTGGGAAGTATTCGTAACTATTTAAGAATTAATAGATAAAACCTTACAGTTGCAAAAGAATAACACGAAGCCCGCTTTTGAGTAAATGTTGAGTGTTGTTTAATTATTTAGAATAATCTGAGAGAATATTTGAACTTCCGATAAACAACATTAATTAATAACAGTAAATATTGTTACAATTTTATTCGTAATTAAATACAAACGATTTAAGCACAGCGAAGCTTTCTCATTAGAAAATTTATGACCAAAGATACCTTTAAATGAATTTCTATTTTTAAATATTTAATTCTGTCTGATAGTTTATCTAAATATGCACGCGTGACCTTTTAATGTTCTTTCTTTTGTAATATCTTCATTGATCAACTTTTTTTCCTTTATCGGATTTATAATTTATTGACTAAATTTTAATGCATCAACACAGATACATTGATCGATTGATTAGCTCATTCTCATTATTCCCAATTGTGTAGATAATAATTGCAGTCGTTTAATCGACCTTGTCGGTCACACCTTTGTATGGGTGCCAAAATAGTGATCGTTACGTTTTCAATCACTGCGTTTAAGTGTCGATGTCATGTGCATAAATTTACATTTTTACTTCATTGAGACTTATGGATAGAGTAGAAGATAACAAAAACTGTTTAAGATGTAAATATGCTTTTAATATGCGTTCTGATGTTCAAAATTAAAAACTCACAAGCAAATTTAGCTTATTTTATTTTTAATACTTAAAACAGATTCATTAAAACATAACACAGAAGCAAAAAATTCATACTTAATTAATTTGTATTATGATGACAATATTTTCTATTTTATAATCTATTTTGAAACATAACTTCAAGCAATAATTCAGAGAGAAGGAATTATAAATAATTTTTAAGAGTTCCCCAAAACATCACTTCATGATAGAACTTTCACTGACACATCTCTAATTCCTTCGCCACATTCCATAAGACTTTAGAAGAAAATTTGAATTAATATTCTATTAGCAACAAATTTCAATGCATAAATCCATTAGAAATTCAAGTAGAGAACCAATGGCAAATATTTGTGAACTTGTCATTTGTGCGATGTCGTCACTGATGCATAATGTGTTGTCACAGGAAAGGCAAATGATTTAAATTTTACTAGGTCCATGAATGCTTAAGTGCTTGTATGCTTGATGTAGATATAAACGATGTTGTTTAATAATGTTCGAAGTAGTCTAAATGCCTGATGATAAAGAGTATTATAAATAAATTTTCCTTTTTTGAGGAAGTATTTCACGATATTCGATTGTTTGGAAATGTTCTACCAAATTTCAAGTAAATATTCAGTGACTCAAATTTCCAGAAACTTGAACATAAAAGTGTTTAATCAAAATTAAAAAGTTTTAATACATAGCAAAGAAGCAAACATGCCTCGGAACTAACAGCCTAGAAATAGAATTCACAACAAAAATCAAAGTTGTTCAAATCTTGCTGAGTTGATTCCTAATTGTGCGTATTCAAATCCAAAATTAAATACATCGACAAAACAAACAAAGTTTCTCAATACGATTACAATAAAACCAACAAGTGTTTGAGTGCTAATAAAGTATCTAATATTTATTGAAAACTTCAAATCATATAATAACTTTTGGAATTATGAACTTTAACTTTTAAGTAACTTCTTGTTTGAAAAAAAGTGGAAGGGAAACTTAAGAATTTCACCCTTCCACTTCTATTTAAGATTTTTCATCTACCAAAGTGGATGACTGTAAAATTTTAAATCGAAAAATCCATCGGCCGTGTGAGTATTTTCAGAGTCCCGGGAGTGAACTGAGTCATTGTCGTATGAGTGTTCATGTGTGCGATAAGATGCTGGCACACCAAAAGGACGATTAATCTTCACAACACCAAATCCATCATCAGAAATCTGATTAAATTCAATTTTTTCGTCGGATCCAACAACAATACTTGATACATTCTTCTTTCCCGTTTGTCTTTTATTGTAGCGAAATTTATTTGAATCGACATGATCTCCTTCATGCTGTGTATCAAATGTTTCAAAAGATGATTCATTGTAGTTGTAGTTATCAGAAGCAAAAGAATCAACCAAGTTTCGATCATCAGAAAATTTAACATCATGCTGTGATGATGAAATTGGCGACGTAATTAAATCTGATGGTTCATCAACTTCTTGTTTCGTATCTTGAACGTTCTTTTCGCTAACAGAGAGATTGTCAGTTTGTTCAACAAATGATTTTATTATGTCAGCTGTTGTGTCATTCATCAATTTTCTGCAGTTGTATGTAAATAATTATGCTTAAAATTGTGTTATCAATAAATATTATAAATTAAAAAAAAAGCTGAGATAAGCCAATAAATCCAAAATATTAAATAAATAATGTTAACAAAAATGTGTATGACAAATTAAAAAAAACATTCATTAAACTATTCAAACATTGCATTGTGTAAATGAGATTTGTACGATCTCCATTGATGTGAAAACAAATGTAAAAAAATTGGCAAGTAAAAAAGCTTGATGTTAACACTAGTAAATATGTCTGCAAATAATGTTGAAAAAAGAAAAAAACAAAAAATAATTTAATTGATTTAAACATCAAATCAAAAGAAAAACAAAAAAGTGTTAAGGGATGAAGAAAGTTACCTGGTTGGTTCAGCTTCTACTGACGTTTCTTTATTGTGAATTATCTTTAAAAAAGAAAAAAAGAAAAATTAGAACTTAATTTGAAATAAAACAATTGATCATCATCAGTAATGATCATCATCATCAGTAGTTAATGATCATCATCAGTTGCTTAAAGATGTTCACCGTTCATCTTCTTTTATTTACAAAAATTATCTCAACCTTCAATTGAAATTTGTTTAATATAAAGTAAGAATGTTTAAATTTAATTTTAAATTAGAAAATTTCAATCAAAAGCTTTACATATATTTTTTAAAGCATGTCTAAAGACATCCGTGACCAGTACTGTCGATGATGATCAAAGTTTAAACTACCTATTAACAAATTTTATAAAAATGTTAATTATACTTATTTAAAATACCTGATTCAGACTGCATTGAGGCCTTGGAGCACCGTAACGTCCTACGTTGTTTAATTTTGCAGATATTCTAATTAATAAGTTATTGTAAAAGCAATTTTTATTTGTTATGTTACCATTAATTTGATTATTTCCCAGTGGCAAATCATGATTCGATCGTACATGCGATTGACGACGTTTATTTTCAGCATTCAAATATTGAGGTCCAAATAGAATTGAGTTGGGACTAATTTTGTGTGTTTGTGCGTTTTTTATTAATCGCGTCATTGGCGTAAACAAATGTTTAATGAATTTATGCGTTATCGATTAATTAAAAGGAATAATTTTGTTAGTAATTTATTGAATAAATTGAAATAGGTTTTAGAAAATTAATCAATTATTTGATTAGAAGAATTAGAAAATTTCTTGTGATATTGAAGATTTATTCTCACCTAGTTGTGACATACGTTTGACTTGTTCGATGCAAATCTCTAGCTGATTTTTGTGAGCCGAAAAAGCCATCAAATATAACAAAATTATTCATCTGTGGAATCTTTGTTGAAAGCCCGTAATGCTTTCGTAGAAAAGAAAGCAATTTTTCACTGGGACGATCAATAGCTAACTCCTCAGGTGTGAAATTTTCTTGTTCCAACATATATTCAAAAAGAACTTTCCCCAACCCAGCTCGTTGACGAAGCTCGTGTATATAGAAATCCAATACACAAGGAGCATTAACATGACGGGTATCACCGTTTTGATCAAATACGTAAAGAGACTTACGTCCTATTTTGAGAAGACCAAGAACAAGACCGCTAAAAAGAAACAAAAAGTGTTATGCAAATGAAAGATGAAAACTTTTTTCTTAAAATTAAGTATGCGACACAGTTACAAAACATAAACCAATAAAAGTTCTGAATCAAAGAATATTTTTGATTTCAAACACGCAACAAAAACTTTGGTTTCGAGTTTTGCGTGTTTTTATATTAAGTCAAAGCTCTTTATAAGAGAAATGATTAGGTATTAATTCCACTTTCAGCCATTTTGCATGTAATTAGTGTAAGAGAATTTCCTTTTGGGGGAGTCATGTTAATAACTCATATATTTACTGACCATTAGACTTTTTTTCTTTCTACTTCTCACTTTGTCCTATTTTTATATTATTTTAAGTGCAAAGTTTTCCTTTCGAAACATTCAGGAATCATTAGCAAATCACGTTTCTAAATCATATTTTAGCAAGTCATTTAAAGAAAAGTAAGAGCTGTAAAATATAGCAAAATGCCTAATTTTCCTTTTTACATTTTTGAGATTATTTATGTCTGTATGTAAAAATAATTCTGCACTTTTGCTTTCTAAATTGCAAATATAATTGGTTAATGCTCCTGTTTTCTAACGTAAATTATTGAAAAATTTTATATAGAAAACTATCCTTAAAAACAATTTGAGGGTGTTTGTGAAAGGTTCTAATTTTATGGAGAATTCCCTGAATGGTTGAAAAAATATTACGAGCAATAATAATCTCATTTTATAGTAATTGTAATATATTCAAAGAAACAGAGCTTTGAAAGGTTCTTTCGAACAAAAATTAGTTGAATGCAGTTGATTGGCCTTATGTTTGTTTTTTCAATGGAAAGTAAGGTTTTTGCGCTTTCTTTTGATTTTTTCCTTTTCTTGCTTTTTATATGCTTTGTTATTATTACATCAAATTTATTTAAGAATAGCATGAAAGTATAATTAAGCATCTAATTATAATAAATTCTCACCTTCTTCCATTGTTCTCGGTCATCAGATAAATGACTTGATCATCTGAGTTGCGCAATCGATCACTAGTTGTCACTGGATGGTTAAGTCCTTGCGCTGCTGCTGATGCCTGTCCCACGGTATTTATTATTTCAGCGACATATGCAGTTGTGTCTCTTTTTTGATTAAAAAAATATGTTAAAATTACTTAGAATTGAATTCTTTAAAAATAGAATAAAAAACTAGAACAAAGTCAGCATTTTCTTCTTTAATTTTAAATAACAACCTTTTAAGGTAATGACACTGATGGCAAATACAATATTACAGTCAGTCAGCCTACACCATTCCAAAAACAGAAGAAAATGCTTGAAACGAATCAATTTTTCAATTTTTTTGTCCGTCAGAATATAGAACTTTGCAAAGTTAAGTTTTGTTGGCTTATTTTTCATGCATGAATAATTCTAGTTAAACAGTGTTTAGAGAATGAAAATTTCTTTTGTTTGAAATGTGGAGGATTGAAAAACTGTCGCATGATCGTCATTCCTTTTATTAGAAGGTCATCGAAAGCTTCAATTAAAGAATAATATTGAAAAAGACTTACAATGCACATCGGCGATCTGATGCAATGAATCCATTTGGAAGCAGAGAATTTCCAATTCTACTTATGTTTTCTTTGAAAATTTTGGTAATATCGAAGCGAAATTCCATTGTAGCAATATTATTTATTCATTTACTTCACTGAGTTCTTCTTAATCGAGATTTAAGATTTGTTGCAGATATCTAACCTGAAAACGAAAATTAGTAAATTTAAATTCACTGCAATTAAAATTTTTTTAATTGAATACTTAGTAAGTAACTTAAATCATTAATAAAACAATAGAAAGCAACGAAATACTTGTAAAAACATTATAGTGTCATTATTAGAGCGTAATCATAGTGCCGAAAGTTTCTTTTATAAAGATTTTGAAAACGTTCAACATAGTAAAACACATTAAGCTCAACATTGATGATGAATTTCTTACCATTTGATTGAAGCTTTTGGTAAATAATGTCAACGTGTGCTTTTAAAATTGATAAAAATATTCTTAAAGACATAAAAAAACTAAATAAATATCAAATGTAGAAACTTATACTGCTGATATTTCTACTTTTCATCTACCTACACATCTTAAAATTCGTAATAATTTTACCAAAAGCTACATCTTTTAAGTAAAGTTCTCAGTAGTTTTACAGTTTAACTCTCAAAATTTATTTCACTTGTTTTTAAATAATTTGATATTTACTGATTAAATTAACTTTTGGAACGAATTATTGTGTTAAGAAAGCTTTTACCAATTTTGATATCCAAAGTTCTTACCGACAAAAACTATAAATTTATGAGTTTTCAAGTTAGAGCTATTTTCTGTGCTTGTATATCCACTAATGGTTTTATTTATACTGTTTTTTCGTTCACAGTTTCAGTTTTGAAATAGTTTTTTCTATTCTCTTATTAAAGCTGCGGTAAATTGCAAATGTGTAAGAAATTCATTGGAGTCTGCGTAGTTTAATGGTATTGTTTCTCTACCTTAGTTTTCTATAAACATTTGTAAAACTTAAGTTCATGGTAACTTAAATCAGCAATGACACAACATATGTTTTTTAGGAAAAAATAATAGATGAACTAGAAAAATTCTCAACGTTTTATATTGTAGCTTTTAGACCACTGAAGAATAAAAAATCAATCGAATTATTAAATAAAAGTTTTTGATTGCTTTTTGATATCGAAAACTAAAGAAAAATTGTAAGAGATACTTTGGAACATTAGAAAAGCTTTAAACGCAGGCCTTTAAATTGACCTGTTTTGGTTTATTGATAAAACTAATACAATTTATCATGTTAAACAAAACAATTAAGAAACTGTTTCCATGATAAGATAATAACACTTCTTGTACACTAAATATTTATGGACTCACTGATTTTCTTTTATTATTGAAATATCTTTAACTATGTATACTTCTTTATATTTCTATTAAATTAATCGTTAAGAAATTACCTATTTACTCATCAATACAAAAACATGCACGAAGCTTTCAGTCCGATAGTCGGCTGAAAAGACGCATAGCTTTAAAAATAACAATTTGAACCTGAATTTTTTGATTCTTGCTTAGGGTAAAAGACCTACAAATGAAGGAAATTTTAAATAAACTATCGACATTTTAGAATTATTATTAGGCTTGAATATGCTTTTATAATAGTTAAGTCTGAACTTGCATGTCACTTATGCATAAAGTTCATATTTTAGCATCATTGCTTTTAAAATAAAACAATTTCTTTCAAAATTAACACAGTCAACTCATAAGATAAAGATATTGCATGTCATGTTATGATATCGCTCCTTATCATCTTGAATATCTAATCAAGAAAGAAAATGATTAAATCACTCGTATTTTATTATGAGTTTTACATTGCCTTTCTGCATCACACATAAAGCATTTTTCAAATTGTAGTTACTATGTATGCTTATGTATGTGTTTGTGTCACAATTAAATCAAAAATTCTTTGTGACCACACTCGCAACATTAGTTTGTTGTTCAATAGCACTCGTAATAGTAATGTCTCTTTTAGCTTAAAATCAAATATTTATTGGTGACCTTACAATTTATATGCACTTGAAACCTTATTTTAAAATTCAAGTAGATAAGTCTTGAGCAAAGTCAAGTTTTAATAACAAATTGAGATTAAGAATTTGGGCGTTTTAAGTGATTAAAATTTTTGTTTAAATTTCTCAAATATGCCTAACAAAAATGAGAATTTGAGGAGACGAAAGGTAAGTTAAATAGTTCAAAGGTGATTTTATGAATGGACAGTGAAGGAAGTAAAACACTAAACACAAGACTTCTGTTATATTTTATTTTTGCCGGTATTCAAGGCCATTAATTTCATCACAAAACAATTTAAGATTGTGTATGTGTTAGCTTAATGCTCCAATGAATAAGTTTCTGGTTTGCTTGTGTCTGTCCGTCTTTTGTTTTGATTCGTGAAAATTTTGTGATACATTATTATTCGACATAGACATTATTTAAGTACTTAAAGTACTTTAAAAGTCTGAATAAATAAGAAGATTGAATAATATTTTGAATAATTGCAGCTTTTTTGAAAAGATATTCAATAAATTCTTCTCAACTTTCGAGAAGTTAAACATTCGTCAATGTCTTACTTCTTATTTAGAAAAATAATTTTGTTCTTTATCATTTGAATGTCTCAAACATCAAGTGAAATTATTTCATCAAGAGTTTTTCGTTATCAATAATAAAGCTGTGAATGTATCGAAAAAAATATGGAATATCTGATAAAAGTGATAAAAAAAACATGAATGATTTAGAAGAATTCGAATGTGTAATAAAAACTATTTTTTTAAAAACTATTAACTTTTAAGATAAGCTTAATAATGCTTCATATATATTTTAGTTGATTCAACAAGACAATAGTGAAAAGTCAGCTGAATCAAGATCGATTAAGAAGAAGATTCAAGATAAAAACCTTAAGGGATCTCCAAATTCCGGACTTTTCTTCAGTTTTTTATGTCTCGTGGCAACTGTGACTATTTTCATCGTATTCTTCAGGTGAGCTTTCTTGCTACAAAATATCTAGTTAAATATTAAAGTTCAACAGACATCTAAAATGTTTCTCTATTTTTTTATGTTTTCAAAGTGTTTATACCGATTCAATCCATCCATTGGTTGATACAATAGCAAGCCAGTTAGGATATTCAGAGAAGCAATATGGAGCTATCATTGATGCTGGTTCAACTGGAAGCAGAGTGTTAGCTTTCGAATTTCATAAGGGATATCTTGATGGACGACTTGTGTTAGACAATGAGTTATTTAAAGAATTAAAACCGGGTTTATCATCATTGACACCTGAAAAAGGTGCTGACCAAATAAATCAACTGTTAAACGAAGCTAGAAATTTTATTCCACAAGAATATTGGATAAGTACGCCTTTAGCATTGAAGGCACCAGCCGGTTTGAGACTTCTCGGTGCCAGTAAATCTGAGGAAATTCTCAATGTGATTCGAGAATTATTTTCTAAATCAGGATTTTCTGTTAATGAACATTCCGTAGAGATCATGGATGGCACAGATGAAGGAATATTTTCATGGTTCACTGTTAATTATTTATCGAATCGACTCACGTCAAAGAACACCGTAGCAGCTTTAGATCTCGGTGGTGGATCAACACAAGTAACTTATGAAATGAACGAATTCCAACCAAGTTATAAAAACTTCATTCATGCTGTGCCCATCTTAAACAACAATGAAGTCAATGTGTTTACAAACAGTTATCTGGGCTTAGGTTTAATGGCATTGAGACATGCTGTGATAACAAAGAAAGGTGCTGCTAATCAAACATCATTTGAGAGTGAATGTGTGAATCCAATTATTAAAGAAAAATCGTTCAACTACGGAAATGTCGATTATTTAGTGTCAGGAAAGGAAAATAAAAGAAATGTTGAGAATCCCGAAGTCGATTACGAACTTTGCACTGAAGCTGTTAAACGTCAAGTTATTTCATTGCTACAGCCAAAGCCAATAAAACTTGGAGAGCATATTATAAACGCTTTTAGTTACTATTATGATAGAGCCATTGAGACTGGTTTGGTTGATCCATTCCAAGGTGGAGAAATTACTGTGTTTGAGTTTACTAAGAAATCGAGAGAAATTTGTGCAACGCCTAATACTGATCAGCCTTTCATGTGCTTGGATTTGATTTATATTTCTGTATTACTCCAAGATGGCTTTGGTTTGAAGCCTCAAACAAATATCAAAGTAAGACGAAAATTCTTAGTTTTTTCTTTTCATAATTTATTTCACGACTTTAAATATTTTTCAGCTTTTTAAGAAAATTCGAGGACATGAAGTTAGCTGGGCTCTTGGATGCTTCTTTCAAAATTACAACGATTTAGTGAAGAGAAAGAAGAAAGCAGAATAATAAGCACGTAGACAGACATCACCCTCGACGAATCATAAAGATTTCCCCTTTTTAAATATTTTAATTAGATGCTGACTATCAATTTTATATTGATTAAGATAGAAAAGAAATTTATTTGTACCATAGTCATCAAATGATATTCATCAGATATCTAGACATAGGTAATCTGCTGAATAAAAATTTTAAATGAAAATAAAGACAAATAAAAAAATACCGGTAGAAAGAAAATCAAATTTTTTAAATTTTTATTGTCCGTTAGAAAACATTTTCAGAATGTTTATTCACTCATCAATCAAAAAATAAACCGAAGGCATTCAGTAAAATATCCCGCAGATACCTTGTGAATACCACTGAGACACACTCACAGTTCACAAAATGAAATCGAAAAGTTCATCATCGACATGGTGCCACTTAATTAATCAATTGAAACATTCTTTTTTTTCTTAGGAAAATGTCAGGCGACAGCTTTAGCAAGGAAATCAAAGCACAAGTTACTCACTTCACTGTAACAATATACCTCGAATTTGATTTATTGACATCGCAAGAGGTTGGTTAATATTTCATTTTTAACATCGAAATCTTTCTGAGAGTTTCACTATTTACGTAGACATGAAGAAGTTGTTACACTGGTGGGAAAAGCACAAAATAACCATTAAATGTATTGCTGTAATATGTGACAAATGAAGAGGCATTTTGCCCTCGGGGAGAAAACCGGAGAGCGAGTTTCGCAACATGTTTACTAACTTTCTTGTTAAGTCATGCGGTTTGTGGATGGCTTTTGTTAAAAGTCGAGCGTTTGAAGTTGGGAAAGTCATGCTTCAAACAATGAAAAGCTTTTTGTGTGAAAATCGAACAAAATAAATTGATTTTTGTTGACATTGTTCGAACTTCGAATGAATTAAAAAGAATAAAACTTAAAGTTTAATCAAATGGGAAATTAAAGTTTTTTTCATAGAAAGTGTGAGATTATGTGATGATCCGATGAAAACTATCATTCCTGGCGTTCACACACTGGAACGTATCTGTCTAAATAAGAAAAAACTATATCAGTGAGGTAAATCTGCTTGTCTGGAAAATCTTCCCAATTATTTATGATCACAATTTATCAAAGCTCTTCCTCCCACAACATCCAATCTTAATTACAATTATCAGTTCAGTTTGTTTAAAAGCATCGATTTTTTACGTAGTGGCTTCTCTGTAAACCGAGATTATAATCTTCCCTCGAAGTGGCATTAGTCAGTATCATCATCAAATAGTTTATTTTCCCTTCAGATTCCATCAGCCCATTTGAGTCTCATCACTTTTTGTTCGTGCGAAAATGGTGTGGTTGCTTGTCCCTTCCGTCCTTCTCAGAATGTACACTATGAATGAGATTTCCCATAATTTACCATGATTAATTTGGAGTCGAGATAGCCAAAGAAATTATGTCATCTACTTCTTCACCGAAAATTACTGATAATAAGCTAAGATATTTTCTTTTCTTTGGGCCTTTGACACTTGGGGGGAGTGAAAAACAAAAAAATATATGTATACATCAGAAGGAAAGCTTCGAAGGCACTTTTTTTCTTCTTTTTCGTCTTCTTTCTCAAAAAACAATGAAAATCCTCTTAAATGGGATTTGTTAAATAACAAGAAATAATTCCACGTTGCTGTGATTCTACAGCTGAGATTGAAAGCAAGCCGGGAGCTCATTGAATTACTTTTATAAGAATTATTCTTTGTTCCTGGTCTGGTTTCGTAACGCGAGAAACAGAACAAATAGACGTCAGTTTAAGGTAAGAGAGAACCAAGTCATTTCTATTCGAATTCCTACAGTTTTCCAACCCTTTTGCTTTTCACAAATTTATGAAACATTCCTTTTGTCTTATTCGCAACTGCTGTTGAAAAAGCAGTTTCCACTGAATAAATAATTCGCCTTTTTATATGTTTGCTCTTTTATCAGAAAACAAAACAGGAAAAAAAATGCGTAGAACCGAGAACACATTTTTTTGGTCATGTGGGGAAATGAATCAGGAGAAATAGACTCGCAGAGAAACTGTGAATAAAAAAGTGTTTGCTTTGTTTCCGTGGGCTTGTTCTAAAGCTTGAGAGCAGATTGAATTTTAAAGTAAAATTCAAAGGCTTGCTTCGTTCATTGTCCCGTAACATTTTCACCAACCACAAAAGGTTTGAACCTAATAAAATATGAACTCACCTCCAGAGGTTTACTCGCTTGCTGCCCTTAAAAAATCCCAGGTTCCCAACCAAAAATCACTCTTGCTTTTACACAATGTGAAGGTGAAACAAATAAATTATTAAAACAACAAATTATTTGAATAATCTTTTTTTTGTGTTTCTTGTATTCTTGGTTCTCTTTGGCCGTATCGTATATCAGGTGAGAAAGGACAGAACAATTCTTATTTACTGTTCCCTGGCGGTAGCCTTTTGCACTCACTGTCGGAAAGCCGTAGATATGATCAAATAAATTAAATGCTGTTAAACTTTCTCTTTCTCGCCCTCAAGCGTGGCTTTGGATGCTTTCGAGGAAATTCCTTTGAACTTAATCGTTGATTCCTTTTTACCACAAACATCACTCAACAATATTGAAATGAATAATTGTGTATTAATGTTTTTAAAATTTACATGTTATCCAATTATCCAAAGTTGCAAAAGCATTTTTTTTCTTTTGATTTTAATGTTCGATAACAAACATTAAATTGGAAATATACTGCAAACATAGTCATTAAATATATTTTGCTGTTTATTTATTAAATGATAAAGTATCTCACTGAATTAAAATAAAATGTTTACAACACAATTATGTATAATTTATCCGAATCTAATTAAGTGCAATAGTGGAAAAGAAATGTTATCATTGTCATAGTGAAAAATCTCATTTCAATTCTGATGCTTTTAACATTTATTTAAGTATTGATAACAAGTTTCATGCATTTCTCATTATAATTCACTTTTAGATTGTCCAAATGTTGATTGAACATAACTGGGACAAAAGTTTTGAGCTTTTTTCATTCATTATTTAAAGACAAAGGTTGCATAAATTTTAATTAAAAACAGCTTCCATCTTTCATTAAGCAAGTAGAATTTCGAAGCAAACATCTGGATAGCTTTCAACTCGATAAATCCGATTAATAATACAATTTCCGTTTCATTCAGATCAAATTGTAGTTGATAAAGTGGTAATTTTCGTGTCATTCATTATGTTTGCTGCTCATGGATTCGTAAACTGTAATAAACAAAGTGCAGAACTTTTCATATCGTAAATGAAATGTATTAAATCAAATTGTTATGAAATATGGTTTTTTATTTATCGTTTAGAAATATATGTTATGAAACAATAACAAAAAATAAATTCTTCAGCTATAAATTTATTTGGTAACATTCGAGATATTTCGAAGGATATAAAATATGTACAAAAAAAGTTGAAAGTGTTAGTAAAAACTAAAGCAGTTTCTAACTGGCGAGACAATTAAATATTTTTGACGCTGTCTTGTCTATAAACATTATACTCTCAAGAACAGACACCAAACATTCTTTACATCCTAAATTGGTGTTGTTTGGCACGACAAACATTTTCATGTCCTTACATATCTAGTAGAGATATTTGGAAAGCACACATGACTAGAGTATTGAACTCTTTGTGTGTGTGTTTGTGTGCGCTATTTTATGCAAAAGTTTCTCCTCATCCTTATAGTTGGTAAAGTGAAAGAATCGCAAAATAGTTTGCTGCTGTAAAAGCAAAAATAAAAAGAAAGGAAAAATGATTTTCATCTCGTCTCGTCCCCTCGTTTATATTCGGGCGAAAAATTCTTATTGGCGCCACGAATCTTTGAAGTGAAGGAAAAAAGGAAAGAATTTTATGGATGAAATCATCATTCGGTGAAAAAGAATGTCGAGAGATGTTACAAGGGAAAATATAATAACAGGAACTATAGCTGAGGTGAACGATTGATGAAAGTTAAAAGCTCGATAAAATGTCAGTGAACAATAATTTTATATGTTTTCTATTCTACAGCAAATCTCTTTTTTATCTAACTTTCAATGCAAACCTTTGTTTATATTCTTGTTCTTAAATTTCTAAAGGCAATGACTTGGAAAAGGAATAAATTATTTAATGGGTGAAAAAGTAAATAAAAGAGTATTATAATTCAAAAAGTTTTATTTACTTTGTTCAGATGGCTTTTTGATGAATGCATGCTTGGTTGCAAAACTGAACTTCATTATATGAACATCATTCATGTAAATAAAAGTTATTTATGTATTAGGTACATAGATTTGCAAATAGGAAAATGATTCATAGTCAGGTTTCTATTAAATTTCTGAGAAATGAAAGAAGAGTTTCTTGATTGTTGCCAAAAAATATTTATTAAGTTTATTATTACACATAAATTCTTGAGGAAAACTTTAACTTGGAAATTTTGAGTAATTGTGAACTCTCGTGGCTTGAAATTTAAAAGAAAGGAAAATTTTGATGAAACATTTAGCTGAACCACATTTAATCTCTATCATTGAACTGAAAAGAAAACTTTTATTTACTCATGATTAAAAAGAAACGAGCATTAATAATATTAATTTAATTTATAAATGTGTTTTGAAAATGCTTTTGAAAATATTCAACCAGCATGAAAATTTCAAAATGAGAGCTTTCAAGTAAAAACTGCATACATAATAATTTAACATTCGTTTCACTACTTTCTTAGACATTCCTTGTCGATTTGTGGTGAACATTTTTATAAAAAACAGCTCGGTGCTGAATATTTATGAAAACCAAATTCAGTTTTTCTTCATGCGCTTTAAAGTTTTCCCTATCAGAAATTCCTCTTTTTCGGATGTTCGAGAAAACAAAATAAATTGATCATAAAACTTCACGTTACGGTTTTATTCGATTTTCTCGATATGTCACACCACTCTCGACAACTTTTACATATTGGTGATGCGTATATGAAAATCACATTGAATTCGATTGTGAGAAATTCAACAACAATGAAATCACGAGAATAAAGGCAATGTTGTAAAATCTTAAAATTCACCCAAAGTATCAGTTACCGTCGAAAAGGAAAATATGTAGGTAACAAAACAATGTGAAACCATAAAACAGGAGAAAACGAAAGTATTTATGGCTAATGTCAGTGGTGTTGCAGCGTGAAGAGACAATCGATTCGAGGATAGATGCTCCCGAACTTTCCACCTGTAGCTTCATTCAAAAACATTCTAAACCACGTTTTGATCGTTGTTTGCAACTTTGACCTTCTTTCTTTTTACAACTTTCGCTTCATAGCATATTTCTTGGTTGATTTAACCCTTATGTCGACGTCACTGCACATCATCAGCTACTTGAAGAAAATAAATAAATTTCAGCATTTTATATTTCGTGCAGTGCAGAAGAGAAAAAGGAAATGAAAAATAAATAAGATGAATGAAAAAGAGAGAAAAAACCCTCATGATGTGTACACAAAGCCAAATAAAGTATCTCAAGCTCCCATTCCTGTGTCAGCGTAACATATTTTTGCAGGTATGCTCACGTCGTGCTTAGAGCAACATTATATCGTATTATGGGCACTTCTCTTCAAACATGTGTCTTGTACCATCTATTCGACATAATAAATTCGCTTCCAAGAGATTTTGATATTGATCCGAAGAAAGGTTTGCCTACGAAAGGTTTTATTCAGTTCAATCTATTGAATTCGACTTCTTTCCAATATTCAAGTGATTTATTTAAAAATATTTTATGTTCCAAAGAAGCAACAACAGCAAAAAAAAATCAAAGCAAAGAGTTTCAAACTGCTTACGAGTTTATTTTTTATGTGAAGTTTTCAAGGCATCTTGCTTTGTAAACATATATCAAAAGGAATACATAAAAATCCGAATACTCGAATTTGTAGAGATTAAGATGGAATTGAGGGAATTTCAAGCGGAAAAATTCAAGTCCTTAGTGAGTGTATGAAAATAGATTTCTTTAAGCTAATAAAAGGTTTTTAAAAAGCTGCATGGGGGTTAAGAAAAGTATTTGGATTAAAGGTTTAACTTGGTACTTAAATGCTGTTGATACGATAATGAAGAATTTTCTTCCCATTTTGAAGGTCAAAATAAATTTCATGATTTTTTCTTTGCCTTTAAAAAATTAAATTCTTTCTTTTATCTTCTTTGGATAATCCTAAAATGTACACAAATAAAATGTAATGACTTTTTTGTACATATTTCATACCGATAACATTTAATTTCTCCAACCAAATCACATGCTGTAGATTTTGTTCACAAAATGTCGATAATATAATTCGCCCTCCTAAAATTTACACATATCGATAATTAAATTTTCCCTCTAAACTTTTCCGTTGAACCTTCATTATCATTAAAGGCCCTCGACCTCTTTTCTGTTCATTTCGATCTGGTTGTACGATTTAAGAAGGGAAAAGTTTTATTTTCTTTTCAAACCGAAACGGGAATCTCACTTATTTACTTACCAAGCGTGAGATAAGAACGTGAAACACATTTTGATTATTTCTTTTCAGATTATTATTGTGACTCTTCCATAAACACAAAAAGATTGATATTTGACCCTTTTTCTCATTATTGTTACATAACTTGATTTTAATGCTGAATGTTTCCTCTTGCAAACAAATTTTTATGAAGAAATTTTTTTCATGTATGGCCAAGATTTACCTCATAATTTACTTCATGTATCTTTAACACTTGGTGGTTAACATGTGCGATGTTCCAAGGAATAATGAAAATAGCAAGCAGTAAAAATCCAGTTGATGATGAGTTTTAAGGGGTGAGAGAAACAAAGATTAAACATAAAACATAAAGCAGGTGTTAAAACCTCATGAGACGTGTTTGTTTCAATTCCTCCCGCAATCTTTTATACAATTTAATGTTTTTGTATTAAGTTTATAACTCTTGTTTATAAGGATTGAGAAAAAAATAAATCACGTTTCGTATCATACTTTGTAATGCGCTTTCTTTGTCATTTAAACGTGTTTAAGTAACACTTATTTAATAACTAGAAAGTAGATAGCATGCATAGTTATGGCATCCGTATTGATTGAGTGTTTCTTGATAACATCACATATTTATATATAAATACCAATTTATTTATGCAAAAAAAAGCCATTCAAGTTGAATAATGGAATAAATTATATTTTAATAATAGTCATGAACAGTGCAAATATTTTAAATCGATCACAACCGACATAACTACATCATGTTAATGTCAATAATATTTCCCCTTTAAAAAAATCTGTACGGAAGAAACTACATTTGTTCATTATCTATTCATAGAAAATATCTTCGAAGTATTAAAAAAATAATCCGAAATCGTCATGAATGTTTCATGCGTAAAAAGAAGGAAAGGAAAATTGAATGGAGATCTAAAACAATTATTTGATCATTCCATTCAATCTTATCTTTGAGTGCTTAAAACCTCCGAAAATTTCTCAACCGTAAAAGATATACAATAACACTTATGGTAAGGAGCAGTAAAAAAAACCTCATAGACCAGAAGTCCAATAAATTTTAATGATTTTCTCCAATTATCATCTTATATTCTTCTATTAGTTACATTAAGTTGCTCTTACCAATTTAGCTGTAGATACAACTCATTTTGTTTGCTAGCGGGAGTTAATTTTGTATACAAAGTTGTTTTCCTTCCCTCCATACATTTGACTTAGATCGTCTTCATCTCAAATAACAAATATTTCACTTCATTTCGCTAGTTAGACAATGTTTTCATTTAACACTGAACATTGTTACTTTTTCTTTGCTTATATAGATTAGTTAATAGTTTCTCATACTTTATTCTGAAATCATTTTCCGTCTTCTTCTTTTCTGTTCTTTTATTTTTACGTGAATCGTAGACTTGCTTCAATTTTTGTTCCATCTTCTTCTTTCCTATCACTTACTATGCTAAAACAAATAAAGCATTTTTGCTTAAAAACTTTTATTTCTACTCTTTAATGTACCAAATTTGAACTTCAGATTTAATTTTTTTTTGAGGCAACTTCACCATAAACATGCGGTTGATAATTGGAAAATGAATATTCAAAAGAGAGGAAATTACATAAATTTAAATCATCACTTTCATAAATATTGTTGTGTAAATATGCTGGTCAATTTCTCTTCTAGGGATGAAAATATTTATTAGATATATGAACAACATTCGTTTAATAAAACAATCACGTCTACATAAGTGTAACTGAATCAAAAAAAAAACTAATTTAATTTCCTGTGGGTTTTGTTGTCTATCATCTTCGTCTGATCGTGGGTAATGTAGTTGTGCTCTTGCTCATATCTTTTTTCCATTTTCACGCAAGAAAATGTATCCTGAAAATTTCCTTTGCAACAAACTTCAGACACAATTGGGATTTTTACAAGAGAAACTTTCAAATGAGAAGAATGTGTATACATTCACACGCTTAAGTGTGGTCTCTTGATGGGCTACAAATGGAGGTGTTAAAACGTATTGCAATGAGATTTCTGACATATGGAGATCACAAATAAATTCCCACTTGCAGACAAGTGGAAATTAAATGCTGAATGTGGAAAGGGAAATGGAGAAGTTACAAAAAGAACAATTCGATTATGTATGAAATTCAAAAGTGACGTCGATTTATCTTTGTGGAAAAAAACTTTTCAGATAATCTGTTTTGAGACGATTGTGAAATTTACAATGACAACAACAAAAAAAAAATGAAACCGATTACGACAAAATTTGAAGAGAATCCTTAAACTCATTGGGTTTTCTAAAAGATTAAAAAAAGGAAAAGTTTGAAATGAATTGCTATTGAGAAGAACAAGAGGAAAATGTAGATTTCCCCAGAGCTCGACCATCTTGATTCGGGATCATCTCGATTATAAAAGTACCAGTAAGGTTGAGATGTTGAGCAGGAGAAAAAAAACGGGCAGGGAAAAGTAAAATTTTAGTGAAATTCATGTCAAGCGAGTGGCTGATGTGCTTTCGTTTATGTTTACAACCTCTACGCACTTTAATCAAATGTAGATCTAAGTCATGATCTTGAAACACAACAAACACGAGTGAAAAGGTGAGGCACCGACTTAGAATCACTCTTATGTGACTTTTGTTGGTAAAGTGTAAAAATTTAGTTGGAGAAGCGCAAACATGTGGTTTTCTAGTGGAAAGAAGCTTCATAATAGAAAAGATTAAATATTAAACACCATTCTTGAAACGTTGCTGTGAAAATGGCTGCTCATTTCTTTTACACGGCAATAAATGTCAATAATACTCAGTAAGTTTGCTTATAAAAAGAGACTTTGTCAGGAAGAAGGAAGGAAACATTAATCAGCATTCAAATTTATTTACCCAAGGTATGCTTGCGAAATTTACTTTTATTTCGTTTGCATTTTATTTCAATGTTTTCACTCTTCCTTTTTTAAATTACGGTAACAATTGAAGAAAATTGTGTCAAATTACTTTACACAGCTTCAACTTAAATCAAGATGGGAGTTTGAAGAAGTAAATACAAAAAATATTTGCTGTTGAATGGACGATTAATGTTTTTCATGACGGACAATGGATAAAGGGAATAATTTTCCATTCATTTTATTAAATCATGAATGAAACTTTGTATTCGTTACTCAGCATCAACCAGTGAACCATAAAAACCCTTTTAAGATTCATGCCGCTATGAAATGAAAAAAAGAAGCAAACAACAGCAATCAGTTTATTTTTTTCTATTTAGATAAGTAAATAATCCCTTAGATCATTTGTTTCATGCTATTCGCTAGATTTTGCATTAAAGTTGAATGATTTTTTTTATTTGGTTCGAACGATCTTTTTTTTTTCTGGCGATTGAGTAAAACAATACCTCGAGAGAGCACTCTTCGATATTTCATGCAGAAGGGCAAAAAGGTAAATAATTTTTATGCTTGGGTCGAAATTGCATTTTTTTTTGGCTGCTGAATATTAAAATGTTTCTGTTTTTGCTCCGCTTTTTATTTGAAGGTGGAAAATTTTACGAGAATTATCATTAACAACTTGGAAATCATTGGGAGTATTGAGGAGAGAATGAAAAACATTAAATGAATATTAAAATGTATGTAAAAAAGCTTTATCTTTCATATTTTTTCGTAATAAATAACGTTAATTGATAATTTTGTACTCTTGGTGTATGTTCAGGGTAAGGCAGCATCACAAAAAAGCAAATTCTGACGTCAAATTGAAGATGTAATGAAAACGAAACTTCCTTCATTATTTCGAAATCTACATGAATCATCAACATACATTATGCTTCATTATAAGATAAGAATCTTTTGGTTACTGGTATCAAGGAAAGATTATGTAAAGTATTTTGGTTTCTTCAAGGTTCTCCTTTGTTAGTAAAGTTAGAATTCCTTACCGTGTATCTGAATCTTTTATTCGGAAAATTACGGCTATTATAAATCAGAATAAAATCTGTCATCACAAAAAAGTAAAAAGAGTTATGTTGTGTATTTTGAAAGCTTCTCATTCTCAACAATAAAAGCTTCATGTCCTTGCCCTCAAATCAATTCTGTTTATGAATATTAACAGGCTTAAGTACTCTGTGTGGAAATATTTTTACCGACGAATGACATTTCTGAGCTTTCAAGTTATTATCCTTGAGTAAGGTAAACTTACATGAGGTATTCCTTCTATTTTTATTGGAGGGATTTTAATACAAAATTCATTTCTTTGTTGGCAAAGAAGCTTTGGAGAGAAGAAGCTTTCCTTATGATTTTGAAAAGGTTTCAAAATACTTTGTTGAGCTCTATATATGTATAATAAGCCCTTTGCCTTTCAAAGGTACTCTGGAGCAGAATTCGTTAAGGCACTTTTTGCAAGCAGGTGCCTGCGGGAAATTTCATGTCAAAAAAGAAAAAATATCTTGTTTAAATTTCTTTTAGCAAAACTTGAATCAGCATTTGGTTTTTTTTTTCAGCAACAACAACGATTTACCATTTTCCAGCACCACATTCATCACATCGAAAGCAATTCAATATGCTTTATTAAATACATTTCCTATACTTGTCCTGATGAGCTCAATTTATTTGATCGATGCGGTGATTGATTTGATGGAAAATTACTGTGAGTGTAATAAAAAGGGAGCAAACGAGCGAGAAAATGCTCTGCTTTCACTTTCAGACGGAACAGGTAATTTTTTATCAATTTTTCGTCAATGAGCAGGAAATTTTTCATGATTGGTAATTCGTGTGGGAAAGTAGTGTTCATCTCTGAGTGGGAGGAATAAAAAGTTTTTAGTAGGTCGAAGAAGAAGTCAATAGAATGTCAAACGCTCGTGGCCATTAGTTTGTCCTATCATCAATAATTAAATTAACTTTCTAATATGACTTCAAATATTTGAGTTCAATTTTACAGATAAAGTTTTTGTGGTTTAGAAAATTTAAGGAAAATTTTAAGATAGTTCGTGAATGTCCTGGACATGTATTAGGAAGCTTTTCAACTGATTGAACACATTTAATATTAATAGAAATTCTATTGGGGCAGAAAAGTTTGAAGAAGTCGTTTGCACATCAAGTGAATGTTCGATTGGAAAACAATGATTTGTTTAATTTTTGAAAGCTTTTGTCACAAAACTATTTCATTGTTCTGGCTTTTCAAATTATGTCCATAAAAAAATGATTTATTAATAAAATCTTCCATCTCTAGGAAAAAGGAATTGATTTGTTGATTCAAGACTTCAAATTACAATTGTCAAGCTTGATGCGTACTAACTACTCATCATTATTATCGTTGTTTGATTCTTGAAAACCTTAACCTAATCTGAACAGTGATTTATTTCCACAGACAATTTAGTGTCGTGTTCCGACCTATAAACAAAAATTTCTTATTAAATATTATACTTAGAATGTTTATCAATATCGATTCGACAACAAAGTATTTCGTTGAAGTTACTGTTTGTTAAGTTTTGAAGCTAATATTTATCGACATCACTAAATATTTAAATCAAAAATATTTGCTCGATGCTGACTATGAACTGTTTGTGAGTATTTTGTTCGTTCATTTAGGGATGATCGTGAAGAGATCGGGAAGGGGACTGGTAGCAATGTTGATTTATAGCTTTATGTTCCGAGGGTGTGAGTCTCAATCGGTAAATAACCTTATAAGTTCTGGTCACTTTTCAAAGCCGCAGGAGTTTATATTCCTGAAATTCAATATTTATGATCATGAGCTTATCAATCAAAAATATTCTGTGTTTGTCAACACTTCAAAGTGCTGGATCGATATGACTAGTGAGTATGATAGATGTCTTTGCTCGAAAATGATATGATATGGTTGAATGAATAGGATTTGTTTTTTAAAATTATTAATATTTATTTTAATAAAAGAAAACCACAGCATTATAACAAGACGCATTCTGAAATCTAATGTGAAAAATCACCAACTCTTTATATCAACAATTCATCACTTAAATCTTTGTCGTTTAGAAATCCTACAAGATTTTCCTTTTTCAGTCTCAAAGAAATTTTAAATGATAATCCTAATGATAAATGTCTATTAAACCAATTTCAGAAATCTTTTGCGTCGCTATGGGATTTATTTTGAAATGACGTAATATGAAGGAAAATCTTTCTTTAAATGAGTTTTGATTCAGTGAAGATTTTTGACGTCAACAATTGTGAAGGGAATACAGAGAAGAAAAGGAATCTATAATAGCTCAGAAATCAGCATGACGAAACTCTTGAGAAACTCATATTCAAAAAAAAAGTGAAAAATTTTTGTTACTTAACAAAATATAAAGAGAAATTTACCATTTTTCGTCGGCATCTCTGAGACAAGAAGATTCAAAAAGATTACATGTATTCATTGCTCCCCAAGATAAACTTTAAATGAAAAAAATCTCTAACTTAAAATTTGCCTCCACTTTCTGACAATGCTTCTTGCTTTTCGCATGATTTATTAGCATCGCCACAAAATACAATAAAAATTTTCTTTTTTTTGACAAAAATATTTCCATAAATTTTCTTCTATTTTTTTTTATTCAGATAAGTTCACGGTGATATTTTCTCCTTGCGACATTTGCAAGCTGATGTTTATCATAATTCATATCATTTTGATACTTTTGTGTTGCTTACAAGATTCAAGACTTCAATATTCTTTGTAACATAAATAAAACTTAATAAGTTCAGATAGGATAATTGAGGTTGTGATTTGAAAGCCTCTTAAATATTTCCTTTAACTTTTAAGCCTCTCAATGAAAGTAAATCTTTAGTTTTATTTTAAGTAGATACAAATTTTAACATCTTTTCAATCAACTATGAAAATCATATTTATCACCAAAGCAATTCATCCAACTGACACCTAGTGACAAGTCATATTCGATTTTAGACATCTTATAAATTGTTTGTCGTGGGCTGAAAAGTACCTCAAAGAATAAAATGCTATAAATATAAAGAAATTTTTTAATACATCCATCACCTATCGAACATCTATTTTTGATTGTCAGTCAGAGCATATGTCAAAATTAAATTATATCTCTGGTTGTTACTGAGAATTTATTGCTCGTTAGAAGCTTTTGGGTTTCAATCGTCTTGTCTTCTTTATCCGTCAAAAGCATGTCTCCTAGTGAAGGGAATGGATTCTAAATTTCCTTTTGAAATGATTCAAATTCAACAATTTTCCAATTTAAAAGTTATGATATCAAACGATTACGAACGCCTAAGCATATCTTTTCAATTTAATGAATTACCTGACTTGGAAGTCTTATTAATTTCATGTTTCTTATACTGTAGAACAACAAGAAATTAATTAATTAAGCTGTATTATGCTGTTGAAAAGTATTTTTTCGCGAAGCAAGCATCAAATAAGCTCACACAACATGCTTTATATTTTGATATTAAAAGACTCATCACTTGTCTGAAACAATAAACCCCTTTTTATTTTGGTTTCTCCTTGTTGAATATATGTTTGGGGAGATAAAAGAATAAAAAACAGAGCTGAAGCTTAAGCCTTTAGCTTTTTGGAATTATTGTTATTATTTTTTTTGTGTTGATGTTGTTTGAAGAACGATGCGACGATGTTTTTAGAAACAATTTCAAGAGACATAGAAATGAGAGAGAAGCAATGACTGAGAAAGAATGAGGAAGAAAATCTATATATGAATTAAACTAAAGAAAATTACATTTTCATCCTCTTAAGCTTTCTTGAGCTATTTGAAATTTGATATTTTTTTTCGTTCTTTCATTCTGAATGTGAAATTAATTCCATTCCATCTATTGAAAGCTTTTATAATTAATGGATCTCTAATTTTAATTCAACAGACATCAAATTATTATTTTTATGCGCCATTTAAAATCAAAATCATTATAAATAAATAGAATTTACATTTGCCTACATTCAACTCGTACTTATGATATTTATATTTACATGATATTTCAATAAGCATTAATTTCAATAGGAAGTGAGTTTACATTCTGTTTTCCATAGTGACATTTCAATTTTCACGAGATTCATAGCTATGATTATTCAATGCTTTGTATGTAAGATGTCACTTTTGATTATTTCCTAAATTCTAAGCGATTTTACCAATTAGTTGCTTATTCATCAAACTTCTATTGACATTTGAAACGACAAATTTATTTATAAATGAATTGCTTATGCTAACTGATTGTCAGCAATTGAAATAAGAAATCAATTGCAGTGACGCACTTTTGAGACTTTGAGAATAGAAAATCAGTTGAAACAATTTCATTCATCGCAAATTGATAATTTAATTTAATTTCCGACATCATCCGAAAGGAATCTTTAATTTAATGTTTATGGAAAAAGTTAAACATTTCAAGAAGACATCCAAAGTGTTGAGGATATTACCGGAGCTTAATAATATAAAAAAATATTTGAACATGTCACTTTCCTCCAATTAACAACACTTCGATAAATAATCGAAAATTTTCACAGCTCAACGCGAATGAGGTAATTGAATTTTTAATATTAAAGGTTCGGATAGTCAACAAGCAATGAAATGAGATGAAGAAACGGCTCAAACTTTGTTTGCCTACGACAAAGTTTATCAACGTTCTTTCTTTTCAACTTCATCAGTCTTCTTCTTTTTTTCTCTCTTTTATTTATTCCCTATCATCGCGATGCATCGTTCTGGATAAATTTTCAATCCATGCAGAATGAAGAAATTGAATTAAATTCCGGCCGCTTGGAAAAGTAAATCGATGAGGGAGAATCAGAGAGATTTTGATGCTGAAGATAAGAAGAAAATATGATAATTCAAAATACCTCGAAAGTCGGAATTTATGTGAGCACCAAACAGCCGCACGCTTCCACAATAATAATATTTAACATATTAATAAGATTTTTTCACTTTCAATTATGCAAATCACATTAATGCAGAGTAATTCGACTGAAAATATCATTATCAAGCAAACAACTGAAAATGGAAATTATTTCCATACGATGATACTCACGACAATCATGTTTTCTCCTTCTCCGTCGGGTGCATTTATTTGAAGTATTTTAAAAATCATTTAAATAAGTTAAGAAGAATTGAATTTTTCAAAAAATTATCTCATTTTTTCGATTATTGATTCAACTTTTAGCTTAGGAATCTGCAGAACTTTGCCAGCGGAGTTTTACTTATAATTTTTGGAATGAAAGTGTTAGGAATTATTAATTAAGCCAAAATTTTCATTGCTTAAATATTGAAGACTAAGTCGATGCAGATTGTACATTAAAGCACAACTCGTTTAAAAAGTTTACTTTTTTATATTCTTTTGTCATGCTTTAATGCCTGAAAATTCTCGGAAAAGTCAACATTGAAAATTTTTTAAAACTCAACAATATTTACATCGCTTTTTTGAAAACTTCAATTAACTTTTAATTAACTTTATATTTTATTCGCTTTTTTTAAATGCAGTTTCATGAGAATACAAGTTAATTCTTTTCGCCTTTTTAATGTTGTTGCTTTTATTAATGAAAATGTTTACAGACAACATCAAAGTTTATACATATTTGAAAAGCTCTCTTCATAAATAAATCGTCATTGAGGAATAATTCCTTAAAAAGTAAGATATTAGGAAATATGTAAATATTTTTAATGACTTTTTTATGATGTTTCATATCATATTTCTGTTTTTTCTTCAGTCGAATGCTGAGTCTACCAATTTTGAGGTTCGGCACCTGAAATTTAAAGATATTCATTTATTAATTCTTAAAGTCGATTTCTTTATTATTTCAAATTCACCTTCATGAACTCCCATGAAATTTAAAGTCCAACCTGTTCCAGCAAAGTTTAGTGTCTGTACGTGATGAACTAAAAGTTTGCTTTTTTCGCTCACATAAACAGCTGGGTTATCTCCACCGCAATATTGCTTTATTGACGTCATTTCTCCAATGCCATACTCTTCCAAGATTTCTACGTAATCACTTTCACACATCAATTTTGATCCCATATCAAACACTATGAAAGGTAAAATAATTCTATAGAGAGGGAAGCAGATAAGATGTTTACAAATATTTTCTCACCAGAAAATCTTATGGCAACTTTGAGATTTTGTGGAACAGTGATTGACCATGTACAATCATAAACGGTTCGATTATTGCTTGGATACAAAGGACTTGTGAAAACACCACCGTAATTATAAACTTCCCCACCACATCCACGACCTTTATCGGTTGCTAAATACATCATGTCATAATTTCCATAGTAATTTGAATTCTCATCCTTTTGAATATGATATACAAATGAAAGTTGATTTGTTCTTGAAAATATTGGATCTGGTACTGAATATCCACAAAAAGTTTTTAATAAAACACCATTTTCAAAATCACCGTCATAGATCTTCAGGAACGACTTTGTACAATCAATTTCAGCTAAATAAAAACGATTAAAATACAAAGAAATTGTGTAATTTTGAGGTACTTTGATGAAGTTTTTACAACTCTCGATACGTTCAGTTGCAACCATTCGTCCTTGCAATGCTGTATAATTTTTGTGGCAATTTTTAATAGTTTTAATCGTGAAATTAAAGCCACTGTACTCTTTCTCTGAGTTCGTTATAAAATAAATATGAATTCTTCTACTTTGTGATATATATTCTTGAGGTAAAGAAGATCCACAATACAGGTGGGCTGCTGTCGGGGCAGTGGTTCCTGTATAGAAAGAGGGGTTAAAAGATTTATAGTTTTTGCCATGGAAGATTGTCGAATCGCCAAGTCCCTCTGAAATTGCATTAGTGATGTCGCTGTCTTCAATCTTTAAGGTATCATTCGCACACATTGGAGAGTCTTCAATGTCAAACTTTTCAAATATGATTTCGAATCTATATCCATAAGGGGCTTCTGCCACCCACATACAACGCAAGTTTGGTGGATATTTATTAGTGCCCGGCACAACCGGTGAAGTCACGTACATATCATCAGTTCCATTGCCAGTAAAATTGTTGTAAGGACTTGAACCGCATGGTGACATTATCATTGTTAGGGTAAGCTTAAATCCCGTGCTAGGACGAGATGAATCGGTTACAAATCGAATGTAAATTGATGATTTTGTTGATACTATATCATGATGTGGCAAATCAGATCCACAATATCTGCCGATAACATCACCAAACGGTCCTTTTCCATCAATAATTTCAATATAATCACAACTACAATTGTAAAGACTTCGTTCCGGTGCACATTCCGATAAGTGAAGACTGTTGAATTCAACATTTATCGAGCTCAAAGGATCGCCAGATATTTCATAAATGCACTCCATAACATCTGAATAGATTTGATTGTCTTTATCAAGAACATATGATGGATTTTCTAAACTCAACACTATTTTTTGATCGCATTTTGGAACGAACATGACCGCTGCTGAGAATCCTAAATATGTTGACATTTGTTGGCTTGTCAATCGAATTATTGCAAAATTATTATTGATAGAAATTGGTTGGATTGTGTATGATAAATTTCCACAAAGTTTTGCTAATCTAAGCTTTTCATCAATTAAACTACCATTGAAAATTTCAACATAATCATGTGAACAATAATCAGAATACTCAGCAAGAAACTGTTCAAACTTTATGACAATCTTTTTACCAGCTGGTGCTGTGATATTCCAATCACAATGCATGTTACCCGGATAATAGCCTTCAACTATAATTTCTTTGAAGTCAGGAGATTTTATCATTGACGTGTTAGTGACGATTCCACCACAATCATCGATTTTATACTCTAAGCTAAAACCTTTACGATTAATCCATCGATCAGTTCTTAAAATCACCATAGAAACATCACGATGTCTGAACTTTCCTGGATTAACAATTCCGCAATATGTGCCAACTTTTTCAGGAACCGGTGTGCCGTAGATGTAGTCGGGATACTTATAAATCGTTACATTGTCATATAAACATTTAGTTCCAGTCGTTTCAACATCAAATTCAAGGAAGTTTAGATTAATGAATTTCTTTGGGACCGTGCTGACAAAAGTGTAATTACACGTCAATAATGAACCATAGAGTCCTGGAAAACCTGGACTTGATAGTATTTTAGTCTTAGAATCAACTTCAATAATACCACCGCAATTCTCATTCCAAATTGCACTAAATCCATCACCTTGAGTTGAACTATCAGAACGGAAAATTACTCTCATCTTATTGGATGTGGAATTGAAGGGCTGAGGCAATTCACGACCACATTTTCTGCCAAGAACTTGCCAATCATTGTTCACAAAATCATGTATTTCAACATAATCTTTTGTACAGTTTGGTGAGTCTTCAATGAAAAATCTGTCTTGGAATGTTAGACCGATGTGATATCCCTCAGAAGTTTGAATCTCCCAAATGCATTCTGTGTTTGGAAGATACATTTTGTCAAGCGGTGGTGTCTTAAATTCATAATTCTTCTTTAATAATACACCACCACAACCTTGTGAGATTGACATAAGTTCTATTTCAAACACCGAATCTTTACTGCTGTCAATGAAATTCTGAGTGTGATAAACAATAAAAACTTTGTTGGCTTGAGACACGATCGGATTTTTTGAATATTCCGTACCACAGAATTTTCCAAGTGATGGACTTGAAGTGCTTGGTCCATTATGAATTTCTATATATTCCTGATCACATGAAAGTTTCATATTAAGCTTGGTGAATTTCATTGAAATGCTGAGACCTTCCTGATATTTAACAAACCATGCGCAATCAAAAACTTTTTCTGTAGAAGCGTCTGATGGAACATTTCTGATTGAGTTAATTCCATCATCATTAATTATCCCTCCACATTTATGAGTTTTATATTTCATTGTAAAATCTATGTCACCATTGCTACTAGATTTGCTGATTTCAATATCGACATCTGGGAATGGTGACAGAACAGTTTCTTCAGTTGTTGCATTTCCACATAATCTCGCCAAATACTTTTCTTCATCATTGACGCCTGAACGACGCATAACATTAATCACTGTATTAACATATCTACAGCCGTAAGTCTTCCCTCTTCGGGAATCAATTTTAATATCTTTGAAATAATAAGCTAAAGTTCCTTTGTTGAGAGAATTACTATAAATTGGTGTGGGATCACGACTGTATAAGCAATTATATGAAGTCAGATTTAATGGTGCTAATGAGAAAATTTCACCTTCCGATTGATTCAAATCACCTTCACAAATAGTTTTTTCATCACTTGAAAACTCCAATTTAAATCCACGATTTCCTGATGGTGTACGAACTCGATATGAGATCATCAACCGATTATCTGAAGACAGAATAGGTCCACTTAGTGTCGAATTAACATTAACGGGACTGAAGTATTTGAAGTCTTTGTAAATTGATAATCGTTGCGTGTACAAAGTAGTGAGGAAATCAACGTCAAGAATGTCAACTTTAACTCGACGACCTTTAGGAACCGTAATTCTCCATTCACAATAAATTCTTGTTAGATATTTCGTTGGATATCCAGGTGACGTAATGACGCCATTTTCACCACTGATATCTCCGCCACAAGCACTATTCGTTGAGTTGAAAAACAATTTAAAGCCTTTATAAAGATTGCGTGTCTTCTTGAAAGTTTTGAATTTGATCATAATATAAAATGAAGTGCTGAGAATTGATTGATGCGTATCACCACAATAAGTGCCTTCTTCAAACAAGTTTTCAGTTTGACTTCCATTAAAATTTGGAATGATCGAATAAATTGTTATGTGATCTTGAGTACGATCGCATTCTGTTCTATTTGGCAATGGAAGATCCATGTCCAAAATTGTAATATTATAAATGTTTCTCGAAGCAAACATAAAACGATATTCACATTGAGCGTTGCTTGGATAAGCTCCAAGTCCTGGATATTTTGGCGAAGTCAAGTATCCCATTTTTTGTCTTTTCGATCCACCACATGTTCCTATCGAGACATTTGCTTTGAATCCGTTTTTAGGCTCAATAACATCGGTGAAGAACTTGACGAATAAAACATTCGATTTTGAATATTGCGTAGTTGGCATTTCGCTGCAAAATGTTCCAATCCAACGTGATGTAACTGTGGATCCATCTCGTAACTCGACATATTCTTTTGTGCAATCTCTCGTGTAGGTCAAATCAAATCTTTGCACAAAGTCAAGTTTTACTGTTTCACCAATTGGTGCAAAAACCGTCCAAGTACATTCGATGTGCGGCGGAGGGATGTTTGGATAATTTGGTGATGAAATAATTGCTGAACTTTTAGTTGCAGTAAGCCGAATCTCACCTCCGCACTTATGTTGAATCTCATAATAACGCAATATGAATCTATTTTTGTACATCGTATTTTTGAACTTAACATAAGCTCGATTGCTACTTGTCGCTGGAATTTCTGGTCTTCCTTCTCCACAGAATGTTCCATCTCCAAGAAGAGGTGAAGCAAAATCAATTCCATTATGTATCGAAACATAACTTTCGCAACCTTCTGTCTTATTCGTAATATTTAATAGGAGAAACTCAAATTGGATTGTTTTCCCTCGTCCTACTGTGATGTTCCATGCACAATCATAATAGTCACTCATATAATTTATTGTGTTGTTCATATCGATGAGACCTTCAGAGTTGGTCATCCTTCCACCACATTTAAGTCCTGCCAGAGCATAAAAACCTGTCTTGTTTAACCCGTAATCACTTTTGAAAGTAATATTTAAGTTTGGAGTTCCTTCGAACCATTTTCTATTTCGAGTGTCAACATCGCATATTTTTGCAATTTCCTTCCATGTTCGATCATCTCTATCAACAGCAATGGATACGTAATCAGAGATGCAGTCCGTCGAATCTTCCAAATTGACGTCTTTGAACACAATATAAGGATGAAACGATTGATCTAAAGACATGATCGTCCAATGACATATCAAACCAGAAGCATATCCATAAGGATAACCAGGTGATGAAATGTTTAACTTTTCAGAAATATTTCTTAATGCTATCACATGATCGCCACACTCGCTGTCTTCTTCTTCAAGAGATGTTGTAAGCATTTCCACTTCCTGCCATGCTATTTGAAACTTTGACTTCGACACATAACTGTTTACGAATTTGATGAAAACAGTATTCGTTTCACTTGTAATTGATTCTGCATTTTGTGAGCAAAATGCATCTTTCAGGTAAGGTGCTGTATCGTCATATCCATTGTAAATGATTAAGTAAGAATTGCAATCACTTTCATCTTCTTCTTCCATGTAAAAAATTGGAAATTCCAATCGAATTGCAAAACCTGAAGAAACTGTTATTCGGTAACTAAATTCATGATATGCTGACACAAATTTGGGATAAAATGGTGATTCAATTACTCCTGACTGTCCACTTAAATCAGAATTTTTTATGTAAAAGAATTCAGCGAGAAAACCTTTGCTTGTTGACGATTGACCTGTTTGATATTTGATCCAATAATTTTGAGAATCTCCGAGGTTTGCCGGAATTTCATCGCCACAATAAACTCCAACTAATGGACCACCTCCATCAACCTTTCTTATTTCCAAGTAGTTTTCATTACAGTTGGGAGATCTGAGAAATATAATTAACAAAACTCGAAGTAAAATTTTAAGTAATTAAGAAAACGTCTGCAATTCTTTCACAAATCGAAACTAAAATGCGGTCAAATTAAACTTTAATAAAATTAACAAAAACACTTCATTTGCAAACGTTTTTTCATTTCAACTTCAATTACGATGCAATGTTGATGTCCTTTATTGTCAATGATAATTTGTTTCCTTGACTTGCCAAAATCCACCAGATGCAGTAATTACCCAAAGGTGAAGAGTCAGGATAATTTGGTGAAGAAAATTCACCAGACATACTTGTTGTGTATGTACCACCACATGCTATGTTATATTAGAAATGATTTTTATAGTTTAATTCTTAATCTAAAACCAAAAATTTCTTACCATTATCGAGGACTGTATAATGAATATCAAATTCCATAAAAGAATTCACCGTGCTTGAATTTAATTTAATAGTTAATGCATTGCCATAACTGAAGATTGCTGGTGGGACTTTTGGACCACAGAAGAATGTCTTAAGATTGCCTTGATCTGATTCACCCTCAAAAACTTCAACCTTTGACTGACAGTTATCCGCAACTTCAAAATCAAAAACTTTTAGGTAAGTAAACGTTAGCACAACTTTTTTTGAAAGATCTTCTGATACAATGGTCCATAAACAATCGTTGTTCTCATTATTCCTTCGATAGATGAATTCACCAGTATCGTTAGTAACTATTCGACCACCACAACTGTTTGTGAAGTTTCCTTTGAATCCTTTCGCTGTGATTTCATCATCAGAAACAAGTCTCACATTTAATTCGTTTCGTTTCGATCTGAAACTTGTTTGATTAGGCATTTGATTGCCACATCCTTTCCATAAAGTGCTGTTAAAAATTGGATCATAAATTTCAACATAATCTTTTGTACAATTAGTACTCGATTCTAAATCAAAGTCAGTAAATTGGAATAAAATTGAATGCGATGGATCGGTTTTTATATTCCACTCACAAATCTGATTATTCTCGTAATTTTCAGTGGGATATTTTGGAGTTGCAATTGTTCCACTTGTACCAACAAAAGATCCACCACATTTCGCGATCACAGTTTTATATGATAAATCGAAGCCTTTGGAATTATGCGATTCATCTGAGACAAATGTGATGTACATTTTATGACCATCTGATGTTATTTTTGTTGGTTGATGTTGACTCTTGCACAATTTCATAATTGTATGATTAAAAGTTGGTTCATTTGAAACCTTGAGATAATCAAATTCACATGCATCCGATTGTTCCATATCAATGTCGTTGACTGTCAACTCAATATTATGTCCATAATCAGCAGTTATTTCCCACAGACAAACCATCTCATGGCTATATTTCTTCGGATAATTTGGAGACAAAATAGCTCCTTCTGGATGATAAAGCTTTCCACCACAACCTTCATTAGTCCATTCCATTCTAAATCCTGTTCCAGTAGCAGATGCGTCAGTATGAAAACTGTTTATAAAAATAAAATTTAATAAGATTTATTTTAAAATCTTTTTCGATTCTCAAACTTAGAAGACATTCGAATTCATCTTAAAATGACGAATGAAACATTTACTTACATGATAACAACAGCATCGGTTGTAGTTGTACGACTTTCTGGAGCTTTGTTACAATACTTCAATTTTTGACTTTTCTCGCTCTTCGTTTCATAATCAAGTTCAAATATTTCCAAATAATCATACGCACAAACATGTTCATTTGTGTCATTGAGATATTGATTGTCATTTTCAAGATAAAAATGAGAAAATTGTAAGTTTATTTTGTTTCCTTTTGAAACAACGATCGTCCATGCACAGTCAATGTTACTTGGATAATCATTTGGAAAGTGAGGTGATTCCAGGATACCCGAGTCCATTTGAATCGTTCGATTGCACAGAGCAGAATATTTTAAGAAGAATCCTCGTCCACTATGCGAATCGTCTGAGCTCATTCTAATCAATGCATGATTTGATGACATTTGCAAGTGCATTGGATGATTTTCACTTGAGCAGAATTTCCCTGCACTTTTTGTACTCGCATCTGCACCATCAAATATTTCAACATAATCATATTTACAGTCACTTTCAGTTTCCAAGTCGAGATCAGTGAAAATAATTTCAATCATTGATCCTTCATTAACAGATATTCGCCATTCACATTGCGCGTTGTGTGCATAAGATTTCGGATAACCTGGACTTGAAATTGAACCTTTGGTCGATGATATTTGTCCACCACATCCACCTGATGTTCCATCCCATTCAATTTCAAATCCTTTACCACTCCGTGATGAATCAGAATAGAATTTCAAATATAATTCATGACCAAATGATCTGATTGGTGCTGGAACTTCTGATCCACAAAATTTTCCAATTAAAGGTGCAAAACTGTTATCAAAAGATAAAAATAAAATCATAAATATTGTTAAAAAATGTGTGAGTGTCACTTACACATTAGCGCCGTTTCTTATTTCCAGTCCATCAAAACGACATGTTGCGTGAGATTCGATATCCAAATAGTTGAATATCAATTCAATTTGTTGTCCATTGGGAACGATAATTGTCCATTCACATTCCTTATTTGACAAATATTCCGGTTTTCCCGGACTATTGATAACACCTTGCGATGAGAAATAATTGGCGCCACACAATTTATTACTTTCAATAAACGACAAACTTATCGTGAAGCCATCTTTAGCAGTTGACGAATCAGTATGAAAATAAATTGTTGCGACATTGCTTGTGGTTGTGATAACTTTTGGCACGTTACTTCCACAGAATGGTCCCATTTGATCTACTCTATCTGAACCATTATTATAAATTGTGACGAAATCATATTTACACATTGAGTCTTGTTCCAAATCAAAGTTCAAAAAATTCATTTGAATAACATGACCCAATGGGGCATGCACAAGCCAACGACAATCTGCATTGGATTTATAAACTCCATCGTCGTCAGCATCCATTGGTGATTTGATGATTTCACTTGAATTTTTTATGATTCCACCACACTCAACATCCATAAACGAATATTGGGCTGCAAAGCCACGGCCATTTATTGAAGAGTCAGATGAGAAATGGATATGCATGTGATTGAAGGTAGATGTGAAAGAACCTGGCTTTATTTGACCACAGAAACGTCCTAAACTTGTTGCGTTGTCTGCTTTAAATCCGTCATAAATTTCAAGATTATCAAACTCACATACCGAATGTTGCTCGATATCTAAGTCGAGAATGTTTAGCAAAATTATTTTCCCCTGTGGAGCTACGAGATCATATTCGCAGTTTCTTTCACCAGCATATGGCATTGGATAATTAGGACTGGAAATGTTACCACTATCGGAAGTAAAAACACCTCCACAAACCAACTGATATTCAAATGCAAAACCTTCGTCATTTGATGACCAATCAGATGTGAATTTCACCGTCAATACATTTGTTTGTGATGTAATTAGAGGTGGCATTGTTTTGCCACAATAACGTCCAATTAACTTTTCTTCATCGTATACACTTCCCTCAAAAATCTAATAGCAAAATTTAAGTGAAGTGCAACAGATTCAAAGTTGAAAATTTTCTCAATCTTACCTCAACTTTATCGAATTTACATGATGTGCTGTCTTCAAGAGAAAACTTTTTAAATTCAACACGAACACGAGAATCAATAGGAACTTGAATAACATAATCACAGACAACATTGTGCTTATACATGCCATCGGCAATAGATGTTGGAGACATGACGTCGCCTTTCGGACTTGTGTATGTTCCACCACAGCCTGGCAAACCTGCGACAACAGAGAAAGCAATTTGAAAGCCAGCATCGTTGGAATCACCATCAGAATGAAAACGAATTGTTGCCGTATTGCTTGGCGTGAGAATTGGTGCTGGGTTTGTTGTGTTGCAAAACTTCCCCAAGCTTGGTGTTTCAGATCCCAAGCCGCTGTGAATTTCAACAAAGTCATAACCACAGTTTTCATGAGCTTCAATCATCATCGTGTAGAATAAAAATTGGATGCGCTTTCCAGGTGGTGCTGTTAAAAACCATTCGCAGTCACGGTTTATTGGATAATTCCCTGGTGCTCCAGGGCTAGAAATTGTTCCATGTGTTGATATGTTCAACTCGCCCCCACACTCTGTGCAAATAAGATGTAAAAATATTTAATCAAAACTCTAAGAAATAATTCATCCTTGCATTTACCAGGATCAATTGATGTCCATGATAATTCAAACCCTTCATGTGCTGTACTATTATCAGATCGGAACCAAAGATAAAGTTGATTGTGTGTTGAAATGATGTTTCCGCCTTTTGGCAATTGATTTCCACAAAATCTCCCAACCATATAAGATGAAGATGAACGACCATCATGAATTTGCAACCAATCGAATCGACAATCTGCTGATGGTTCAATATTAAATGTTTTGAATGTAACATTTAAGACTTTTGTGTGATTTGTCTTGATAAGCCAAGCACATCTTGAATTGTGATTATAAAAAGTACTTTCTTCTTCTGGATAGCGAAGTGTTCCGTTTTCTTCATTTCTCACACCCCCACATCTTCTTAATTGATTTTGACATCTGTTTCCGACGAAGCCTTTCGGGCAAGCACATAAAAATCGTCTTCCAAATCTCGATGTGCAATTGCCACCGTTCATGCATGGACTTGAGTCACAAGCATCGTAAGTACGATCACAAAGTGGTTGACTTGTCCCTGGAGGGCATTTGCAGCGAACTGTTGTTCCATTATTCTCGCATGTTCCTCCATTCTTACATCTTAGAACTGAACAAGGATCTATTGTAGTCAAAGTACATCCATTGGGTCCAAAACCATTTCCAATATACCCAAGTTTGCATATGCACATGGGTGGGCTGTTTGGATATTGAATACACTGGGCGTTAACATTACAGATACTGTTATCGGAGCATTGCTGGTTAGGGCGTAAAGCAGTTGGTATGCACGAAATTCCATCGCCATCATACCCAAATGGGCAACTACCACAACGATATGAGCCCTATGAGAAGAATGAAATTTTTTGGACATAAGAAAATCAAAGAAATCATTTTTACCCTTGAATTGATGCATTCAACTTTAGGTGAAACACTGCAGCCTCCGTTGTTTAGCTCACATTCGTTAATGTCTGTACAAGCAAAACCATTTCCAGTGAAACCTGCCGGACAAGGTCCACACACAAACGAACCAGGTGTGTTAATACAAACAACCAAGGGATCAACAGAACAATGTGGTCTCATCTCAGTACATTCGTTAACATCATAAGTGCAAGCTTGAGTTTCATTATTCATTCTCCATCCTTGTTCACAAATGCAAGTGAAACCGAGTTTAGATTTCGTTTGAACACACGTACCATGTCCACAAATCTCACTTTGTGGGACTTGCAAACAATCAACATTTTTTCTGTTACAATTTTGTCCTTTCCATGGTTCAGTACAAGCACATCTATGGGGACAAAAAGATTTAATTTTGAATTTTCATTATTTTATCAAATAAATAATAAATAATCAAAAGAAACTTGCTGATATGATCCCGGTGTGTTGATACATGTCGCACCATTTTGACATCCAAGATCAGTTCCAACATATTTTGAACATTCATTGACATCGAGGGTACAAGTTGGACCTTCCCAGTTTGAAGGGCATTCGCATCTGAAGGTGTCAAACATATTAAAGCAAGTTCCACCATTTTGACAAGGATAACTTTTGCAATGATCATGCGTTAAGCGTTCAGTCAAATTGGCAACTTTCGCTTCTAAAGCAGCGATACGACGATTGAGTGAATTAAAGCGACTTCGGTCTGTTCGTTCTGTGGAATTTGGAGGGAGACCTGACTCTAAAAGATCCAATCTTCTAAGAATTCCATTTCGTCCTCGCATTGCACTCTTAACCTTTCTTACTTCAGCAGTAAGTGATGAAATTGCAGCATTATTTCCACCGCTGTTATTATTCACAGAGGAATTTGAAGGATTCAAAGATCCCAGTATATCAACACCATTGACAAGAAAGCGACTTTTGCCTTTCAGTTGAATTGCGACATTTTTCGAATCTGCAGACTGAAACACCAAATTTCCATCGTTAACTAGAATTTTCGGTCTGTTGGGAAAATCGCGAGAAAAAAGTTTTTAAATAAATTTAGTTAATAAAACTTTTTCACAGAATCTTTACTGGTCTTCAAAAATATCTGCCAAGTTAATTTCACGACATTTCATTGCTATTAGAAATGCAAACAGCAAAACTTTGAACTTCATCTCTGATGAGATTCGCTGTCAAAGCTTCTAACTGAACTGACTAACTAATTTAAAAACTCTTTCTTCACCACAATTATTTTACTCTCGAGACTTAAAACGAAACTTCATAATTATTCAAAATTAAATGATTTTTATTCCACTTAATGTGGGCGTAAAACTTGTTGTGTTTAATCCACCTACTTTTTCGGTGCTCGAAAATGATAACAAAAGCTTTGAAATGTTTGACTGTTTAGTAATCAATTGAGGTTCAAACAAAACAAATCGATATGAGGCAATCGAAAGTTCCTGCAATTTAAATTTCCATTCATTAATTTTTGGCCTCTTGACTCAATTGAAATCATCAAATGATTTGATTCAAATCTAAATATTATGAATGGAATAACAATTGTTTGTGATTTTACGCATTAAGTGTTGATATTTAGTCATTCATCAAGTGACGATGACAGCAGTTGATAATAAAATTATTGTGGAAATTAACACCCACTTTGAATGAAAAACGACGATGTTTTTCCCTTTTTCTGTCACACACAAATGCAACGATAATGACCAAAATTTTATTTTTCCAAGTGGCGGAAAATGCCAGAGAAAAACAGATAAAAGTACTTCTAGTTCTGTTATATCCTGACATCATCGTTTTGTACAAGTTTTATGGAAATTTTTATGTTGCAGTTTTTATCACAACGCTTGTGTATGTTTGTGGCTATTCTACGAAGAAAAGACAATGCGGTGAACTTCCAACATTTCAACAACTTTACAGTTTAATGCAATTTAATGAAATGAAAGTTTTGTTATTTTCTTTCGCTAGTTTTAATTTTTAAAAAGTTAAATTAAAAGTTTCCTTCAGTTTTTCTTCTTTGAAAGTTGAATGATAGAAATTCTTTTTTATTTCACTTAATTATTCAATCTAATAGTTTAATTGATTGATTTAGGTGTTTTGAACGAGTAAGCTGGTTACTCATAACCAAAATGAGGTTTTTCTATTAGCAAGATTCATTTTTATGAATTGGAATAGTATCAACTGAAAACTTAATCAACTTAATGTCTTCAATCCAATTTGCAACTTCTCAATAAAAGAATTAAAGAAGAAAACTTATAGAAGAAAAAAAATCAGATTTTCTCTATATTGTTTTGACACAATTCAACTTTTCAAATTTTATTATAAATAAATAAGTTTCTCTATGAACTTTATCGTATTTAGGGCATTTGCATTTAATGCATTTTATTATAGCCCGAAGAAGAAAGGAAAAGTTTTTGTTGTTACTGGAATCTACACGATCACTAATAGCAATTTATTTCTGATTTTATTGGCAATATATTTTTTATTTTTTCGTTTATAAGTTAGACTGAAATTTCTCCCCATGCTTTGTCGTTTAACGAGCGACAAAAACTTGTAACTTAAATTACCAAAACATAATCTGAATCGATTATTCATTAAGCAAATTTTATGCTTGAGTGTATAGGAATGTTTAATCAATAGTCACCATTGGCGTAGAAAAGTTTTCCTGAAAAAAAGTTACAAACATGAAGATATCAAATTACATGCGTTTACCCTGAGATTTCTTCAGATATTTGTTTTTGAGAAAGGTTCAGTTCTTAATCAAACTTTTTTTTTTTTTGATGCGATGAATTTAAAAAGATTAAAAGAGTGAATCATAAAAGAAACTCAAATTCTTTTGAACACCCACTCTTCATAAAAAAGTAAATAATCGTCCCGGTAATGTTGTTGAAAATTTCAATAAACAAATAAACAGATAATGAAGTTATTGCGTACCCAACAATGGAAAAAAAATGATCAAATTAAATATTTTATCAAGCTAAATTCAATAAATTCATTATGCGCTCGTTAAATCTTCATGGTTTTTACAACAAAATATTTTACGATAATGAATTTTTTTATCTACCTTTTGTTGTTAAACTTTGTATTTGAAATTTTCTTCTTGCTTAAAAATTATAAGCAAAAATAATATCAAAATCACATCTTTCGTCGTCAAGCTTCATTTAAGTTCAAACTTTTAACCTCATGACGAAAAATAAAAGTTTGAGACAAAATTTGACAATATCTAACTAAGAAGAAATAAGTTTGAATTCTTTAATCTTTGGAAAATTATGAAAATGTTATCGTCGAGACAAAAAAACCTACAAAAACTAGAAGCTTTAAAAAAGCATCAGAGAAAAAGGGTGAAAGTTCATTTTATCCTAAAAATTTCCAAGTAATTAATTTTTTTGTTATTCTTCTCCACTCTTTCACTTGTCTACTTCATGTGCAAATATGAATTTCATTCAATTAGACTCTCAATTGTGAAACGCTGTAAAAACAAAATTCAAACGCAATTATCATAAATTTAATGCATCGTTGCATTCCATTTTCGTATTATGGTAATAATAAATACAACATGCTCCCGAGGAAATTTCATGTTGACTTTAAAAATTATGTTTTGTTTAGAAACACCACAATGTGCATCAAGTTTAAAACAAAGAATACTTTTAATCATCATAACCAACCTCGAATTAAAACTTTCTCAACTTCTTTTTTTCTGAAAAGTTCAAGGTTTTCATCTCCATTTGCCAGTTTCATTTTAATGTCGAAATCCCTAGACAAGACCAAAGCACTGACTGGAGCGTGAAATAATTTTCAAGGATATTATCGATGATAAAAATTTTAATGAAAATATTTACAGATTAAATGTTTCATTTCATTAGATAAGATAAACTTTTGCCACCTTATTTCTGTTTAATTATAGATATTATGAAAAGAAGATTCCTTGAATATCAATGTCATGACACGTAGCTTCCAAACTACGTAAATCTTGAGATTGCATAGATGTAGATATACAAATAATAAGTTTAATTGAGACGTACGTGATGCTTAATTAGAATTTGAATAACAACATGTTTATTCTTGAATTATAGTTGATATCATAATTTGTCTTAATAACAAACTTTAACTTTTGTTAACTTTTTATTTTTGAAAGGCATTTTAACGATTTGATCCATGAGTCAAATGATTAAATGCAATAAACGAATAAAAGCAAGAAATGGTGGAAATGTTAAGCATAGTTTGATATCCGTCGTACTAAGATAACATTTTTATGATCAATAAAGTACTTTTGGGACTTTGAATAAAACAACCCGCGATTCTTATCATTATGAGTATAAAAAACTGTGAAAGGTCCCAACAATCATATCATCCATTTTCATCTCGGTTACGAGGCAACGACCTTCATAAAATTTCCTTTAGGAATTAAGCATCCTTTTTTCAAATGAAAATCAAATTGACTTTGTAAGCTTCGCAACTACTTATGTACTTAATTGAAATAGTAGAAAAAGTAAGCAGCAAAATATCAAAAAGAAATTTTTATAAATTTACATTCAAGCTTCTCAACTTCTCGTTTACTCGATTATGTCTGCTGATTTTACTTCTCTATCGTGTTCTGAATAAAATAAAATAAAATAAATCCGATTGCGAAGTAAATTCAAGAATTCCATCCACCCAATGCTTGGCAGGTATACCGTATACATAAGCGGAGAATCATCAAAAGAATGTTTATTTAATCAATCATTCAATCAAATTGAATTCAAATTACTGAATGTGCCTTGTTTATATTCAATGTTCATGCAATATTGATAGGGAATAAATATTTATGAAAAATAATGGAGAGAGCAAATAAAATTGGGTTCAAGAAAGCTTATGAATTGAAGATATTTCTTTTGAATCACAAGGAGATGGGGCTGAGCTTCTTATGAAGTTAAATCAGAAAAGATCGAAGGTTCATTTGAAAAGTATCATGGAAAATAAATTTTCAGAGAAGAATTTTTAGTCATTTCTACTCAATTAAAATTAATTGATGGAAATCAGCTTTCTAAGTACATTTCAAATTTCATCCATTTGATGACTTTCTTATCACACTCAACTCGTTACTCATTTTTATATATTCTCACTCGAAATTCAGAATAGAAAGCACAATGGAATACTTACTTCAATCACATCATATGAAAAGTCAATAAAAATTTTTCAAATCTCAACATTACCTCAACCATCCTCCTCACTTTAAATATGACAACCAAAAATGAAAGAAAGAAAGACGAAAAAGGTTCATAAAAATATGTGAGGCGAAAAGGATTTTGCCTGCTTCCTCATCTCATAAAAACATATCAAACCCGAGCACATGTTGGGAGCTTTATGGCGAGAATTTTTACTTTTTTCTAATGAATGTGGATAGAGAGCGTCAAGTCATTATTTTTTATCTAGTGGGTAGGTCGGATGGTACAAAATAAAGGAAAAAAAGAAAGAAAGGAGAGAGAAATATTGTATACATGAATAGATTTACATTCGACACAAAAGATTGTAAATCTTTTTCTCTACTCTTTGAGAGACCCCGTCGTCGTCGTAAAAAGCTATAAACAGTAAATTTTGAAATCGTGAAAAGGGGAGAAAAAATTGAATGGAGAGTTTGAAGATAGATATTGTGTAAGATTTTAATTCAGTTGCAATGAAAATAAGCACTCTGGAGAGGACTTTAATGCCTATGGTTAAATATGTTTATGTTCACAAAATGACAATATCATAGGAAAATATTTTTCACCAACACATCATGTAGTTAGTTAGTTAGTCCTTTTAAATGTCTTTCCTTCTTCCGTCATCATCAAAACATTCGCTAGCTTACCCATTCACACTAAAATGAACTTCCGCTTTTATCTTAAACTTTTCTGATGCTTTGATGCTTCTTCCCTCATCTCCGGGATGACTCATCCTTTGAAAGAAAAAAAAAGGAAGAAGAAAATTTCTATTTCCAAGCATTCCCTTACCATCTCATCTCGTCATCGAAAGCAAATAGGAAAATTCATTCGGAAATTTGCACAACATTCGTTTGCTTCTTCGACTCCCTTCACCCGACATCTCTTCTCATGTTTAACTTCAATTCCATTTTTCATGCAGAAAAGGTTACAAATGAATTGAAAGGGAAAACAATTTATTGATTTTTCGATTCTGGCTTCGATACTGTTTTATTGTACAGCTTTCCATTTGTCACAATAAAATATTTTTATGCATCACAATCAATGGGGGAGAAATATCGAGATAAACATCTTTAATCTTTCTATTAGGAAGATTTTAACTCTGTTGACGACTGTTGTCGACGAAGTGAAAAGTGTGAGATTGAAATGGAGAAATTGTGATAAATCTAAGTCCTAATGTTGAGTTACTTATAAGTTTTCTATCGATTGATATTTTACAGTATAAATATTCATAGATTCAAGGTTTTTAATATGAACTTCACTCACCTCATTTAATAAATATTTAGTCGTAGTGTATAACAGTGGGGACTAACAGCCCATTTATCATCAGTATAACAATAAATAAACGAATGAAATTAAACGTCAAAAATTCATTTCCAATTGTCAGCACAAAGCTGAAGACAAATCCACTTCTTTCTTTTCGTTTCATTCGAAGTGTGCTTAAGTTAAATGTCTTGTTGTTGCTTGCTTATTTATATTATTTTGTTGACAAAAAAATTACAATGAAAAAAAGAGAAAAAAAATAACAGAAGAGAACAAAACCACCCCTTAGAAGTTGAAAGATTTCACTTTACCATTGGTTTTTCTTTCCCATTTTTATTATTATATTTTTTTCGAAATGTAAAACACAATGAAACATTTTTATTATGTCATTTTTCTTTTATTGTTTTGCTTATTTTTACTTCCACGACAGTGAATAGGAACAAAGTCTCAAAGACTGTTTTCTTTCTTTCTTTTTGCGTTTGCAACGACGTTTCTTTTTCTTCCTCTTCTGTGTTGTTGTTTCGCGAGACAAAGTGAAAGAAAAAAAAACTAAAATAGCAAAATAATATAGACGGGGTAATAAATGTATTATTTATGTTGAGGGCGTTTGTCATTCACAAGGCTAAAATCGAAGAAATGAATATTCATAAAGTGTTTGTTGATTTTTTAAAGCCGAGGTCGGGAACGATAAAGAATTGCTTTTCAATTCCGCATTTGAGAGCACAAATGGCTGGAAAACCAATTTACTCCTTTCATACACTAAGCTTTGAATGCTAAAGGGGAAAAGAATAAGCAGGGAGGAAGAAATAAAAGAAGAAGAAAGAAAAACCTCTTCAAATGTTAACAACTGTTGAAGTGCGATTTGTGGTTTCGCTTTAAGAAAGGTTTTTCGAAGTGTATTAAGAGCAGCTGAAGCAAAGTTAAATTGAAATTGATTTTCCTGAACTCTAACACATCAGTGACTAGTTAAACGGACTAGCAATTCTGAATAACATTCAATTTTACAAACTTTACTCTTAACGTTATCATTGAACATGAACTCGATTGAGAATTTCTAATGGAACGTTTAGGTGATTATTTAACTATGTAGAAATAGTTTAATTCTAACTTTTATCGAATGCTGAAGATAATATATAATTATATCAAAATGTAACAGTTGCAAATACTTAACGAACAGAGATTTTAATTTTTAATGATTACGATTTTCAGTTTCCACTTCAATTCATGGAAGCAAGGATAAGTGTGAGTGAGTATATTTGTGTAAATAAACCATCATCAATTTTCACATCAACTGATTTTAATTTTTCACTTAAATCTGATTGGAATGTAGAACATAAAAACCATACCATAGTAAAACTGACATGACTTTGTTCTGCACGATATTAAAATATTCAAATTACTATAGTTCTGAATTGCAGAGATTAACACATCGTTTCAGTGTCATCAGCTTTCAATTAAACTCGAATTTGTAAAACAAAAAAGTTTTGGCTCTAAGCCAAAGGACGAATTTGAAACTTTCTTTTATTTAAACAATTTGATCTAACGAGAATTTCATGTAAAACTTATCTAGATTCTAGATAGAAAATTAATTTAAAAACCTCTGCTCATCAATTGACTTCATTTGAAGTGTAATTATTTTTAATTCATAAATTATGACAAAACAAATCATTTGCATTTGACCCGTATTTGTCCGTTCTACACTCGACAACTAATTGTAGGTCATTATTTTCTCTCTCCCCCATTAGAGGATGTTATTTATTTCAATTATCGTTGCCCATGCTAAAGGAGGTAGAAATTTCTCTTATTAACATTTTGGGTACGTGTTATATAATTAGTAAATTTATCATGACACGGAAACGCGACAAAATTAGTTCGGCAAAATTTAATTCAATAATGTCAGAGCATAAGATTCACCTACATTACGTGAGATCATTTCATTATCTATTCACAGCTGTATTCATTTCTTTGTTGATTTAATCTTTCACCTCGATTTCTACTGATGCTGAATTCAGGAAACTCGACAACGTTCGCCTCTCGTTTCTTCTCAGATTTATTGAAGTTAATAAATAAAAGATGAAGGGTAGAGTGAAGCGGAATGAATTAAGTGAGCAGAAATATTTTAGGACGTTTGCGATGTGCTATGAATATAAAATATTACAGCACTTTTCGTCGAAGCTTCTCGTGCTTGCTTCTTACGAAGGTGTTGAGCTTTTTTTATTGCCTTAGTCTTGAATCAGAACGAAAGAAAAATCTCGTTGAGTGTAACATTTGTTTTCGAAAGTGCACGAGTTCATTATTCAAAAATAAAAGAGTAGAAGAAAAAGCCGCAACTCGAAATTTTCAACATTTTATAAGTTAATGTGATCCTGAGCTTTTCTTCATTTTTGATGAATTTCGAAAAAGAACAAGAATGATTAATTTTTCCTGATGTTTTTCCCTTCGAATTTATGTAGTGATACATGAGCTACTAAAACGATTCAATCTAGATTGACTTTATCTACGATTAGTTTAACAACAGCTGCCTCAAACCTACCATAACCTCGACATCATACTCATATAAAATATCGAGTTCACTAAGCAAATATACCCCAACTCAATGTAGGAAAACTCATTGGTCACGTTTAGAGCACAGTTGAGTTTCGGTACAAATAGAAAGAAGAAAAACTACAGCATGACAAAGGTATTGACGGTTGAAAATGAAAAGCTTTGAGTGGCGAGTCGACAGAGGTAGAAGAAATATAAACGATGTGTATAATTGAAGAAAAATAAACTTGAAAAGGTTTTTGTCGCATACCTGCTGGAATGAAAGTAAGACTGGACAGAAGCAACTAGAGAAACTAAAGAATCTTTAATACAACTTCACTGTATATTTTGTATTTAAGTCAAAGGCTTTGAATCAAAGCCTATCTAGATAAATATGTAATAAGATGGTTTCTCGATTTAATATTGATTTTAATAATTTGCAAATACATAAATTCAATCTTAAGGAAGCAAAAAAATAAATTTTCGGCACTTTCAAATGTTTTTAGCTTCAATGTCCTCTGTCCTAATAAATCGATGTCAACAAATGATTTCCTATGATTTCTTCTTCAACGTTAGCCACCGTAAATAAGCAATACACAATTTACGAATTTTCTACTTCACACAAATTATATCCGCAAACGCCCACTCACGCCGTTTTCAATTATTTCCTGAAAATCACTTTGAAAGCGAGCTTTTATTTCATCAATATAGAGAAGGGAATTTAATTTTAAAATGAAATTGAAAACAACATCGCCTAAAGTTTCATATAACACCATTTCTGAACAACACAAAGAGTTTTTCGATATACATTTGAGAATATAATGGCGATATTCGAAACAAAAACTTTTTGTCGCCACAATAACTGTTGGTGTTTGAAAAGCGCACAATATGAATAAAAAACGAGAGAAGTTTGCATATTTTGTGTTTTGACCAGAATAACCACATTTGTCGGCCGCAACGAAATCATTCGATATCGATACATGCAAGATAAATATTTATGCATAATCCTCCCCCACATTCAAACAAGTATAATCGCATTTCATTTCGACATGATAGATAATTATATTTGTAGTTTGTTTAATATTTCTGAACGAGATTTTTACTTCTGTGGTTAGTTTTGATGCTTTAATTAATGACTTGTTTCCAGGTTATTTTTCATATTAAAATTTTATGCAAAACGTTCTCATGTAATAATAAAAAAATTCCACTGAAACAAAATACAATTAAGATTAAAAAAATTATTTTCATAAAACTTTCTTTTTTATTTATTTAGACTTTTCATTAACTTTTCCTATCCTCTTGTTCTTCAGTGAGTATAATTTCATCGAGAGATTAATCCATTCCGGTTATACTGTAAACTAATTTTTAACTAATTTTCTTAATTCATAAATATTTTAATCTTCTTGTGTAATTTCTTGAATTTGGGGATTATATTAATCCCAAGACTTATGCTGTGTAAGTGGTGACGTGATTTTACATTTTGCATTACGACAGAAATTATCTAAAATCAATTTCATTTATAATTACAAAAAGATTATTTGATGATAATTTGTCGAATACTGAAGAAACAGCTTAAAGTCTCAGTGATGTTAATCTCCCACTCTTAAAACTCTGTTTATAAATCAATAAAAGTTAAAATATTTACAGAAAACATATCAAATACTAGACTTAAGCATATTTATGAAATATTTCTTTAGGCTTTACACATATTTTTTTTCTTGTAATCCTTTTCAATTTCAACATTGAAAGAATCGTACACTGCGAGAAAATTTGTAATGCAATCAATTATGGATGGTTAATAACAATTCTTTATGAGTTCGTTATAACGTTAAATGTCTTTGATAGTGATCACAGGAAAAAACTCTTCTCAGTAGAAAGAAAAATAAAAGAATAAAAAAATCAGACGCATGACCAATTCGAAGAAATTTTCAAACCAAAGTTTTCATTCTTTGTCAAAACGAAAAATGTTTTTAGCAAGAAAAATAAGATTTCATTATCTAGATATCTCCGAAGTGATTTTTTTCTTCTTCTTACTTTTTTTTATTTTTTTTTTGTTTGCTTTCCTTTCTTATCATTGGTTCAAGATATTTACACGAAAGAAAGAGAGAATGGAAAGATTGGGATGAGTTGGGAAGATGAAAAAGTTTATTCTATTTTTTTTCATTCTGCGTCTTTCGACGGCAATGATTGTTGAATAGTCATAGCTTGGAATAGCAGCAAGTCATCGATACACGCTGATAAACGAACATGATGTTTTGAAGATGTTTGGATAAACTTTTACTCTCGCTGCTTGTTCCGCCTCACTTTATTTTCTTCCTTCTTTTTAATGCGATCACGATGAGTTGAGTCTTGTAAGAGCGTAATTGAATTTGAAGAGATAATTGAAGAGGAGAAGTGATGTGGAAATTGTTAAAACGACTAACGATGAATGACATGTTGGCAATGAACCAGCAGCGTTCAATGACGAAGCGTCACCTACACCAAACATTGTTTGGAGTGGAGAAAAGAAATCTTTCAAATTAATTAGAAACATTCGACTTATGAGAAGGTGTTCAATGATGATTTTGATTACAAGCGTTTGTTTTTGACAACAAGTATAATGTGACATTATGGAAACAATTTCAAGCTTGTAATCTCGAGGATGAGTCCAATGAAGGGAAAAGGTGAAAAGGTTTTCTAACAACTCACCTTTTATGTTCGTATAATAAGTCTCCTTGTTATCAATTTCATTATCATCCGGATCATAAGGGTAAGGTAAACCTACATTGGGATTATTATGACTTGAAGAAGCTGCTTGCACAACTCGAGGTCGTTCTTCTTCTATGAAACGTTCGTTTGATTGCTGATAAACGTCGTGCATTCGAGCTATGCACTTCACCTAAGATAAAGCGAGAGATGATATTCATTCACAGCAATTAACTTAATTCCACACTTTCAGTGAAATTTAATTAATTTAAGTTGCTAGCTCGTAAGCCATGGCGACTAACGAGATATGTGAGGGCATTCGGGGTTTAAAGGGCATGATTTACCAAATAGAAAAAGTTTTCTTTTGAGCAAAGGCTTACAATAATATCAACCACAAGAGGAAAATGAGAGAAAAAAGAGAAGAAAACTTTCCCATTCAATTAATTTAACACGAAAATGAGTTGCAAGTTGAAGTAGAAAGGACTAAACATGTGAAAGCGAGGGTCAAATAATTGTAAAAGTTACCTTTAGTCGACCGTTTATGAAATGCTGACTGCTCACAACAAAGTGTAAGCCCAAAACCGAAATCTCCAAATCATTTTTATTACTTTTTATTGGTTTATGGGTTCTTACAAGAGGAGGATTAGCCTGAAATGTTCAAAGAAAAAGAAGATAAACAAATATTATTTTAATCATTAAAAAGATTAAATTCAACCGTATCTACAGCAATTAAAAGTGAAAAATGTTCAAGCTAAACACAAAAAGCTTAAATAAGTAAGAAAGCTCTGATGTTGTTATTTTTTATTGAAAAAATGATAAGAGAAAGTTGAGTAGAAACTTATTGTCAAGTGCTTTTAGAAAATCATGTAACATGGATATATAAGTAGGATTACACAATATTAAAATTTTCATGAGAAAAAGTTTTCGTTTTATTCGAAACTACGAAGTCACAACTGTAATTTGGTTCCACTAAGCCATTTCTAAGCTCAGTTTCCGGGCTATTTTCCTCACCCTTAATCATACTTAATCGTCATTTCGATATGGCAATGAGCGCTAAGCGGATTAAGTTGTAATTAATAATTAACATTTTGATTATTATTCATTCTTCTATGTACATTTGTAGAAGTTAGTCATAAAGATGTTTGTTCACAATAGTTAAAGTAAATCTCTATTATTCTTTCGTTTTACCTCAAAACGATTTCATCTCAAATAAATATTTGCTCACGTGTGTAATGAGGAGATTAAGATTCCATTTTGTCATAACATATGTAAGAGATAACTTTTTGATCAGCTTTCAGTTTAGTTTAGCTTTGTTCTCAATGAGAATTTGTGAAAAAAGAATAAATGAAGAAAAAGTTTTTCATCTTAAGGAGAATTCAATTTTTTTTACTATTATACTTTTACTCGGAAAAAAATCTTCCTTTTTATATTTTTCTTTAGAGCTTATTTATTCAACCAGCCACAGAAAAGCTAAGAAGAGATCCAAATGCACGCAAAAAAGGGAGAAACGATAATATTTTTCAATTGAAGCAATTATGAGAAGGAAAGAAAATAATTCTGAATACAACTTTTTGCCGCTACTGAGTATAGTTATGAATACATAAGAGCGGAATGAATAAAAATTCCATTTTTAGCTACTTAAAAGAGGCAAAGGGAGAGGGAAAAGGCAAGAAAGAAGGAACATTAAATTTTAATAGATTTCCATAAAAGACGCATTTATTCTGCGGCTCGGAACGAAACGAAATTCATCTCGATGATTAATTGCAGCTAAATACACAAGTTGTGGATATTTTTTCCAAGTGACTGGAGCGGCTGACCGAGTGTTTGATAATAAATGAAGCCAGAGTGGAATGAATATAAGATTTAAATTTTTTATTTCCAACTTGATGCTAGTGTTAGGATTTGGCAAGTCAAATTAAACGAAAATGATTTTTTTTTCCTTTTGCTCATGTTGTGATATTTTTGAAAGAAAAAAAATCAAACGATTGAAATAAAGAATTGAAGAGAAGAAAGCAAAAATCAAACATAAAAAGTGTTAAAGTCTTATAATTTCATTCATTCTTATACATTTTTTAAGGCTTGTCAATTCTTTGAGAAAAAAAGGTCAGTGATTTTCCAACACTAGTTGAAATGTTTTTTGTCTTTCAAGATAACTTCTAAGCATAAAAATGTAATGAAGTTAGAGAAAGATTATCATAGAGTGTTCTTCGGTGTACATAATAATTATGATTATCCGCATTACAATTTGAATAATTTTTGTACGGAAAAGTTTGAAGCTTTTCATTTTCCATAATTGAAAAACAAAACAAACAAATAAAACATCAAACCTCAGCAGTCAGACCAAATGAATTAAAAAAATGTAAAGAGAGCATAAAAAATTATCATTGAAGATTATTTGCTCATTTGTGATTGAGCATATTTTAATTTTTAAATTGACGAAACTCTGGCTTATGAAGAATGTATTTGTTGATTTATTTGATTCAGCAAATAACAATAAAATCAAAGTAATAATAATGAGGTCTGTAGAGGTTATCAGCAGAATATATTTCTCATGAGATTATTTATTTAAATTTGACTTCGAATGGATTTTTTCATTTCTTTTTTTTTCTTTATTTCAAAAAAGGAAAATGTCGAGGGTAAAAAGCCTTCCATTCATTAAACAGAATGAATGGCATAATTTCAACATGTATTGTTTGAGTTATTTGCTGTTATCAGATCGTTAATTTCACAAAGTTTGTTTCAGTACATGAGAGAACTTGCCCGACTCGAATATAAAAGCAGAAAATGATTAAGCACAAAATGCTTATGTCGACAGCAAAAGAATGATATTGTAACTACAACTATGATGAATACATAAATTTTATGCTAGATTGAACATGAAAAGTGCTATAAGAATTTTAGCCAACTACAAAGTACACAAAAAAAAAGAAAAAAATTGACTGAATGTCTAAAACTACTTTCAAATACCAAATTTCGTTTTCACTTACAATAACATCGTTGATAGTCCAAGTCAAGTTAGCTGCTGGACGACTGTACTTCGATGTGCAATTTCCACGAACGATGTCATTGACTTTGTACCGTGATCTAATTCCATGAATGACTGGTGAACTGATGGGGACTTCTGCGAAAAATTGAATTTTTAGCAAAATATTTTCAAGTGCACAAAGTTGAGTTTAATCTTTAAAATTTGACCTCTGTGCCCTTCATTTAAAAAACGAGATAAAAAGAAATAGATTACAAAATGCTTTTTTTAAAATCACCGACGATTTATTTCGAGTTGTGTGGGGAAAGATCCGAGAAAATGTTATTTATTTGTCCATTGTTATTGTTTTTAACGAAGCATAAAAGCTTGTAAAACTTTGTCATCCGCACAGAAAAAACAAACAGAAAATATTTTTAATTTCATTCTCTGCTGTTAAAAGTGAAGGAGGAAAAAAGTTTTTGAAGCCCGCATTTCATTTAAGGAAGCAGCATAAAAGAATTAAAAGTTTCACATGAACCCCAAACGAAATAAACTTGCGATCCTTTGCATTTAGTGGCAAACAGAAAAGATTTTTTCCACTCTTTCAACGAACTTCTCGTGTGGAAAAATCGTCGATTCCGTTTGGATAATTGCGAGGCTTAATTTACTTCATTTTCGACTTACCAACAACCTCCATGTCACCAGATACAATCATTGTATGAAAGGAAGGAAAGTCAGCCGAGACTTCGCATGAAAATTTTCCTGTTGTCGCTGGCGAAACATTTGAGAGGACTAATTGATTTGCATTGGATGCTGATGTCTGAAATAAAAAAAAGTTCATTCGTATAGATCTAGGAATTCTTTCAGGAGCCCTTTAACTTACCACTACATGAATTCCTGCGATGGGAAATGTTTTCATTGCTGGATTTTCTTTTGGTGAGAAGCGGTAAAATTCTCGTCTACCTTTGTACCATTTTACTGAGTACAAACTGTCACCTTCCATATCATAGTAACAGTTGAGAGCAACATTGTCTGATTTGCGGACAGCCGTTGGAATTTTCACTCGGACATCTCTCAACGAGTAAATTACTGGAAGAAGAAAATAAATGAAAGAGAAATTTTTAATATGGATTTAGTTGTTTATGTAAAATGTCAAAGGTTTGGAATAAAAAATAATTCTCGTTTCAACTGTGTCAAAGAGATTACATAGAAAAGTTCTCATTCGATCATTATGAAGAAGAATAAAAGAAAACCTCTGTAATGCTTCTTTTAAAATTTTTATCTCTTTGTTTAAAGTTTCATTGCGGAGCGACGGTGACAACATCTCTTCACGAGCCGAGAACTTTTGAAAAGAGAAAACAAAAACGAAGGAAAAAATACTGTGCAGTTGAGCATTGAATGATTTTATAAAAGCATAAAACCAACATACATAGTCAAAAGTAATAATTCGTCATTTGAAGAAAGAAAAATGCAGCATGAAAGTAAATAAAGCTGATGGTAAAACATTGTTTCTAAAAAGACTTTTCTCTTTTCTCTTTTCTTGTCTGATGTGAAAGCTCAACATTGGAGCTTATTGAAATTAATGCTTTGAAAGGATTCTTTTCGATGTCATTCAGATTCCTCTTTATTTTTCAAAGTTTCATTTAAAAATGCATTAGATGATTGTTGTCAGACGAAGACATAGAAAGAAGAGAAAAAATGAAGTTATTAAGGTTTTCAATCGTTTGCAAAATTCAATGAAAGTATTCGAAAATATTAAAATTATAAATTTACAATGCCATCAAAAATCACTTCTCCTCAATCATAAATCTCACTTCACGAAAGTCTAAACTTTAAATTCACTGTCGGAGCTTATGGAATTTTTTGCATAAAAACCAAACATTTTTCCCATTATCGTTAAAAAATAAAAGAACAAAGTTTTCAAATAAATTTTATTCTTAGCTTCCATTTCCACCTACACAAGGCAAAAAGGCATTCGACGAGGAATGAAAAAGTTTATAAATTTCTTCGATTCATCCCGTACAGTGCTCGCTTGCTTGCTCATTCATTTCTTTTGTTAATTTAATGGGTTCAGAAGAGAGAACGAAGAAGAATTTTGTCTTTCCCTTCACGACAATATTCCTTAATACAATAAACTTTGAGTTGGGAGAGGGCGTGGGCAAATTCTTGGATGGGTCGCGATACAAAGTTGAAATCAGAGTCGTTTACGCGATGTCACTTGACGTTGTTGGAAAGTGCATAAATAATCGACTGGAAAAAGTTGAAGTTAGAAACAATTTGTCACGCTTTGCTGTTTAAAATCATTGAACATTCATTTTAATTATTCGCTTCTTTTTCCGTCGTGTTCGACTATTTATTTATTCTCAAATCTCAAATGCATGGAAATTTATAGACCATTCAAATACAACATAATAAACAAAGCATCTTGTAAAGGGAACTATTCAAATTATCACAAAAACTTTCCATTAAATGAGGTAGTTCTTTATGAAAACATCGCAAGTGTCTCTATTAATTTTCCCATTTTTAATTTAAGTAAGTTATCGTACACTAGGAAGAAGTTTAATGTTTTTTATGTTGCTACAGTGTTAAAGGAAAAGACCGAGAGACGATAAGTAAACTTTTGTCATCAATTATAGAAGTCGAAGCAACAGACAACAATAAAAATAAAATTATCATAACATGGAAAATTCTACGTGCAGTTACAGTTGGAATTTCCCTTCGTTCTCTTCTGTTCGAATAAAAATTTTATAACAAACATCGAATGAGAATTCATTGCATTAATCTTGCTCTGTTGACGACTTATTTGAAATAAGATTAATGAGTGTTAATTACACCGCTTGGCTTGTGTGTTGTTCGTTCATATGGCCCTGTTACTTAAATAATAATAAGCTATAGTCTTTGAAAAGCATCAATCTATTTACTCGTACTCAAAGCTTATTACGATCGCATTCATTCTTCGTCTCTTCTCACTCCACTTTACATACATGAATTATAAGCCAATAATTTGTTCGTCGTCATTACATTGCTTGACGGAAAATAAATGAATCATAAATTTAACTCGGGCTACGTGATTGATTTTTGAAATTTGTGATAGCAGTGTAAGAGAGTCAAATACGAAAACAAACCCTTAATGAGATTTTCCATAAAAAACTTTCAACACAAATTGATGTCATAATTTTTTAATAAATAATTTAAATTAATTTGAGGTTCTTTTCGTTTCTTCCAGATTAAGTTGATAGTTTTCCTCTTAATCCAAATATTTTTTAATATCTTGAAAGTACAAAATAAAAAGGATTAATTTTCAATAAATAATTTCACTGATCTTAAAGATAATTAAGAGTCTGAAGTATTAGGGAAAGTTTTCAACAATTAAACACTTCACTAAGAACTTAAAACTCATAAAGTGAAATTTACTTTTCTTAAGAGTTTCAAAATGCAGCTTTTCTAAATATATGTAATTGCATTTAAACTTTACATTATCGTAATGAGAGTAGACAGTCATTTATTAAAGATATATTTTCTTTAATGTATCATATGTTTGTTTTAGTTGATTAAACTTCGTTTTTCTGAAGATAAGGAAAAGAATCAAATTCAGTTAATCAACGAAAATGAGATTATATTGGAAAATTTACAGCCTAGGCTCATTTGCTTCTATCGTTTCTATCTTTTATGATTTTCACTCATATCAAAACATTTATTTTCAATCTTCGTTAATGGAACTGCCTTGAAAAAAACATTAAATTAAGTCACAAAATCAACTTGAGTCACATGATGTGAGTGAGACGGGGAAGAATGCAAAGAAAAGACCACCCTAATGAAGATGACGATCGGGATGTAAACATAAAATAGCAACGACATATATACACACATAAAGTTGGAGATAAATCAATTTAATGTGAATGTGGCTTGCTGGCAACATTAAATAAAATATGCCTCATTTAAGTGATGTTCTCTCTACCATATGCCAGTGATTCACCACCTAACATCGTGTCACGTTCATCTCCTTGATTTATAATCACAACAACAACTGGTAGAAAAATAAATTTAACTTTAAAGGAATAAGTCAGTCAGTGTGAGCTTCATTGCTGAGGTTTCATGACGACACATAAAAGAAGCAAAACATCGTCTGATTTATTGGATTTATAAGCAATGAGTTTCTTGACAAAATATTGATCCACACAGTAATATGATTTGACTGCCAATGTAAATTACAAACGACAAGGTTTATCTACCAAACAAATTCGCCCTAAGCTTCCTTTGTGTGCGTATGTTCATTTATGCTGTGTAATGTTGTCTGAAAAGCTCATGAAAGTAAAAAAGCTTTGCACAAATATTCTTGAGGGTTTCAGAAAGTATTTGAAATCAATTGAAAATTCTGCTTTTCAAATATTCAGAATACGAAAGTCAAGTCATAAATATTCTATTCAAAATTATGAGATAAATGTTTCGTATGTTTTCAGATTATTTATTGAACAGATCATTTTGAATCTTTTGAAGAAATCTCAATTTATGTCAAAATTGTAATTAATTATCCTTCAAAATCGATAAAAGATACAACATTTCGTTAGATTTATGTGTATCTGTAACGATGAATATGCTTTGAAGTCGAAACATATTCTTTTGTTTTGTTTTATGCTTCTGACACATATTTTTTATATGTTCATGGATTTGATTTCGATTTTATTTGCTTTTTTTTTTCTTCTTGTTTAAAATTGAAAGATGTCGAGGGAAAGTTACGTAGATATTTATTCGATTCTGATTTAAAATGCTAATAACTTGTGGGTTGTTGAACGTATTATTTTTATTGCATTCAACCCTCTGAGTAAATAAATAATTTTATGCAAAATCAAAGCCAGACATATATTTATTCTGAAAAGTTTCTTTTCACTCTCAGAAATACTCATTGACTGCTAAAAACAACATCATTCAACTTAAAAAGCATAACAATGGGAAACTTGCAGAATATTTCTTTGATAAAAAAGTTTATTTAAATTTAAGTAGGCTACGAAAGGTTTCAAATAGCTACGAAAAATTGTTTTATAAATAGTTTGAGAAGAATTGAACGTTTCAGAAAACCTTTAAGATATCTTAATGTGAAATATGAAATTTTTATGATGGAAATTTAAAGGACTAAAATATTTTATAACATTTTATTGTTTCAATCAACATTGATGAAAAGCTACTAGGAAGTGTGAATGCAATTTGAAAACCATTAATAAAGAGAAAATATTTGAAAGTCAGTTTAGAGAATTTCTTTAGAAATTTCAATTGTTCAAATCATTTGGTAAAATTTATTCATCTTTTACCCTCAAGCCAAACTCTCAATTTTCACTTTTATCAAATTTATCTTTATGGAATTTTTAAGCAGAAGCTACCGTTTGAATTTTTCTATTTCAATAACTACGTGGTGAAGTAACCAAAAACATATGCGCATATTATACGAAACCCTCAACATAAATACTTGTTAGTATTTCCCCTAAATAGGTTTCAAGCTAAAACCTGAAATTGTTGCGAATGACATGAGGCTTCATCAGATATTTTTCTTGTGAAAACCTCTTTTTCTTCTTAGATTTGCTTATAAATTTTTGAAAGTACCAAATGTGAACATTGCCGTAGGTTCTGTTTAAGTAGGTTAAGGAAGAAATGATTTCTCGTTTATATTTTGTTATTCCATAAAAGGTCTTATCAAATCAGTATTTGAGATGTTCGAGAAATGTACCCAATAAAATTTCAGGTTTCCAGTGCAAAAAGGTATAATTTTATTTAATCTTCAATACATGAAATAATTTTTAATTTAGTTTTATTTTCTGAAGATATTTCAGTAACATCGATTTTATGAAATAAAGTTAAGCTTGAATATGCATCTTTAAAATTTACTTTAATGGAATTTCATTGTTTTGAAAATTGAAACGTGAATAATAAAATTTTCCTCATAATAAAGAAATTAAGTTTCCAAGATTTTTATGACTAGGAATTGAGTTTGACAATAATCAAGTTGTTTTAAATTTTCTTTATTGCACTTTTTTCCTTCCTTTCGTTGAAAGGAAAATCATTTGAATCCCAAGATATCTACATTACTCGTTCGCTGACTCGCTGCTACCCATTGCGAAATGCAATAACGCAGAAAAGTCAAATCATAAAGTTTTTATTGTTATGACGACTCGGGAAAAAAGGAAAGCAAGTGTGGTGCTGCACCGAATGCACATAAAACTTTCCATTGAGTGAAAATATGTTTTTTTTTGTTTGTTTTAATAGGGTAAAAGCTCAGCACACAAAATGAATACAGCAAAAGTTGAGAAATTTAATTATTTTTTGTCGTGTAGGGAAAAGCGACAAAAAATAAACAAAAAGAAAAAAGCACAATTTTGTTATTTCCCAGTTTTCATTTTAATATAATTTTTTTTTTCTTTTAGGATAATTTGCTATGGTGTGTGATGGAAATATGGATGAAATTGTATACACAATAATGAGTAAAAAGGAGACTTAATGCGCCTTCATATCTTTATTTCTGGGATTTTAAATTTACAACGCAATTAAGAGTACTAGAGTGACTATCGTGCTTCGAACGGTTCAAGCATTAACTGAAATGTTATGCGGTAATAACATTTTAAAGGTTTTTTGGACGAAAAGCTAAGCTACATAGTCACAGAGTTGTTAATTGGCTGTAACATTAAAAAGGCTGCAACTCGGCGACAACTTTTTGTTACGTTTTTATGTTTTCATGAATTTCACACCCACGATTTTGATTCAACTCTAATAATTTAAAACCACCTTCTGAATAATATGACATTTTAACATTTCTGAAAGCACAAAAACTAGGGTTGCTCAATGCTGGTACCAGCATGCTGGTTTTTGCTGGTTTTTCCACCAAAAAACCGCTTGCTGGTAATCCAAACCAGCAAAAAACCAGCGCTTTTAAAAAGAGCTTTTGAAAACCACTTGGAGTGATAAACAAAACTTTACCTATCTGCCTGTCAACTAGATCAGGTACTTTATTTATTTAAATTTCAAAAATCCGGTAAATATTTTAAAATGATTTAGAAAATATTAAGGGATTATCAAGCTTTCAATCAAACTAGAGCAATACTTAATAGGTATTATTTTCATACAGATTACTCAATAAATAATATAAAGCATTCGTAAATTTCTCTTCAATGTTTTCTTTTATTTTTAATAAAGTACAATAAAGATTTATTATTTATACGATGACCATTTTTTAAGTTTCTTTTTTTCCATTCATCTTAACAACTAACATATTCTTTTAAGATAAATTGTTCAATCGCATCAAATCCTTATCATTCAGTATGATCATCTACCATAACTGAGATTGAATGGCAAAAAAATTAAGAAAGAAATAGGTAGATAAAATGTGATCAGTTTCATTCAAAAGAAAGAAGAACATTTTATGCCAATTTAATATTTCATAAAATCAATTCAAATTATTAAGGATGATTGTTCCTTGTTTTAAATGTCTGCTTTTTAATTTTTAGACAATTCATTAATGTTGATGTAAAACTAAATACGGTTTTCAGACAAAAAAATTTTATTCTCGAATTTATCTCATCGACTAGTTTCGGTGGCAAAATGTCACCATCATCAGGATCTTCTACAAATTGTATTTAGTTTTACATCAACATCAATTCAACAACATCAGACGTATCAAATTAATACTAACAATTCATTAAGTTTTTCTTTAATGGAGAGTATTTATAAATTAGAAAATTATGCGTTTATTCATAAAACTAAAATTTCATGAAATAATATCAGAACGCTTTAACTGCTCAATATTTATAAGATCAAAATAATTTATTTTATACCATCTAGGTATATATAAATTGAAATTACAAAAAATTCAATGAAATTCCTTTTACTATTAAAATTGTGCATACCTATATATATATTAAAAATGAATGCAAATTATGTCAAGAGATGATCATTATCCTGATAAAAATTATATAGTTGTTGAATTCTCATCTGTTGTAGAATGTTAGCTTTCTTTTTTGTATCAGCGATTAGTGTTGAATGGTGATGATGCAGGCTCAACACTTGTGATCAACTAAAAATTTATTGTTTGAAGTCCAACAATTCACTTAAATATATTTAAGTTTAAGAATTCATTCATAAAAAATCATTTCATTGAAAAAATTAAAAAAATGTTAGAATGAAAATAATCCGCCATTGACTTAAAGTAAGTAATGGTATAAGAAACTATTTTCTATAAGACTTTTATTACGATAGCTTTCTCGTTTTCTTTTCCTAGAAGAAAATTTTCAAAGTAGCATAAAAAAACCTTAATTAAAAATTATGCCGCGATAAGCTGTAGGAATATTAAATTGCATAAGTATTTGGAACGAATGGCCAACACTATGAATAGTTTACCGATTTGACTGTCTGCTTGACAAAATACTTTCTTTGTTATAAATCATGATTAGTTTAATGTGCGTAGACTTTCTTTCAAACTGTTTAAGCCTACTTCAACAGATGTTGAACGTGTTATCTCGTCGACTACTTTTTTTTCAGTAAAATTCGCTCAAGATTAAACGACAAGACCTTAAGTTCTTTGATCTTCCTGAAATTTTATTATAAAAGATCTGATGATGATGAAAAAACAATATTTTCTTAAAATTAAATGTGTTTATTAAAAACCAGCAAACCAGCAAACCAGCGCTGGTTTTTTAAAGTTGTATCTGCTGGTTTGCTGGTTTTTGTTTTTCGCTGGTTTTGAGCAACCCTACAATTGAAGTGAATACATAAATAAGA